TTTTAAAAAAATTTTTTGGAAAATTCATGTTTTTTTTTTTTTGTGGAAAAAAAAAAAAAAAAAAAAAAAAAAAGATTCAAAAATCAGAAAATTTGTGGATCAATGGATAAGGCAGAGAGGCACATGTGCAAACTCTATTTCATCCCGATATTTTCATTTGAAAAACAGAAATTCCAAATTACATTCGATCATGATTCATCATGGAATGTAATCGGGATTCCGAATTTATCTGTTTTGTATAGGTGGTGTTTGAATTGAAAAAGAGAAAAAAAATTCATATGAATTATATAAAGGCAATAATATAGAATTATTTGTGTCAATACGAACGATTAAATATACTTTTGTTCAAGAAAAAAATTTTTTTGAAAATTTTAGGATTATATTATGTGAGCCATCGTAATGAAAAAAATAGATTAAATTTATGCTTATGTATGGTGTTAGCATGTGAAAATTTTCACTGGATTTTAAGTAAAGAAAAAAAATGATTTAGCAAAAAAAAAGAAGAAAATTGTAGATGAACTTAAAAAAATACGCATACGGCAACGAAATCGTTCGTTGTCATTGCCGCGAATTTCCGCTAGCCAATATATAAAGATTGAGTATCTCAGGCATAATGATTGTTGTTGATGTTTGTTGAACATTATGTTGTTTTCAATAATTAAAAATTATTGTCTCTTATTAATATTATTGCTGTTTATCAATGTTGTATTATTTTGATTTGACTTTCCTCTCCATTTACGATTTGATGGATTGGACATTGAATGGCTGCCATTATTGGATGTAGCCAAAACCGTTCCGGTTGCGGCTGCATTCATCATGGCAGCAGCAGCAGCAGCTGCTGCTGCTGCTTGTCCATTTGGACCAGCCGTACCATTAGTGCTACGGCGATTAGTGTTCTGCGGTCCATTAGCATTTGTCGGACAATATGGTGACATTGTTGGAGGCACCTGTCCGCCGTTTGTTAGACCATATGCATTCCATTGTGTAGCTGCTGCCGCTGCTGCTGCAGCTGCAGCCGCATTCGGTGGAACATTCGAACATGGAAAATTAAATTGATGATGAGGTCCGGGACGGTTTGATGCTCCGTACCACCAATCCGATGGATCATAAAACATAAGAGGATTCCAGGCATTCGGATCTAGGGAAAAAAATAGAATTGGTAAAAAAGTTACAATGAATAAAATCGAATTACTTTGTCTATTGAATGTTACTGGTAACATCGGATTAAAAGGCTGAGGAAAACGATTTCGAACGTTTCTACTCATCGGTAAAATTGGTGTTGCAGCTAATGGAGGAATGGATGAAATCGGTGGACGAATTTGTGATTGAGGCACTCGTGGATAAGTCATCATTCTGAAATGTATGAAAATAGCAAATCAATTAAAAACACATTAAATAAAATATAATCATACAATTGTTTCTGTTGCATCATCATTATCATTCTTCTTTCACGATTACGGAGAACTTCTTCCTTCTTTTTACGATCTGATGGTGGTTTAGCCAATGAAATTTCGATGTTTGTGCCACAAAAGTCTTTATCATTTAAATTATTCATTGCATTCAATGCTTGTGTACGATCTTCGAAATGTACAAATGCATAATCTTTGATTTTTTTAACTCTTTCAACAGGACCATATTCTTCGAATAATTCTTTCAGTTCATTTTCGCTAACATCACTTGATAAATTTCGAACATAAAGTACTTTAACTTTTGACATTGTCTCTTCATCCGGTTCTTCTTGGGGATCAGCCCAATCAACCAGAATGTCACTTTTGAATATTTTCATTCCAGTCGTCGTTAATTTACGTTTAGCAGCCGATGCATTTTTGTGGCTATCGAATTCGAGAAAACAAAAACCACGATTTTTCTTTCGATCATCCGGCAAACTATAAATTATTACTTCAGTCAATCCCTCTGAAAATAATGAGGAAATTTTTTTTGAATTAATATTCCTAATGTAAAAATTTGAAAATTACCAGTGACTTTATTGAATTCGTTGAATATCTGTTCTTTGCCCATTGCTTTGGGAATATTTCCGATGAAGAGCCTCAAATTTGGCACTGATATGTTTACTTTAAGTGGATAGCCTTTCGAACGTATCTTGTGTCCATTGAGCTAAAAATATTTATCAAAAATAGATCCCAATTAAATTATGAATGAAAAATTTCAAAAGAATAGCCATTACTTCTTGTACAGCTTTCTGTGCATCTTCTCTGTTACAATAAGTAATGAATGCATAACCACGTGATTGTGATGAAAGTGGATCGATCATTAAACGTAGATCCCATAGTTTTCCAATCTTTTCAAATAATGGAATCAATTCATCTTCATACACATCTTTTGGTATGCGACCGACAAATATTTCTGAACCAATCGGTGGTGTTGTATCAGGCATTTCGGGCGGTGGACCACCATATTTTCGTTGACCAGCCGTTACTTGATGTGGATAATCTATTTGTTGGCAAAAAAGATATTATGATGACGATGATTCAATTCAAATGTTATATGAATTGAAATATACACCAAACTTACTTGTGCGTTCAAGTATAGCTTTTAATTTATTTGAATCAGGTCCAGGTGGTGTAGATGATGAGCAATTTATCTGTGAATCTGATGAACTACTTGTAGCTTTTTCTTGTACGCTACCATTTTCATTGCAAGTTGTTGTCGATGTTGATGATGTTTTCCACATATTTACAGGATCCATTTTTATTTTTTTTAAATCAAGGTGAAGGAACAAAATCGAAAATAAAAAATTTCAAAAAATATGAATGAAGGTATTATCGTTGCAATTATTAATGTTGAATTTTTTTTGTTTCTACATTTAAACAGATGATAAATTTATTTGACAAATATTGATTCAACTATGGATTGATGAATTGAATTAAATGGATAAGGCGCTGAAATTTATGGACGAATTGTTTTGTTGATTTTGTGCCATCTAAAAAAAACATAACCATTGAAAAAAAATACATTATAATCAATTTGTAACAATTACCTTAATGGATTATTTATTAATCATTTTGTTGTTGTTGTTGATGCATTCACAAAATTTAAACTAGATGATTTATTTTTCAATAGTAATCAACAAAAAATGATAGACACAAAGAGATGAATGGAAATTTAAAAAAAATAAACAATTCGGGCAGAAAAAACGAATTACAAAAAAAGAAAAGAAATTAAGAATCTTCAATTTGGAGATAAAGAATTTTCCAAAAAAAAACACAACAATAATAATATTCATAAATTTTTTCTCGTCATTTTTTTTTTAATTATCGTGATTATCTTTACCTTTGTTTGTTTGGCTTTTCAACTAAAACACTTTTGTTTTTGTCACGTCGGCCGGCTCCGATGTCACATAACACATACCGCCATCATCATCATCATCATCATTTACTTATTTATTCAATTCATTCATTTCTTTTCATTTACACACAAACACATACACAAATCTTTATCATCACACGTGTTTGGTCATTTTCCGGTTTGGCATTCGCTACATCACATATACAACACACACACACACACACATCAAATCATTTTTTGTTTCTCTCTCTCTCTCTCTCTTTTTTCTTAACAATCGAATTTTGCATGTTATGTATGTTTGTCGTAGTAGTATTAAAAATAGTAGTAGTTGATGGTTGTAGTTACAATTGAGAATTTAAAAGTGGTTAAAATGATGATGGGAAGTAGTACATGGATTTACAAGTTGAAAAAGCTTTAGGTTTGTTTTTTTTTCTATTTCTTCGCATACTCTTTTTTTTTCTTGAATAATTGAATTACAGCGGTATTTTGGTTGATATAATAACGATTATAACTTAGCCATGGAAATATTGATCATTATAAATTCATTTGATTTATTAAAAAAAATCTTAAATAAGTTTAATTTAAAAAGATATTTTTGATCAATTTTTTTCATTTGAAAAATGAATTATTCGAATTGCACAATTTTTAATCGAGATACCGCTGTAATTTGATTGAAGGCGGGAGGATAACGAACGTCAACGACAGACTTAAAATGATCTTTTTTTTAAAAAAAAGATTAAAATCGATGTTTTTTTTCGGATAAAAAAAAATTCAAAAATTTATTAAAATTTAATTAAAATTTTAATTAAGGATTATATGCACAATATTTTTTATTTTTTTTTGTTCAGGTATTCGTTGTATTTGTCGGTGATTGAATTGTTGTTGCGGTTGTCGATGGTAATCGATAATTTGGTTTTTCAATACGTTGATAATTTGGTAAAATTTTTCCCAAAAATTCAATCTGTGATAATTGCACGGATGGTTTTTCATGCTGTAAACGTCGTTCACATCTTGAACCATATATAACAGTATTTTCAGCTAATATTTCATCATAATTTATATTACACATTGCACCAATTACACAACCATTTGTTATACGGGTACGCAATCCAACATGACATTTTGATTCCATTACATTATGATCACCAATTTGTGGTGTTTGTATATTGGCACCAACTTCAAATACATTATGATTACCGATCATCATTATAATGCCCGGTGTCTTATTTATAATCGTAACATTTTCTTCAATAAGATTATAATCACCAATAATAATTGGACCACATTCGGCTATTATTTTAGCTGTTGGATGGATAACATTTTTCAATCCAATTGTAACATCACCTTCGATTCTTGTATGTTCCGTACAAATTATCGAACTATATGATATTTTAACACTTGAATAAAGAAAAAATTAGAAATAAAAATATCAATAAGAAAATCTATACATCCAATTCTTTCACATACGTTTCTTTATTAATTGACATGATGGATAAGGAATAAATATGAATATCAAAAATAAATTGTTAACACAAAATTTGCAAAAAATATAACAATTTTATCAACAAATGTTGAAAATGTCTATAACTGTTAGCGAAAACTTTACGAGAAAAATTTCGCATAAAAATTTTCGTAAATTTTTCAGGTAAACTGAATAGCCAATCAGAAACGAGCATTACAATTGAATTGAGAAAATTGATGAACACGCTAGCATTTCAGTTACAACTGTCATTTTATTGCCGTGAGCCAAAACGTTCGAAGATATTTATTTTGTTCAAATGTGTGTGTGCGTGCTTTTTTTTGTTATTTTCTTTATTCAATTATTCAGATTTTAAATTATAAAAAAAATAAACAAATTAATGAAAATGAAGGGCGATAAAATCTCTGCGAGTAATTCCAAATCTCGTCGATCATCCAAATGTACATTATTCGAATCAATCTTGAAGAAGGCAATTTGGCTAAAAAAACAGGGAATAACATCGCAAACTTATGATCAACAAATATTAAATTCAACTATAGATGATTTTCATCAACATCTTGAATCGGGATGTTTTTGTGTGATTCGTTCATTCACCTATATTGCATTGGCCACCACTTATCTGGAAAGATTTCATTCAATGTTCCATAGCTGTGTAATGTTTTTGAGCGAACATGAAAGTCGATTACATAAAGCTGCTGAAGAAATTCGTAAAGAAAAGGAGAAAAATTTTGTCAACGATTTAGATTTCAAAACTCAAAGTTCATTCATAGCCGAAAATAATGACATTATTAATGTATCCAATTTTAATAAACTAATCGAAAATTTAATTGATGCTGTACAAATGTTTGAAAAAGGTTTACAATATGGTAAAACCGAATCTGTATTGAATGCAACATTTCTCGATCGTTTCGGTATTTTGTCCAACATGAATGCATTATTTCAGATATTTTCATATTATAGCCTGGACTTATATGCATTTAGAGTTGTTAATCTTTCTTTGTCTCTTGTTGATCAATATTATTCACCACATGAAATTCAAAATGAGAATACTATTTTGATTCAATGTAATTTACTACGTATTCTATTGAAACTTGGATTCGTCAAAGTAGCTGCTTCATATTATAAACGTTTTTTTGGTCATATCAAATTTTTGGAAATGGAAGACAACAGTTGGATTAATTCATTTGAACGATGTAATATATTTCTTTTATATTGTGAATTATCACTTCGTAATCGAAATGGTAAACAAATTTCAATGAAACTAAAAGATTTTATTAAAAGCGAATATCTTCAAAAACCAACAATCAAACGATATACGATTAAAGCGTTAGCTTTTTCACTCGCATCACGTTTTCCTTCAATTAATTATTCGTTTGAAAATTTTCTTAATGAATTCATCGAGCCCACACAAATGTCCGTTGGAATGTGTCGACGATGGAAATTTTTCACAATGTTTTTTCCAGATAATTTCAATTCAATTCATGTCAATGATGTCTGGTGGATTCGATTCACTGTATTAAATATATTTAAAAATTCTTTCGAAACATTTTTAGACTTTAATCTAAATAATGGAATGAATAGTGATCCAGTTTTCTATTATAAATTAGCCGTCAATTTATTCACTGTTACAATGAATATATTCAGGTAAACTATTTTTGTTTGTAAGTTATTGTTTTGCTAATTTTAATTTGAAAATTTTTAGTTTAGGAAAATTACGACTAATTGGCGCTCTTTATGATATTCAAAATGCATTCCATGTTGATGCTAAAATCAAGATGATTCTCTTCAAAAAAATCTTTAGTGGCCATAGCATATGCAATGAAGAGATTTTCCAAATATCATCAAAAGAATCGATAAAAGAAAGTGAAAATATTGACAATGAAATCAATCTTAAACTCAACGATTTGAACAATATCCAAGATGAAGCAAGCAGTCAAGATGAAGATCCTAATTCGATCAAGGCACTTTATAAAAGCCTAAAACAATTGATTAATGATGGCCGCGGAAATTCGAATGACAATGAAGATTTACATTCAAATTTTTATCGTGAAAATATTCCGATTGAAAATTTATCCAAATCATTTATGAAAGAATTTCGATACACTATTAGTCATCTACCTCAAGATTCAATATTTAATCTATTTCAACTCTATATTTCACATTACATGATATTAAACATGTTGATCTATGAAGAAACAAAAAATGTCGATCTTATCTGTAAAGAACGGTATATTAATTTGCTGAATTTTTTTGAACATTTTACCATGAAAATTTATTTGCCCGAATTGAATAAACAATTGAAATCAGCAAACACGACAATCGTGTTGAAAACAACAATGGAAGAACAGATAGTCAATGGACCAATTGAAAAATTATTCTGGCTTTGGAATACATTTTTCATCAATGTATTAATCTCATCGGATAATCATTTGGAAGCTTTACCATTTTTAAATCGATTGATTGATATTTCAACATATTCTTATAGCAGTCGAATTCACCGTACACAGATGTTTTATTATCGTGCTTTGGTTCTTTATAAACAACTAAAGAAAAACGTTGAATTAGTTGATAAATCCAAAAAGATCTTCAAATTATTCACCCATCATTTGGTGGATAATTTAAAGCAAGATTCGAATTCATTGGAAAAAATGTCGACACCATCTCCAAAAAATCGAAAAAAAGTGACAAATTTCGAAGCTCCTAAAAAACGAGATTTACTATGTAGTGCTGCCAAAGAATATAAAGAAAGTTTGTTGGAAAAAATACAATCTACTCGTAAGGGAATGGTGGTCACAGAAGGAACACGTAGAGAAGGTTTCAAATTCGATTACGATGATCTTGATTTTAATGATAATGAGGACGAGTCAATAATAAGTTCTAATACAAAATTATCGAAGGAAATTAATCACAAAAAACCAAATTCCAAATCTGTTGCTTTTACTAGAAAAAAGAGCGATACTGATTTGTCTACATTTAAGAATGGTGAACAATTTAGTGTTTTTGTTGATGATGATTGTCATTGGGTCGATGAATCGCTTTCCCAACTTTTTTCCACTTTAACAGTCAATGATGAAACAGAAACGACCGAAACAAATTTGTATTTCAGTAAACTCTTCAATATTGATGAGATGGATAAAAATTGCAATTTGGATTCAATTACCAATGAAGATGTTAAACAATGTTTGAAAAAAGCAATAAGTTATATTGGTTGTCATCCAAGTCATAAATTATATTCCCAATTACATTATCTTTTTTACAAATTATATAAACTTATGGCCAAAAATAATCAAACATTATGTTTTCATTTGGCCGAGACTGCCTCATATCATTGTTTCCGTTATCGACTTTTATTTAATACATTCAAAAAAATCAATGCTTCAAAACATCCACAATATGATATTGATTCGATACGATTTAGAAATGAAGATTTTGGCTGCAATTCATATATGCATAATTTACCGAAAACATGGCGATTTGTGCAAATCAAATTGATCGAAAATGGCACCAATAATCCTGATCTGCTATTATGTAGATTTCAGAATGGATATCAGCCTTATTTTGTTAAGATAAAAAGTGATCAACAAAAGGTTAGTGTTCGATTAGAAATGTGTTTAATAATAATGAATATTTTTCATATAGGACATTAAATTTTTCATGGATGAATTTTCTGAAATCATGAAACTGAATAGTGTTTCAATACATGAAACAGAGAAAAAAAGTTTCTGGCGAATGCGATTCGAAACTGATTTTCAATTAAAAAGTTTATTGTGTATGACCGAACGACATGTTTTTGGCTTAGCAAAAGGATTTTTCATGGGACAACCGAATAATAGAAAATATCTATCTTGTTGTACAAGTTTTCGAAAATGTATACTTGATCTTGCCAAGGAAATGAAATTGGAATGTCAAGATTCAAATCTATTGAATATTTTCATCGAATCGATTGTATTGTTCACTGCCGAAGAGGCTGAAATCGCTGCACAAATATTATTTCAGACAAATGAAAATCGATTCATAAGTCAATATGAAGAACTTCGAAAAAAATATTTCACCACATGGATGAAAAGTGATAAATTGGACCAACTCTTCAACGATATTGAACCAGTCGGATTAATTATCGATCCATCATTGAATCAATTTCCTTTCGAATCACTTCCTAGTCTACGGAAAAGGAACCAGCCATTTTTTCGTATTCCCTCAGTGAAGATAGCTTCCTTGCTTTATGAAAAATATAAACAATTAGTTGATGATGGAATAGATGATGAAAAAACCTTCTATGTTCTGAATCCAGGTTCCAATTTAGCAAGTACTGAAGCATTTTTCAAGCAAACATTTTTATCCATAAATGAATGGACTGGTTTTGTTGGAACTGTGCCTGATGGTCAGGATTTGGAAAAAAATTTTGAAACAAAAGATATTTATGTGTATATGGGTCATGGATCTGGCAGTCAGTATTATCGGGCAATTCCTAAAGGATTTGATGTGGTCAACATGAATTCATTATCCATTGTTGTTGGTTGCAGTTCTGGCCGTGTGACAAAAGAAACGAAAACTTCTGATGTTTTTGGTTCTGCATATCGTTTCCTGATTAATGGCGCTCCAGTATACATTGGCACATTATGGGATGTTACCGACAAAGATATCGATCTTTATATGGATGGTTTCATGACACTTTGGCTTCCACGATGGAATCGTGATCAAGAAATATCTATCAAAAAGAATAATTCACTTTGCAAATCTATATCATTGGCCAGAGATGCATGTAAATTACGTTTTTTAAATGGTTGTGCTTCAGTAGTCTATGGTCTTCCATTGAAAAATCAACATACACCTCAATGAGGATTAAATTAACCAACAATATGATTGAATTTTGGATTTTCAATTTTATTGTAATTCAAAATTTTTACCATCATCATGTCGTATGTTAACAGCTCCTAACATGCTCTGGTTGAATTTATTCATTCAAAAACATTCAATTTATTTTATTTTTTTTTAAATTTATTATCAATTTTGATATTTTTTCAATGATTCAATAATGATAAAGCCAATTCAAAAATATTCGTGTAAATTTATTAATTTTTTGAAATTCTATGAGCGTTATACTATTATTAGGCAACATAATTCTTTAGCACGTACATTGATGTTAGGTATTGAAACATCTTGCGATGATACCGGTATTGCGATTGTTGATGAAGATGGACAAATCATTTCAGAAGTATGTGCATCACAAACAGCTTTACATGTCTCAAATGGTGGTATTATTCCACCTGTAGCACGTGATCTCCATAAAACCGTCATTGATCGTTGTGTCGCTAATTGTTTACATAATGCAAACGTGTTTCCAACTGATCTTTCAGCCATCGCTGTTACAATTAAACCTGGATTACCATTATCACTATTGGTTGGCTGTAATTATGCGAAAAAACTTTCAGCAAAATATAATCTCCCTGTGATACCAATTCATCATATGGAAGCTCATGCATTAACTGCTTTGATTGAATATCCTAAATTGTCATTTCCATTCGTAGCATTACTTATATCTGGTGGTCATTCTATAATTTGTTTTGTCAAAGGAGTCGAAGATTTTCGATTAATGGGACAATCAATCGATGATGCACCGGGTGATATATTGGATAAAGCGGCTAGAGCCTTGAAATTAAAAAATCTCGGACCACCTTTCAGTATAATAAGTGGTGGTTCAGCCATTGAATTGATGGCTAAAAATGGTGATCCTTTTTCATATTTCACCCGCGTCAAATCCTATCCTCTTTACAGTAGCAGACATCGAACCTGTAATTTTAGTTTTAGTGGTTTTTTAAATGCAATCCAGCGAACAATTCGTCAACTCGAAATTGATAATCAAACATCACCCGATGAAGTTTTGAACGAAGCTCCGGATTTATGTGCTTCAATTTTATATGTCATTTCTTTTATTTTAATCAAACGCATGCAACGTGCTTTTCAATATTTGGATGAAAAGGAAATGTTGTCAAGTTATGATCAACGAAAATTAGTTGTTAGCGGAGGATGTGCCGCCAATCGTTTCATTACCGGAATGATACGAAATTATTGTCATCATGAAGCAATCGATTTATTTATTCCAACTTCTAAATTATGTACGGATAATGGTGTTATGATTGCCTGGAATGGCATACTAAAATTACAAAACGAAAAAATTTTTCCACAATTTGTTATTCGTGAACAACGATTAATTCAAATGTTAAACATAGATTCTAAAGCTAAATTAGGTCTTGATATAAGTAAAGATGTGACCAATGCCAACATCAAATGCGAAAGAATAGACATCAAAAGTTTTGTGAACTTTCTTTAATTATCAATTGTTTTCAATGGTTCGATTTCAAATTGTTCAGCCAGTTTATCCTAATTATATTTATGTGAAAAGTTTTGTAATTAAAAATTTTTTAAAATAAACCAATTTAATACATACAGCCATTTTGATTTGATTGATATGATATTCGATACCACCTTGTTGATCACATTTTTGCATATGTGCTCGTTCTGGATCACCATGAACCAAAACAGGGCGATCAGGATCAGCAGGCTTCTGTGTTCGTAAATTATGATTCAATTCACTCATACGATCACTGAATCCAGGAGCAAAACAATCCGGATTAATAGCAATAAAGCATTGGCCCTTTTTTGATTTTTTAAAAATAAAAATAATTGTTTTTTTTTGTTAAAATAAAATTTTATACCAGATTTGCTTCAGTATGATTATCTGACCAACTTCGGACATTTGGAGCCATTGCAGAGCCGCCAAGTATAGAGGTAAATATTTCGACTAAAGCTGCTAAGCCATAACCTTTATAACCACCTAAGAAGTTTTTGGCCAAGAAAAAAATCAACAAGTTGTAATTTGATAATTAGCAAATACAAACTAGAATGTTCTGGTCCGCCTAATGGTAACAATGCGTGAAAATTAGCCGGATCATCGCTTGTTTTTCCATTCTTATCGATAACCCAGCCATGTGGTATTTTCTCTTCTTTACGATTAGCTATTTCAACTTTTCCAAGAGCAACTACCGATGTAGCCATATCCAGAACAAAATCATCATTCTTTGAACTACTTGGAGCACTTAACGAAAGTGGATTTGTTCCAAAAAATGCTTCTGTACTTCTGGTTGGTGCTAACAATGGCGATGCATTCGTGAATGACATTCCCTTTTTTTAAGATTATTGTTTGATTTATAAAATAAAATTGATTAAAATGATTAAATAAAATAAATATTCTATAATTTACCAATAATTTGTGTGAAAGTGCCATCATACTATAATATCCAGCTATTCCAAAATGATTACTACCTTTAGCCACAACCCAACCAACACCACTTTCTTTGGCTTTTTTAATAGCTAATTCCATACAAAATTTACCTACAACAGGACCAAGCAATGCATTTCCATCTACCCATGCTGTAGCGGATGTTTCTTTCAAAATTTTTGGAATTCCATCCTTTTTACATGTACCTTGTTGTATATCTTTGATATACAATTCTATTCATAATGATGATCAAATATTTTTTTCAATAAATAAATACATAAAACAATATAATGGATATAATTACCGATACGATTAAGTCCATGACTAAAATGACCACGATAATCACCGGTTACTAAAACATCGGCAAGATTTTCTGCATGTGATGGATCAACATTCAATTTGATCATAATATTTTTGATGAAATTCTTCATCACTTCAACTGGAACAATTCGTGAATTTGCCATCATATTCAAAACGTTCAAATTTGTCGAATTAATTTTCGAAGAAAAAAAAAGTTGCTATGAATCATATAAATTGTTTTTATAGTCTCGTTTTAATTTAATAACTTCAAAGCATTCCGATTAAAGTTGATAAAAAAAACAGAGATTTAAATTTCATCCTCAATTGCAATATGAGATGATTTGATTTGATTAAGAAAAAAAAACTTTTTCTAATGTTTGCACTAAAAAATCATTCAAAATGATTAACATATGATTTTACCAAATATGGTTAAAATCATTATCATACGTATTGAATATTGATTTCAGTTGAAGAATTGATGAAGAATCCAAATTGATACAAATTTAAAATTTTCAATACAAGAGAGCAGCACAGAATTTCTCATTTTTTTTAAATATTTTCAATCTGTCGAGAAAACAAATTTTAATTTACAATTGGATTGATTTTATTGATTAGATTAAAATACTCGTGACCAATTTATCACACAAAAAAAAGATTCTATCTAAAAATATAAAAAAAAAAGTTTTTGTTTTTTGACATTATCAATGGGAAAAACAATAGGATATCCAGATGATAATTTTATTTTTATTATTGCTTTTGTTTTCCGAAAAAAAAGTACAATCATTTATCCGATCCAATAAAAAGATCATTCTTTTTCAATTACTATGAATTGCAAGGCTAATCAAATGATTATTGATAATGATTTAAAATAAATCAATTGTCATCAATGATCTTTTTGTTAGATAATTTACATCATAGAAAAAGGCGGACAAAAAGAAACAAAAAGTATTTTACAGTGTAAAAAAATAGAAATCTAATCATAGCTTAAGCACTATGGATTATTATTACATCTTGACATGCATCGATTAAATTCTGATTGACAATTTCGATTTAAACAAATTTTTTTTCTTAAAAATAAAACATCAAATTTAAAGTTCTATTCTTATTTTAGCTTAGATTATGATCATTCACATAATCATAAGGTTTTGGTAACGATTTATAATGTCTGAAAATATGGAATTTTTAAAAAATGATGAATTAATTGATTTATCCGGCTTAAATGATTATGTTGATGATGATGATGATGATGATAATGATGATAAAATATATCAGAATCTTTTATCTGGTGCGACAATTTCGAATACAGAAATATCATCAACATGTTCTTTCGTTTCTTGTGGTCATGACAATAATGAGCGTCTTATATCATCTTCGTACGGATCGACGACTACAGAAAATTCTAAAAATTTTAATGATGTATTTTTAATGCGATCATTTCCGCTCACAACACAGCATCATAATTCATTATATTACAATGGAGATAACCAATGGCTATCGAAACAATCATCATATATTTTTTGTCATTGGTTAAACTGTACACAATCATTTTTGACCATAAAAGAATTGGTAATTATTAAAATTCTAGATTCATTAAAGTTTTATCTTGTAATATAAAATAAATAGGTAGATCATATTGAACATAACCATGTTGATTTACAGCGACATGCGAATGGAAAATTTTTCGTTTGTAAATGGAATGATTGTAAACGTAATGGAAAACCATTCGATCATCGTTATAAATTGATCATTCATATGAATGTTCATTCTGGTTATAAACCAAAAATATGTCCTGTAAATATTTTATTAGAAAATTTAAAAATTTCATTTCAATTATCTTATTTCTATTCAGTATGATGGATGTGAAAAAAGTTTTTCACGTCAAGAAAATCTCAAAAATCATTTACGTACGCATACAAAAGAGAAACCATATTGTTGTGAGATTGATGGTTGTATGAAAACGTTTACGAATACATCCGATAGAGCTAAACATCGTCGAATACATCGAGATCCGGTAATTATTATTCGTTGTTTTTTCCGATATTTGATTCAACTAATAATTAAATTTTTTTTCACTTTTAGAAACCATGTCGATGTAAATATCCCGGTTGTACAAATGCTTATACCGATCCAAGCTCATTGCGTAAACATCGTAAAAAGAAACATGAATCACAGCCGAATGCATCTATTACTACTCAAAATCTTTCGAAATCATGGTCGATTGATTGCAGTAGTGCAAGTACATTCGCCAATTATGATTCAAATTTGGCAAATTCGTGGACAAATTCATCGTTCACTAATTATGAAACAAGTGTATTTGATTCGAATAATAATGATTTTCAAAATTATAATCATCATGATTCGTTGCAATTACAAAATGATTCAAATGTGAATCAAAATCCAGCACCATGTTTTCCATTTCAAATGCAAATGGCAACAAATAATCCAAACATTAATTTTAATTATCATTCAAATGATCAACAAGTAGATTATGGAGAAACAAACTACAGCAATTACAAAAATGATAATAATAATAATAATCAATCATGGCAAACTCTACATAAAACTTTGTTTGTTTATTAAATAATTTTTTCAGATTTTTTTTCTCAAACAATAAAATATTTAACTTATTAATCAAACAATAATACCGGTTAATATGAGTGAAAGATTCATAGTAGAATTTGTGATATCATTTTTCCATTTTTCATCCTTAATTGATAATGATGGACGATAACTTAATCGCCAATATTTAGGATTGATTACAACTAATTTTTTATTTTTGTAGGAAAACAAAATTCATATTAGATAATATTTTTTGAAAAAAAATTTATACAAGGAAATTACTTGAACGATATGCTGACAAAAAAATTGATTTTACAGAATTTTGTTTGCAAATATTTTGGCAATCATTGATGGCTGTTTGTAAATACAATTCAATTTGGCCTTGTATCTGTATGACGACTAAAAAATCAATCTGTCGTGATGGTAATATCTAGTTTTTTTTTGGTGGAAAATAGATAAATCAAAAATAAAATCATAGAAAAAAATTTGCCTGATCAAGTAGTTTATCATAATACTACCGATTTGAATGTCCGCCTAATCGTTTTATTGTTATCATGTACTGACAAAAGAAGCCAATTTGGTTTACTAAATTCAATCATTGGCGGAAAAATCGAAGGTCGTCGATAAAGGCGGCGAATTTTTTTAATCTCTTTTAATGCACAATTTTCCCTGCATTGATTTTATTGAGCAAATATGAATTATAAAATTATAATAAATAAGAATTCTTAAGAATAAATTATCTTACCAATGTACGAACCAAGATCTATCAATTTGTTGCTTTTCGTATTCATCAATTTCATTGAAAAATTGATAAGGGTTATTAACATTGATCAAACTTGAACGAAACATACAAATTCCATGGCCATCAAAGTTTGTTTCATTATAAAGCTGTATCATAAAGATTTATAGAATTCAGTTTCATATTGATTGTCAAAAATTATGACAAAATTTACCATTTTAAAATCGGTTGTACGATTGAAATTCTTTCGTATTGGCCAGGATCGAATTTCATCTGAATTTTCATCATGATAAATGAAGGGCAATTTGTTGGTAATAAGAAATGTAATTCGATCCATCAAGCTATGTCGATTGTTGCCATCAGTAAAATTTTCATGAATTTCAAATATTTGATTGACATCCTCACAATAATCGCATCGTTCATGATTGATCATCGGCCAACTTTGTACGGTTGTTGATGTTTCAATTTTGGTTGCAGATAGCAAACACCGATCATAATAAGCGTCCATCCAATTCCAATGATTTTCCAACTATTAATCAATGTAATTGATAACCATTCAGATTCATTAAATTTCAAAAAAATGAATAAATTTACTTGAAATAGAATCCGTCGTCCGAATCGCATTCCATAACGTTTACATATGGTACATGTAGAAAGAAAAGAGATCAATAACACAAAAAATGAAATACCAATGATAAATTTTTGATTAAAATATTTTGATGATATCGAAAACTTCGAATGATTTAAATCAAAATTTTTAACTATAATAGCTGTCAATTCATCGTCTGTCAATCCAATCAGACGAGCATCGATAATCATTCGATCAAGTTGATCGTCAAATTTTTTTAGTAATTGTCGTTTTTCTAGCCTATCATAGATGTTTTTATGAAGCGAATTTGTTTTCAATTTTATAAAATTGAAAACTTTGTCGAAAAAATTCAATGACAATTCTTGTTCGTTCATGATTCCTAAATGAAAGTACAATTATGAATCAGGATCATTCAACACCATGAATCTAATGGAACATGTTTTCGTATATTTTTTAAGGATTATTTTTTAAAAATTTTTTTATTTACATTATGGATTTTTCAAGCAAAACAACAAAAAAATTCCAATAATCGATATCATAACGATAAAGAGAATCATGTGAATATGAGAATTATGTGTAGTACAAACAAAGATAGAAAAATTAAGTAAAAATGAATGAGTAATGCAATTTTTCCGAACATCATTTTTTAGCAACGATAAGAAAAAAGAAAAAAAACAAACATACATTTATGAAATAAATATCAAGCTACACACATACATCAAGAGAGATACAGAAAAAAATAATGATAATTATTCCATGTTCTGTGATTTTAGCATGTGAAAATGATGAGATAATTTAGTTTTGCTATTTTACAATAAGAATGATGATTATGATAATGATAATGAATCAGCGTGTTGCATAAGTAATTTTTTCTCTGTAATTGAAGTTGATTAATTCATTCTTGTTTCAATCACAATTTTCATCATATTAATTGTGAATGAATGAATAATTTAATCTAATAATAGAAACGATAATTTGGTCGAACCTCTTGATAGGTATATGTTGATCGTGGCTGATAATAGCTAAACATTTGTGGTCGGGTAAAAATTGTTGGCTGTCGATAAAGAAATGGTGATGAAAATGTTTGTTGTAATTTTTCCTTTCTAAATTCAATTGGATCGATAGTTTTTTCATTGGGAATAACATTATTAATGGGTTGATATTTTGATGGTTGTTGTTGTTGTTTGGCATCATATTCATTTGTTTGTATTTTATCCACTGAATTAGAATTGGATGAATCAGATTTTTCCATATTACGATCACGAACACGAATCATTGCCGGAATTGTGCAGCCAAAATTTTCCATTTCCAATTGTTGACCATCATTATTCACTTCAACTGTACAGTATAAAACATTCTGTGCATGATAAAAAAGTTTAAAAATGAAATGAAAAATTATTTATAAAATAAATTATCATAATGAAATATCAGTTCATATTAATCATAATTAATCAGAAAGCTAAGTGAAACAAAACAACTGACATTTTTTTTCTTGTAAAAACTATCATAATTAATTATCATTTTTCATCGGAAAAAGATTATATAGCTTTAATCTGTTTTAATATCAATCACCATTTTGATTCTAACTAATAACTTACATTTTTAGCATCATAATCGGTGTTAAAGATTTTTTTCAATGTAACACGAAGACGATAAATGGTATCGATTTTCTCGGCCGAAGTCAATTCCATTAGCTTATATTTGATACGTTTATCCGACATTTGTCTTGCTGCAAATGCTGCCATTTGCCATAAATATGGTTCTTCAATATTTAATTCTTCAACTGGTTCAATCATATCATCGTTTAAAAATGGATTTATAATCGATTCCGATGGTTTATCATTATTATCATTAGATCCAACGACAACGTTGATCATGACAATCATTACAATAAGAAGCGAAATTTTAAGAAAATACATGATTCAAGCTATAAAAGTTGAAATTAATCAATTCGAAAAGTAAAATATTTGAAAACAATTGGAAATCGATTCGTCTCGAATGAAATTTTATTTATAAAATTTTATTTTCAATATCGTTATTTCGTTGTTTTTGTTCGAAATGTTTATCAAGTTGTTTGTTTGTTTGTTGTTTCTGATATTCATTCAAATGATTTGATGGTCGGATTTATATATTCGCCAAAAAAAAAATCATTCAATGATGATGACGATTGATTATGAACGATATACATGTTGAATTTAGTCTGCATGTGTGTGTATGTATGAAGAGAGTAAAGTGGTTAATACTGCAACGATACAACAAAAAAAATTCCCTCAACTATGAACATAGCGGTGGGTGATGATAATTTCCAATGCAACTGAAGCTAAACACCAACGTTTGTGTTGTTCGTTTCGTATGCATCCGAGTTATTCAGAAGAAGAAGAAAAAAAACAAAAAATTTTTATCTTCAAACAAATCTTTTTTCCGTTGATGAAGAACCAGTTACAGAAAATAAATAAATAAATTCAAAGCAAAACAAAAACATAGACAATCTACGTATTACGAGAACATTCGATGACCTCATCAAAATCGAATTAAATTTCCCACAAACACCGGAATTCAACACAAAACACCATCAAACAAGAATAAACATATACCTGGATGCTTTAGAAAAAAAATTCTTTATACCAGATGTAAAAGTAAAAATAAAAAACCTGCGGGAAAAACCAAAAATATTTAATTTTTTTCAAAGAAAAAAACGTCTTTCCATATCATATCATTCTTCATCGGACATTTCCATTTAGCATGCTAATGTCACGTAAATTCCATCATTTTAGAATAAGTACAGTATTATGATTTGATTTGATTTAATTTGATGATGATGATGCTCATCGATGATGAAGGTGATGATGGCAAAAATATTTTTGTTATAATAAAAAAAAAGTTAAACGGGAGAGACATTCCTGATCTTAAACTGATAAAATTGTTAATAATAATAAAAAAATTAATTATTATTGATAACGAATTTAAAGCTACCGATCGTCATCAATAATCGAACTCAATAAATTATTAGAATGATTCGCGTGTGCTTGTGCGTATGCATGACAAACATATAATATATATTGTAAGTAATGAAATTTGAAAGAGATGATATTTATCATTATCATCATCATCCTTATCGATTTTGATCATCAAGAAAATTGAATTGATTAATTGATCGATAGGAAAAATGATTGGAAAGATAGATAGATGGAATTGATAGATAATATAATTTTGAAACAGATGGGATTCCTTTAAATCGTCATCAACTTGATTGGATTAATAATTTTTAAATGTAAAAATCATTGAATTTCTTTCGAAAAATTTCTATTTGGTATCATTCCTTCATTATTGACATTGTAATTGTTTAATTATCAAATGATAGTCGAAAATTATGGATCTATAAGGAAATAGATGTATTATCATTCCATAGAAAATTATAATTTATCGGTGTTGTTATTGTTGTAATTGTTATTGATTTCAAATTGGTATTTTTAAAAAATTGAAAATCACACCCTAAAAAAACAACGATGACATTGGAATTTAATCGATAAAATTAATGTACAATATAACAGTGATGACGTTTTTAATTGTGTGAATCCGTATATAATTATGCACTGATGATGTACATTATCATTATCATTTATCAAAATAAAAAATATGCAAATAATTTTCCACCCTTATTTTTTCACTTTAATTGCTCATCCTTAAAACTCATTGAGATAATTACAACACAACAAAAGACAAACAATATTCAAAATTTTTTTTTTAAATTATAATTAGTTTGAAAAATTCATTCAAACTAGATTAAAATAATAATAAATCACGCAAACAATTTTGTTTTACGTGTTTGTTATCCATTTTGGATGGATGACATCAGAAATGATAATTATTTTTTCTTAAAATATTTTCTTGACTTCATTTTTAATGTTTGCAATGCGTGCAAAGAAAAACGAAAGATTATATCAGATGGATGACGTATTTCTAATGTGTGTTTGTGCATAAAATAATAATCAATATTCATCATGACAATCTAATGTCTTTGATCATTCATGGATTAATCAAATCATCAATGATGTTAATGATAATAATATGGATTTCTCTATCTTTTTTTCATCATTATTATTATCAATTTGCCAAAATTATGATTTGCAATATCGAGCAATGAACAAAAGAATGACATCATTATTATCATTATCGTTTTTCACGAGTAATATTTATCCAAAAAAAAAACATTAGAAAAACAAAAACAAAAAAGAAGAAATTATATAGAAATCATTTTGAACATCAATGTGACATTAAATTTTCGAAAAGAATTCAAAAAAAAAACAAGTAAACATAATCTTAATTTATGTACAAGATTATCAGTGATTTCATTCTTTTTTGATTCTGTTATTATGTTGAAAAAAACGATAATATTGTTTAGTGTTATCAGTTTGTTGTTGTTGTTTTCAATATTTGAACGATGATGATGATGTTGAGAATTAGGAATTTCCAGCCAGTAAATTTTTTTTGCTTTTATTTGATTAAATGTTGTTTTGACTAGGATTTTTTTTTGGAAATTTTTGATGAATTTTATAGATTAAATAATATTGATTTTTTTATGTTTGTCTCAATCATCAATTTAATTTCATGAAATTCATTACTTTTTTCACAAAAAAAATCATGGGATTTAGGAATTTTGTTTTGTTCAGTTTTTTTATTATTATTGGAAAATTCTGTTTATTGGTTGCAAGCTTAAACAAAAAAAAAAGAGGTGAAAATCAAACAAACAAACAAACAAAAATCTTCCTCCCTCACAAATAACCAAAAGCGAACATTAATCCCATATTGATTGCATACAAATTTATTTATTTACTTTTTTTTCAATTTTCAATCAATAATTAATCGAATTAAGCTTTAGGATTAATGTACATACTTGTAAAGATTAATCCGATCAATAATTTTAAAGAGAAATAAAGCGATGGAAAAAAATTTCCCATGATAATTTTTAAAGCAAAATAAAAAAAACTATTTCAATATATTGAATATATTGATACAATGAAGGTGAAAAAAATAATAAAATTACATTAATCGATTTCATGTTTTTCTCGCACTTGTTCGTCACCCACAGGTCATAAAAACATGTTTCATTTTGGAAAAAAAAACAAATTTGCATTTATTTTTCAACACTTTTTATAATTATTTTGCTATAGCAGATTTCATTTTTTTATATTAAATAAACAAACAAGTTGTTTACAAGGTATTTCTTCTTCTTCTTCTTCTTATTGAACATCATTCTTGATGATGGGAAAAAACCCAATCCACATACTTAAAGAAAGTGAGAGAAAAGATGATTTAATCTATTCCAAGTTTAATCTTATTGATCGGCGTTGGTGGTGATGTTTTTTTCTTTCTTTATATTTTAGACAATTCATTCATTATCACACAGGAGATTGAATTCTTTAAAAAAAATTGTTTTGAAAACAACAACTTTTTTTTGGGGAAATTCATTCAACATTCTTTTTTTCTTTTAACCAAAAATGGTAAGATTTTTGACAGACACACACATACACAAACACTTCAACAGCTAAAACAAAACAAGAATTCATCAATAGAATTTTAGTAGTTAAAGTAAATAAATTGTTCATACATTAATCATCAATGAATTAACACTTTTTCTCTATCTAAAGACTAAAGTATGGACAAATTTGGCTATTATTAAAGATTTCAAATCAACGTTTAACGCCTACACATGATTTAATAATCAATAATATTTATTATTATGACAGCAATGATGATGAATTCAACAAAAACACTCACACATTGATTTATTACGTTGAATTTTTTTTTTTCGTATTTTGTTTTGCTTTTCATCAATCAATCAATCAACCAATCAATTGATCAATGATAATTCATAAATTCCTTTTCATTTCAAAGTTATCCTTTTTTTTCCTTCACTTTTCATAATCATCATCAGAGTTTATACGGATTAATATTAACGTCACATGATACAAAAAAAATGCCATAAGAGTGCTCATCAAAAAAAAAAAAGAATTTCCAAATGTCTGTATTTTTTACAAAAAAAAAATCAACTATTCTTAGATCAATCAACTACTTCAAGTGTTTTTTGTGGATAAATAATGAAAAAAATAATGATGATGATAATTGTCAAATGTACGATTTTTATCATTTTATGAAAGAAAAAAAGAAGAAAATCGATGATGAACGCTTTTTTTAATTTTCCATCATCGCATCATTTTTTTAAAATTCTACATAATCTAATCATTAATGATTTTGTTGATCATACACCACCACATCATATCTTATCGATGGTATTTTTTCAAATGTATTGGATGTAGTGTGAAAAAAAAATATTTTAAAAAAACCAAGAAAAATCAAAACAAAATCGACTATGTTTATGATTTTGTTGTTGTCGTTGTTGTTATCAATGAATAATGATACTCAATTCAATAAAGAAATGTAATTAGTTGGTTTTCAACCAGATTTGATGGAAAAAAATGATAAGCCGAAATTTTTTATTTAGTTTTTTCCATTTCACTTTCCTAATTAAAGCGTATAAAAAACCTTACATGAAATTATCATCAATCTATTTACATACATTTATTAAGCAGAAAAAAATTAATAATAATGATCTTAATTAAAATCTGATTTCAAATTCACCGAAAAAAAAGAATATATAGGAAAAACCCTTTGAAATTATCGATAATTTTTAGGTTTTTTTTTTCTCTCCTTTTTTGTAAGCTTTAGAATTGTCAATGAACTTTCGACAAAAAAAAAGAAGTCCAAAGACAGATGAATTCATCATTCATTCGTTCAACTTGCTTTTCGAATTGAGATCTAATCAAGTAAATTCTGAAAAAAAATTCAAATTCCTTTCACATGTTTGAAATTTTTTATCTGTAAAAATAATCATTAAAAAATTTTAGAATTATAATGATGGAATTTATTTTCTATTTTCAATTGAATGCAACATGATATATTTTGGGGATTTTTTTATGAAATTTTTTTTTATTGTGACCATTCTCACAGTGGTGATTTCTATAAATTTCATTTAAAATTAATTACATTTGTTTTCGGTTTGATTTAGCATAGCCAAATACATTTCTGATGATGTTTGGTTAATGATAACGATGATGACATTTGTCACATGCTAAATACTGAATCACGTTTTGATTACCATTTTGAAAATCCTTGAAATTTAAATGGCGGGACGAAACAAAATAACAAACAACCAAAAAAAAAAAAAGAATTATTTTTTTCAAAAATGAAAGTTAATCTTTTTTAATTGGATAGATGTCGCGATGTTGCACACATGTGAAACTCAATGTTTATTTACATTTTTGAGGATTGTTTTTAAATTTTTCATTTACTTAATTTTGTTGTTGGTTTTTCTTTAGTTTATCTCCTAAATGTCATATTATGATAATGATCAAAACGGTGATGAAGGAATTGTTGGCACACCATTCCCGGCATTAGAAGCTGATGAAATCGTTTCTCGAAAACCCGATATCGATCAAACGGTACGAGATGAACGTGGAAGACGACGATTCCATGGAGCTTTTACCGGTGGTTTCTCCGCCGGTTATTGGAACACTGTTGGTTCGGCTGAAGGATTTACACCAAAAATTTTCAAATCATCACGTAAAGATAAATTCAATAAAGATGATTTCTTTTCGAAACCAGAAGACTATATGGATGATGAAGATTTTGGATCGTTCGGAATTGCTCCGAAAAAGATTCATACTAAAGATGATTTTGTGGAAAATTTTACCCTATCAAGTAATTAAAGTTTTGATAAAGTTTGAGTAACAATGAAATAATTTATTACTTTTTGTTTATAGGTTTAAAAGATTCTCATTTGACATTCGACGAAGTTATAAGATCAGTTTTTCAACCCAGTAAAGAATCGATTGGAAAGCGATTATTCTGCAAAATGAAAAGAACCGCAAAATTAGAGCAAAAAGATTTATACGAAGATGATGAACCTGTTGATCCGAAAACTAAATATAACCGTTTGTTGATACAATCGAAAACCAATCGACACGGTCTTGGTTACAAAGGAATGTTAAATTCAGAAATTTCTGATTCTACAAGTGATAATAAACGGAAACTTGATTCTGGAAATGCTGTTTTGGCCACAATGAAAAGTGGACGTCGATTAAAAATTATTGGTGAAGCTTTTGGCTATGGAGCGTTAGAAGAAGATGATGCTATGGATATCTATTCGCATGATGATCTATCAAAATATGATTTTGAGATAGGACCAGTTGCACAGAATAAAAAACTTCCAACAAAAAAGCCTTTTTCGACTAATCCAAATGCCACAGAGCTTGACGGTTTCACTAAATTAAAAGAAAATTTTAATTTATTCCAAACTATCAAAAGTAAATATGCGTTACCAGAGTTGCCCAAAGGATGGAAACCAAGAAAAATAGCTGAAATATCAAATTTAAAACGACAATCTAGATGGGATGCAAAAAATAATCAACCAATTGATTCGGTTTCGAATGTCAAACAACAAAAAGTACTTAATGCAAATCTAAGAGCTGTGATTCTCGGTGAAAATGTTGTACATAAAAGTGGTCTTGCTAAATCTGAGCCAAATAAAGAATTAGAATTTTCTAAAGCGATCAAACCAACTAATATGATAGCAGCTAATGTGCCCGTATCAAAAACTCCTTTGTCGGGATATTTTGCATCAAAATTTACTCGAAGCTCATCGACAACGACCGATGAGGAACAATTGACAGCAGGTCTTAATACATTTGAAAATGTTTCAATAACATCTTTGCAACTAGATAGAAAACCAGAAACATCATCAAATAAAACAGTTGAGAATTTAGCTCCAATAAGAACTGTTTATGAATGGCATCCTCATAAACTTTTATGCAAAAGATTTGGTGTACAAAATCCTTACCCACAATTTCCCGATGTGATCGGTATTGTTTGCATGCGAGAAAGTGATAAATCACGTAATATGATTACTCGAACTAATTCTAAACAAGCTAATCAAGAGAAAAAATCTTCATTTGGAAATATTTTTTCTGAATTAAATTCAACAAGTGATATTCAACCTTCTACATTATTGTCGAACAAAACTAGTCAAAGTAATGAAAGTGAAAAGTGTCCGCCAATTGTTTACGAAAAAGATCAGAGACCTGTATTGGATGAAATTACAGAAAACGAATCCGAACAGCAATCACAATTGATTGAACAAGAAAAATCTAGACCACCAATTGATCTTTTTAAATCGATTTTTGCATCCGACGAAGAGGAAGATGATGAATTAGAAAATGAAAATCCCAATGAATCAATATCAAAAAATCAAAATGATAATTTAATTTCCAAACAATCTGTGGGTATATTTGCAGGCATAGATTTTGATCAACTAAATCAAGATTTCGATCCTCGTTTGAATTCAACATCGGATGACACAAAAGATCAAGATCTTAAAAATGTTGACGAGGCTGATGATGGTGATGATGAAGAATGTTATGGACCTGCTCTGCCACCCCAATTATCTAATCCCGAATCAATCAAATTGGCAACCCCATCGACTCATACTATCAATGATAATAAACCTTTAAGGCATAAAAAAGTAAAAAAATCGAAAAAAAGTAAAAAATCTAAAACGAAAAAATCATCATCAAAACATCATTATCATCGAAAAAAGAAAAGACAACGAACGTCATCGAGTTCTTCGGATGGTAGTAATAATGATGACGATAACGATAATGATTGGCAAGAATCTGAGATTGATCGAAGTGTGAAAGATAAATTAATTGATTTTATTAAAAAAGTTAAACATCGTTAATGACGATAATTAGTTATTAATGTGTATGATTGTTCGAATTATCTTTGTTCGAAATGAACATTGCATAGTGATAATGATTGAAAAAAATATGATTGAATCTTGTGCCTAAAATGTGATTTATGATAAAACATTGCCAAGCATATTTCAATAAATGAGCACGATCAGGCACGATGGTTGATAAATTTTTCGTTATATCTATCATGCCACATCATTATGATGACCATTTTTCATGGGTTGACAAAATGAATGTTTGTCGTTGGTAAAATCAATATAAAATAGACCGCAGAGAATCCATATTGTATTAGACATCATTTAATTACTTTTGCGAATAAATCAATCAATTATCAATTAATAATCATCATTATGGATGCTGAAAAATATTATGAAGAAAGTTTCGAAACTCGAGCTGTACATGCCGGCCAAGAAGCAAGTCAATGGAATTGTCGAGCCGTTGTACCGCCGATTGTATTAGCTACTACATATCAACAGACTGGTCCCGATGTTGATTCGGCCTATGTTTACAGCCGAAGCGGAAATCCAACTCGTCATGCATTAGAAAAATGTATCGCTTCATTGGAAGATGCCAAATATGGTATGTAATTGAATGAAAATTTCATTAGGATTGAATTTTAATTTTCTTATTTATGATTTAGCTCTAACCTATGCATCCGGATTAGCCACACAGATGAGCATTACTTATTTGCTTAGTGCTGGTGATCATATTGTTGCTGGTGATGAACTTTATGGTGGCACTAATCGATTTTTTAGAACGTGTGCATCAAAATTCGGATTGGACATTGATTATGCGAATTTTCAAAATGTGGATGAAGTTACCAATTCAATTAAAAACAATACGAAACTGATCTGGTTCGAAACACCTACAAATCCACTATTGAAAGTTAGCGATATCAGAGCTGTTTGTGATGCTGTAAAACAGAAAAATCCCAATATAATTATTGTTGTGGATAATACATTCATGAGTCCATATTTTCAAAAACCATTGAATCTTGGTGCAGATATATCAATGAATTCTATTACCAAATACATGAATGGCCATTCGGATGTCATTATGGGTTGTATATCGACAAATGATGAAGAATTATTCAAAAAATTGCAGTATTATCAAAATGGTATGCATTGATACACTTGAATTAATTGTTTTAGTTTAATTATATTTTTTTGTTTGTTTTTTTGATAGCTGTTGGAGCTGTACCATCACCATTTGATTGTTTTCTGGTAAATCGAGGATTAAAAACTTTGGCTGTTCGTATGGAACAACATTACAAAAACGCTTTGGCTATTGCAAAATTTCTTGAAACACATGAAAAAGTTAGCAAAGTTGTCTATCCAGGATTAGAATCTCATCCTGATCATGAAATAGCCATCAAACAGAGTAATGGTTTTAGCGGTATGATTGGTATGCACATTCAAGGTGACATTGAAAATGCCAAAGAATTTTTATCACATTTAAAAGTATTTACATTGGCCGAAAGTTTGGGCGCTGTAGAAAGTTTAATCGAAATTCCCAGTTTAATGACACATGCATCAATACCAAAAGAAACTCGAGAAGCCTTGGGTATATTTGATACATTCATTCGAATTTCGGTAGGAATCGAAAATGTTGATGATCTCATTCATGATTTAGATCATGCATTGAACAAATCCGAAATTGTTATTCCAGAAGGGGCTTAATCCATAATCAAAACTACACACTATATATAAATTCACTGTAAATTACTAAAGTTTATGATAATTAATTGATAATGAAAATTTTATTTACAAAAAAAATTAATAATAATAAAAATAATTAATCATTTTATGTTCTTCTTTGAATCGAATATTTTTTACTGTGTAAATCATTCAATGTAACTTTGATTTTGCCTGAATTGCCAGAATCATTTGATTTTTTCACAAGAATTTCGTTACTACCAATTTGTACAATAATTGAAGGAGTAACTGAACCGTCAAGAGATTCAAGTAAAATGTTTTGTCCGCGATGAAACCATTTTTTATCGAAAAATAATTTACCATAATCAATTCTTGCATCGACACCTGAGTTATCCGATTCAGCATGTTTTTGGTTATGTGATGAATTATTTCGATGATTACTGGACGATTTGGAAAATAGGACTTTATTGATGAATTTCAAATCTTCATTGATTTCAGAATCTTCAAGAAGATAATTGATTTGTGTTGGTGATGTTCGACGACGTCGATCGGGCAATGGAGTTGGATCATTGGGACGACGTCGCAATTTTCGTGTAGTTAAGGTCTTTGGCTCTGAAGTATCGTTTACTAGCTCAAGGCTGCTATCTGTTTCCATAATTTTTTTCTTTTCTTCAAGATCAGAAATCAAACTTTCTATCAATTCTTCTTTACGATCTCTGAACTCTTTAATAGCAGCACTTTCTTCGACTTTATATTCATTTTCAATCAATTTCTGTTCTAATTTGAAATTACATTCAATAAAAAATAAACGTTCTTGATATTCAAAATCAATATTGTTCAATTGACGTAAATAATCAGGATGGGTACCATTTTCCAGATGTATGAGTTGTTCTTTGAGATGAGCTAATTTATCTCGATAAATTTGTTCTTTGATTTCATATGTAGAATCAAATTCATCCATGCCATCATAAGCACCAACATAACCATCATCATTATGATATTTCATCGATTCTGTTTCGCTAGCATCTTCAGTATCTTCATCTGAATCACCATAACCATGGTTATCATTATCATAATCGTAATCATTCATTGTCACTATTTTTTCGTTTGAAAAAAAGATGAATTTTATTTTTTCGTAGATTTTAACGAACAGAAAATAAATATTTTTTTCGTTGAGAAAAAAAGCCATTGTTTTTATTGTTCATAAAGTACATTACCTATTCAAATTTAATAAATTAAGCAGTAGATGGCGGGCTCGAATCTTGAATGAAAATGTATGAAATGATCGATCAAAAGAGATTGATGAAAATCAAAAAAAAAAGCAAAATTTAATTAAATTGAATTCTAATAATGATCACATCGATTCATTTGTTGACATTGATAAATTAACTTAACATTATTTTTTCGGATCATTATTAATCAAATATTTCAGTTATCATGTAACAAGAAAAACATTCACTATGGTCATAAATATTATTTCATGGATTTTCATTACATTTTAAGATTTTCAAAGCGGAGAAAAAACAGACACTAATACACACACACAGTGAGAGAATTCTTCAATTAATTAAAACGACTTTTTCTTTCTTTGCATTCATTCATTGATCATGATGGTGGTCAAGACAATTTGACTGTCAACAAGATAATCAACAGCTTGTCTTTTTGTTTCGCATGTTTTCGCGAACAAATCAGTGAACAAAACATATATTAGGAATGATGACAGTAGCAATTTTTTCATTTTCACATATATATTTTCTTCTTTAAATCACTGTAATAGATTCAAATGAATATTGATGGATCGAATGTCAAAGAACCAGAAGGAAAAAAATTCATGTAATACAAATGTTCTTCAAATGATATATCTGATATCGTATGGTATATGATACAAATAATTTTTCAGCCATTCAAACATTTTCACATTGTATAACATATATACAATGTCAAAAATTTTTCATTTGTCGTTGATTGTTGTCATCATCATCATTGATTGGTCGGTCGGTCGGTTTGTATATCTTGTCCAATACGATAGTTCATTCCAAAAAAAATTGACTAAACGAAAAAAATAAAATAAAAATGAAAGAATTTGAATGAAATTGTTTTTTTTGTGAAAACAAACCTCGTTGATTTTGAAATACATTTTTTAAAACAAACAAATGATGAAACATAACGAATGACAAATTCATGTCGGTTTTTTGAAAAACTTTTTCTTCATCATCATTATCGTCGTTGAGTTGATCTGAAGGAAATGTTTTTTTTTCTCTCATAACCATAATCATAAATGGATGATTGACATTTAAATATCAAAAAACGAAAACGAAGACTAAAATGATCAATTTTCATTGTCGTTTGATGATAAAATGTCGAAATGGCAACCAATTATCATTCATTCATTCAATGGATGGATGGATTCAATTCAATTCGATGATTAAAATTTTAAATCGATATAATCGATTTTCATAATCTACGATTACGCTGATATGAACAGTAGCCGATGGTAAATTTTCTTCTATTTTTTTGAATTTTTTGCAAAAAAAAGATGGCAATTATCTTTGTTTTTAAACAATAAACCTAAACATATTTTGTGTTTTTGTTTGTGTGCGGCCAACATTGATTATTTTTTTTAATATTCGTAATGTATAAGTATATACTGTCATCATCATCATCATTCTTATTGTTTTTTTCCTTTACTTCAATTGTTTCAATGCAGATCGATCGATCAATCAATCAATCAATCAATCAGTTCATTGAAAAATAAATAAGCATCAACGAAATGTTATTGTTATGCGATATTTTATTTTTTTCAATTTTTTTTTACTATCCGCTAAATCTTGATCAAACTGTATGGTATTATATATAGTCCAATATAATAATTAGAATTTCTGAACATAAATGAACTTTGAGAATAGTGAAAAAAAACTTACTTAAATTCTTTTCTCGCTGTGTGTGTTTCTTTTTTCTTTTTTTGGTTAGTGAATCTAAAATACTGAAAAGTTAATTTGTTTTTCAACAAAAACAAAATCGAAGAGAAAGAAAAATGCATCAGTCTAAAATAGATACAAACAAACAAAAATCTAAAATGTAAACAAAACAAAACAAAAATTTTGGATGCACAAGGAATTTTTTTTGCAATTGAAACTGAATGGTGGATGAACGAAAGTTGAATGAATCAAAAATTTAAAAAAAACTTCATCGTAAAATTTGTTGATTCATTGATTTATACGATGCAATCGATAAATTTGTTTTGGTTTTTTTATCCATCTTTTTTTGTGGTTGTAGAAAAAAAGAAACTTAAAAAAATTAGTTTATATTCAATAGACTTGGCCATATGTATTAAAAGCGAAAGTGATCGACATCATCATTTTTGTTTGGTTTGGTCATCAATGAAGATAATCATCAACATTATATACCGTTATATGATAAACTATCCATCACATTAGTTTACATCAAATAAATATAATTTACAAATTTATAAATAATGACTATGTGATCTGTGTGTTTAGATAATAATAACAATCAATGATCAGATTTATGTATGATGAACATATTTTGAAAACAGAAGAGGAGAGAAGAGAAAGATTATCTTTCTCAAAAAATTTAATAACAATAATTTATAAATTGTTTAAACAAAATTTTTTGTTTTTGTTTTTGTTCATAAATATGATATGATGAGCCACAATAACAAAAACATTCGAATTCGAATCATTTCAAAGAGTGGCATTCGAATTCGAATAATTCGAGAGTGACATTCGAATGGGGTTTGTTTGGATATTCGAACTACGAATGGGGTCATTCATGCTGTGCGTTATATATAATTTCGAATCATAATTTTTTTCAACTGATCAATATCAGATCTTTTTTTTCGATATAATAACCGATTCGATACCAAAATAAAATGAAAAACCAATTTTTTTCTGAAATGTTATTATTGTTCATATCTTTGTATCTAAACAATTTCGAATGGATTCAGAAAATGAAGAATGTCAGTGAATGTGAAAAATTTCCAGAATAAATTCTGGATAAATTGTGAATCTAATCTAATCGACTCAAAGTTTTTTTTTGTGTGTGATCTCGTTTGGCCAACATGTCAATTATTTTGGTCAATTTGTAATTTATTCTTCTTCTTCTTCTGTGTGTGCATATAGCACTTTAAATTTTTAGACAACAACAAAAAAAATGATTCAACATATTGAATATATATAGCAGACTATATTGAAAACAAACGGGCATATGGAAAAGAAAAAAAAAACGGGAAAAAAATCCAGATACATCCACCTCATCATCATCATCATTATTAGATGATATGATTAAGTGAGTATAAGTGAATTGAATGTTGAATGTTTTTTTTTATGAAAACCAGACCACAAACAAAACAACCACCGAAAACATCATATAATAAATGATGATTGCATCTATATCTCATACTTTACGCATACTTATTGAACAAAAAAAAAATAATTTTTAAAAAACCCCATCCAAAAATTATGAAATAATGTTATTCGGGAGAAAAATCAATTAAGTTAAAGAGAATCCGCAACAAAAACAACAACAACAACAAAATACGAAACTTAAATTCAAATTATGTTTTTTTGTTGTTGTTGTTGTTATTCTGACTTTAGTCATCTATGAATTTAACCAATACCAACGAAAATTATAGAGTCGGTTATAATTTCAATTATAATTCAATTAGTTCGATTACATTATAATGGAAAAAACAACAACAATAATGATGATGATGGTGATGGTTTTTTGTTTGTTTGGTTGTTTGGACTCGAACCAGAAAAGAAAAACAAAAATAAAGTTATTTTTTTCTCTCTCCATATTATTTATCCATATTAAGGCCAAATAGAAAAAAAGTTGTTTATTGAATTAGAATCGTTTTCTTCAACAATTCATATATAATCATCATGGATGATGACAACATATTACACAGGTTGATCGAAAATGGCAGAAAACAAACAAACGTTGCATCCTTCAAGAATGTGTATTTCCAACAACAACAAAAACATCCGAAATCTATATGCAAAAGCTGAAAAAAGGGCTGCCTTTTTTCCAAACTTCATTCATTCAGGCACAATTTTTATTTTTTTGGCCACACACCATTGGCGTGTTTTTTTGCCATTTTGTGAAAATAATAGAGGGAGAGATAGGCATACACACAATAAGTGAATGAAGTTTTTTTGTTTGTTTGAAAAAGTGAGAGATGATATCGAATACGAAAAACATCATTTTATGATATTTTTGGTTTAGTTTTTCATTCATTCATTTGAAAAAAATATTGATTTCAAAAAACAAAACAAAGTTATTCACATTTTTCATCAATGAATATGATATAATTTTACAGAAAACAAAAACGAAAAATTCATAAAGAAATTGATTGATTTTGAACGAATATTTTTCTCTGTTTCATTTCGTCTATTCAACATTTAATTTGTTGATATTTAAACAAATTCGTTTATAAAATCATAATTTGAAAAAAAAACTCCGAAACAATGGATCTAGGTTTTTTGCCAAGTTTTGCACATCAATATTCAAATATTCTTACAAATTATTCAAATGAATCACCATCATCATCATCATCATCATATCCAACATCTAACATTAATTTAAATGATCAAATTCCTTCGAATAATAATCAAGAAGAATTACCATTAACATATTATCCACATTATCATCATCATCATCATCATGTTTCAACAATTAACAATAATAATGATCAACATCATCATCATCATTCAAATTTAACACCAACAAATACTGCATCATTATTTCCAAGTGTTTATAATGTACAACATTATGGTTATCATCATCATCATCTTAATAAACCATCATCATCTTATTCATCATCATATCCAACCTTGAATATTGATCATCATCATCCTAATCATAATGATCCATATTCTATGGAAATATCAGCAAATAATTTTATTCCATCAACATTATCATCAACTTCGACAACCATTGGTTTTGAACCAACGGAAACGATAACAAACAATAATAATTTTGATTCACCAATATCAACAACATCATCTTCTACTTCTTCATCATCATCATCAACAACATTTAGTTATTGTTATCTAGAGAATAAACAACAAACAATGAAATGGTCAGCAACAACAACAACAACAGAATCATTGATCAATGATGATGATGATGACGAGAAATGTAATAGAAAGAATAATTCGCATCATCAACATCGACAACAACAAAAAAGATTGACCGCTTTAGCGAAGCCGACAACAGCAGAAACGATAAACAATGATCAAAAACAATCATACAAAGAAATTGATTCGGATTATTATTCACAACAAATAACGGAAGAAATCGATGATGATGATGATAATAATAATAAAAATCATTGTTCTTATGATTCAAATTCATTGAAAATATCATCAAATAATGATGATCATGATGATGTTGGCGGTGATACTATTATTTGTAATGATGATGGCGGTGTTGTTGTCGGTGGTGATGGTATTATTGTTGATGATGAAAATTATATAACAATAACACGTACAACATCGAATGGTGTTGTACAAGTGGTTACAAAACGTCGTTCAGCAAATAAAAAAGAACGTCGTCGTACACAATCGATTAATAGTGCATTTTCAAATCTACGTGATTGTATACCGAATGTACCGTCTGATACAAAATTATCTAAAATTAAAACATTACGTTTAGCAACAAGTTATATATCATATTTAATGAAAATTTTAGATAGTCCATATGAAAATTGTACAAAATTATTATCAGAAGGTTTTCGTGCCGATTTAACTAATGCAAAACGTTCAACACAACAGAATCGTATTGAAACACAAAATGTAAGTATTATTTTTAATTCAATTAAGAAGAAAAAGAAGAAGAATAAAAACCAAAGAAAGAAAGTAATCTTTAAGATAAACAAAATATTCCCTTTTCTATGTATCCGTGTTTATTTGATTTTGAACAAGATACTATTGATAGTTTGTTTATATTGTACATTTATATAATGAACATGTCAATAGTTTTGAAAAGTCATCGCCATCAAAATTGAATCAAAATTAACATTATCTTGATCAAGATGCATCATATATCGATGATAAAAATTAAAAAAAAATAATAACGGTCAAAATCTTTTGACCGAATTCAAGGTTATTATCAATAATAATGATTATTCAATCAAAATTATCAGGGATTCAATTTATGGTGATGTGATAATAAAATATTTTTCCATTAAAAAAAACTATTATAATTTTTCAACGATAATTTGAATACCATTTGATTATCGTTATCATATCAATGATGATCAAAAAAAAAGAAAATATTAAATGATGATGATGATGACCCATAATGATGACCTCGATAATAATTTTCAAAGTCAAAATTGATGAAGATAATTTTATTACTATTGAATTTATTCATTCATATCATCATTATCATTTACGATTGTCAACAGAATTTTTTTTGTTGGATAAAATTTGACACATTGAACAACAAGAAAAAAAATCGATGGGAAAATTTTAATTGATCTTCAACATCAACATCGTCTCCAGAGATTGAATGATATATGATCTTTGTTGATAACGTTCGAAAACAAAAAACGAACGATGATGAACGATTCAATTCGATATTCGATAGTTTGGTCGGTCGGTCGGTTGTTCGCTCGCTTCATTCATTCGAATTGTTCGTTGTTTTTTTTTGCATTATCAAATCAAAAGATTATGAAATAACGATGAAATAGACAAATCATCATATCTTTGTTTGGTTGAAAGCTTATAAGTGGAATGATAAGATGCTAATAATTTTCTTTTTTTCGATACAAAATATAAAATTTTTTATTATTTTGTTTCAAAAAAAAAAATTTATTTGTCTAGCCTTTTTTGATGACAAAATTGTTCATCCATTTTGGTGTTTATTATATGATTCGTCTGGAATTGGTCAGATTTTTGTTGTTGTAACAAAGAAAAAAAAGCTTTTTTATCAAGTTCGTTAACCCTTTTTTTCTTTGAAATTTAAAGAAAAAAAGAAAGACGGACATGGTATTTTTTTGCAATAACCTTTTTTTTTTGTCTAATTTAGCATACCCAAATACAATGTGATAATAAATGATTTTTCTTTTTTGTTGGTAAAAGCGATTAAATTTCATTGGATATATAGTGAAGAGAAAAAAATGTTTAGAATCAAACGAAACGTGCGTAATCAAATACGCGATTGAGACGAGTAATAATTTTTCACCATTTTTGAAATCACAATTGTTACATACACACTTTTTTCCCTTTTACCAGAAAAAAAATTGTCAATTGTGATTTTCAATTTTGGGTAATTTGAAACTTTTTCTTTTTTTTGGATACAAATCAAACAATTTAAATATAGATACAGACATGTGTGGCCCATCAATATATTTGATGTGAAAATATGTGTTAATACATCTGTTATAATGTTTTTCTTTTCTTTTCTTCAAACATTCAAATGTTGATCTACAAACATTTTCATAGAATGGATACAATGTTTTCATTTTTTTCAATCCTTTCAAAACAATAATAATAATAATAATTTTTATCTATTTTGACAGGAAATTCAACGACAATTACGTCTTCAGCAATATAAACAGGCAATTGTAACGAAAAAACGTACGACAAGAAATCATAATAATAATAATAATAATAAGACAAACATAACTTCATCATCATCAACATCATCATTCAATAATGAACTGAATCGGAAATCATTTTCAAATGAAAATATTAATCACCATCATCATGTGAATGATCATTCTCATCATCATAATCATCATCATTATCATAATCATCATAGTCAACAACCTTTCGATCTTAGCGTAGAAAAATCGACCATTACAACAATGTCTGGAAATATCAATTCAGAAACAATGAGAATGAGTGGAATAAATCCAAATGAAACATTATCACCATTATCATCATCATCAATTACGATAGGAACAACAATAACATCACCAACAGAAGAATTATCATTGGATAAAGAAATAGCAACATCTGAAACATCATTATATAATCTAACAACAGCAACAACATCAACAATTCAAAGTGATCATGATGATGGAATGATGATGGTAACACGACCACGTTGTCGTACCGGTTGGCCACAACATGTTTGGGCATTAGAACTTAAAAATTATGATCAATGATGAATGAACACAACAACATAGGTCACGTGTTGTTGAATACAGTTATTCACATTTTTTTACCATGTCATTGAAAATTTCCATATATTTCTATCTTTGTCGTATCTATTTTCATTTTTGTTTTTTTTTCGATTATCAAACAACATGATTTATACGGATAATTAGGTTATAACTTGCACGTGTGTAGAAAAAAAACAACAAAACAATCAGACTATAGAAAATGTTAATCATGTAATTGAATGAAACATTTTTTTTTGCTACCGGTATCAATTCATGTAATTTGAAACCATATTTTTGAAACAATGTACGGTGAATAATTCTAATCAAATCTAAACGGTGTGTAATCCATCATTCTTTGCCAGTAATCAGAAGAGTCAAGAAAAAAACCAATCTCATAATCAAATAATCTACTTTTTCTGTCAAAAAAATTGATTTAAAAAAAACTTTCAAATTTCATAAATTTTTTTATTTAAAATTTTCCAACAAAAAAAATCAACATTTTTGAGTAATAAAATTTTTCGCAGCATCAATTCCGGATAGAAAAGCTCCATGTACAGTTGAAAAATATTCCTTATGTGTTGCTTCTCCGCTAAAAACGATTGCAGGCTATTTAAAATGTTTTTGAAACAAAATAAACAAATTAAAAAATACTCCATTATCCCATTTAAAATGAAATAAAAAATGACATACCAATTCATCATTTGGTCGTAGATAGATAGGTTTTGATAATTTTTCAATATCATCTGGTGATGAATCTTTACTAATAAAACTATATGATCCTAATGAATATTGATCCATTCCCCATCGGGTTATAATAACATTATCTGCACGTGGAAAATTTGAATTTTTAAATATTCTACGAAATTGTTCAGTTAATTGATCATTGATTTCATTTTCATTCATTTTTTCAGCTATTTCAGCCTCTTTTCCCGAAACCCAAAGTTGTATACAATGATCGGAAATACGATAAATCGAATAGATTTTTTTATACCATGGTTGTTGTTTGGTTTGAATTGTATCAGTTTCCTCTATTGGTTGATCATCATCACCATTTTCATCCCATAATAGCATTATTTCATCGATGGTATCGCCATCTTTTGTGAAAGCATCAAATATAGTACTTTTAGAAGAATATTCCATAAAAATTTTATCAACAATATCGATGCCCATTCGTTTTATACAATCAATTTTATATTCAGGCAATGGTGGATCAAATAGATTATGAGCATATTTCTTTAGACAACCAAGTGTCAATGTTAAAACAAGATGTTCACATTCGTAAATAGTTCCATTGGAACTTTCGATTCTGATTGGAAATGTATCCGCAATGTTTTTACTGTCAACATTATCATTAACATAGTTGGTTGTTTTGGTAAGCCCAGGCCATTGGATCTGTTTGATTGGAGAATCGAGAAAATAATGAAATCTATTTTGATCGTTATCAATTTCTTCAATGTCATTTAGAAGGACATTTATCAACGAATCATAACCCAATGGAATGGTTATATGTGGACCTAGATATTCTTTATATTGATCAAAATATTGTAGACTAACATCGTCCAACGAATTACATCCACTGATACATGTTTCTCGTTTGATCAATGATTTGAATAGGCTACGAACAATGGGACGGAAATTTGATTCGGAATCAATTTCAGTTTCGATCCATTTATTGACTTCATTTTCAATATACTTTCCCATAGAATCCTTATAAAATTTAATTTCTTCCAATTTTCCGTCATTGCAAAATCGAGTAGTTCCTTTTAGAATCGTTGAATAAGCTTCATATACTTTACGTATCCAAACAGTGTCAATATCATTTCCATTTTGACATATTTTTGCCTGAATATTATAAACACTTTTATTCGATTCAATACTCGAATCGATGATTCTTTTTCGATATAATAATTCATAGATTGGATTATTAATGATACCATGGATCCAATTGGCACCGATTTCAATTTTTTTTTCTTCGATTTTAGTTTTACTTGTCCATATACGGCCACCGAGACGATCTCTTGCTTCAATTAGGCCAATCGTTCCTAAAAAATTTTGTTTTAATAGATGAAGAGCGGTACTTAATCCAGAGCATCCACCACCAACAATAATTAAATCAAATTTAAGTATTTCGGACATAATCCTCAACAGAAACAATTAGTTAATATATTAGTGAATATAATCGAATACCAAAAACACACTAATCACAGTTTCAGAATATAATTCAATTAAAATGCACGCATTTGGTATTTTTGGAAATATTTCTGGAATCATTTTTGTATCATTCAAAATAAACTTTCAGAGAATTTTATTTTATTATATCCAAATTATCGTCTGTTATTTAATTCATTCGATTCATTGCTATTACGAATTAATTAATTGTAAACAATTTTTTTAAAAGCGCATCTATAAAATATTAATGAGAAAATATAAAATTTTGATGCAAAGGCCACAGGAAAAAAAAGATTAAATTGTCTCAAGCGATGTTGTATTTGCCCATGCTGGTAAGGAATTCAATGAAAACATTGGAATTCCAAGTAAGTAGAGATTGCAGAACATGATCGAAAGACAGATAATTTTGGTAACAAATCCCGGTAATATCTGAATTTTTTTTCAGAAAAATAGTGATGTAAATTATTTGAAATTCAAGCTATTATGATAATTACCGTATCAAAAGGTTTTAATTTTGCATGAGCTGCAACTAATGCATTTGCCGGTGTTCCAACTTGAAGAACAAATGCATATGAACATGATAATGTTACCGGTATGATAAAAAATAATGGATTTTTGTTCAACAACAATGCCTGTTGGAAAAAATATTTAGGAATTTGTCAAGAATTGATCATCTTACATTATTTACTTACCATTTGGCCTGAAATCGGAAGAAAAACCGAAGCTATAGCAGAATTGCTAGCCAATTCGGTTGTAAAGGAAGCTGTCAAACTAACAATCACTACAACCGACCAAAAAGGTAAATAATTAATTCTAACCAATTGTTCACCGATCAATCTTGTTAGGCCAGAGCTCTATGTGAAAAAATTTTAAATAAAGATTAATGAAAATTATTCATATTAAAACTAACCAATGCAGTATCGGCCATTGCAAATCCTCCACCACGTAATAAAATAACACCCCAGGCTAGTTTAGATTGAGTAAATGTCCAATCCAATAATGATTCGCTTGGAAATGGACCGAGTGGATTACTCGGTATGCAAAACAGCAAAATGACTATTAATATAGCTGGTGTTGTATCCTTTGGAATGCTGTTGAAAATGTTTTTTTCTTATAATTTGCTAATTGTCAATAGAGATCAGTCTACTTACATATCATGTCCTAACATTCTTGACCATCCAGTTAAAAATTGTGGATCACGAAACATCCATAAAATGATCAATGTAACGAATGTTGTGCATACGGCAATCTCATGAAATGTTATCGGTCCAAGTTCATTGTATTTCTGTATCAAAGTTGTTTTCGATGTATTTTTCACCTGAGCAATTATTCTTGGACTAAATGAACCAACGAATTCAAGAATGAAGAATGAATTTGATTTTATAATAATAAACTTACCGCAAATAGACCATTGTGATATAACACCAACTAAGAAATACACTCAATATAGTGGCAGGAAGACAGAATAGCAGCCATTTTGTGTAATCAACATCAGGTACATTTCCGTAAAATCTGGAAAAAATCATATGGGAATGATTTTTTTTGTCTTTTTTGACAAAAACTTACTCATCTAAAACAAATTGAAAGACTAAATTCGGTCCATTGCTAGTTAAAGTTGATGTACCGCCAATTGTTGCCGAAAAAGCAATACAAATATAAAGCAGCCTTTTAATATAATTTAATTCGGGCGAGATCTTTTTTGAATATTTATGAATCACATCTGATTTTTGAATTTCGATAGAATTACTTGTTGGATTTCCATTGATCATTTCTAATTCGGGATTTTTTTGTGGATAATTATTGAAAATTTCGCTGACAACAACATCAGCAATAGGCAATATCATTGCCGTTGCTGCCGTATTAATAATCCATATACCCAAAAACATTGTAACAAACATAAAACCGGCAAAAAGACTACGTAGATCATTTCCGATGGCAATAAGTACACGAAATGCTATTCGTTTGTGAAAACCACTTTTTTCCATTGCAATAGCAATAATCAAACTGGCCATGAAAAGCATATTTGTTGATTTTAGATATGGTTCACATGCTTTTTCAGTAGTTGCCAAACCAAACAATGGAAATAAAGCTACAGGTAACAATGCAGTGACGGCCAATGGAATTGGTTGAAATATCCAATAAAAAATCATAAGAAGTACGACAAAAGCACATCGTGATTCCTAAATTAATTAATTAATTCAATAATTCAATATAAAAATCATTTTTATGCTTACCGTAGATTGATAATTAAACCATAATAATGGTGATAATAATAAAGGTGTTAAGATTAATATAAGGCCATCTTTACATTTGATAAGAATATTTGGTAACATTTTTCTTTCTTTTGAAAAAAAAATCAAATAGCTGTCATATATGAATTCTTCAATCACAGGGAAAAAAATTTATGATTATGATTCTTGTTATTGCTGTTGATATGTTATAAAGTAATGAATAGTTAGGATTATTATCATCATCATTTTATTAACTTCCTTTGGCATTGATAGATTCGTTAAAAAAAAATTTTGTTTGCAAATTAAATTGGAAATCATCAAAATTTTTCATAAAACGTCATCAACATTATTCAATTAACCAATACATCTATCAACACGCGTATGAAATATTATCCACTATACCACTATCGTCAAAGTCCAATGCTGAAAATGTTTTGTTTTCATTTATATTCAGTAGAAAAAAAAAGTAATTTGATCAATAAAATTTGATAAATAAAAATTGAAAAGTTTTTTGTTGTTGTTGTTGTAACGAAAAGAAAACAAACAAACATTCCAACGAGATAAAATTGATATTCAAATCATAAGTGTAACGATTTCGTGATTTTCTGATTGCCTAAAATGATGATTATTATCAATCAATAACGTCAGCAGTGAAAAAAGAGATCATTATCAATTATCATTTCGGAGTCATAAATAAAATTCATAGCCTTGAGCCCAGATTTTTCTTTTTATTGATGACAAGACCTACAATCACATATACAAACATTCAGATCATTCATCAATATTGGCTTCCATTTTCGAATACATATCATTGCTTCATTTTTATCATAAATAAATAAGGTAATATAATCCATTCATCTTGAATCTATCGTTTTAAAAATGAAATATTTTCTTTGATAATAATCAAACAATGTGAAAACAAAGAAAAAAAAACTGATGAAAAAATGTAAATTTCAAATCAAATCAATCATCACTATTTGTTTTTGTTTTGTTTTTGATTTACGTAAAAAGGCTTAAAAAGATTATTGCATGGAAAGTTTTTACCAACAGAATAAAGTCCATGTTGTCAATATTTGATTGTAATATTACCGCATTATGATGATGATGATGATTTATGAATCAATTTCATCATTTCTTGAGTGCTGGCAACGTGTTTGTCATAATCATCGTCATCATTGTTGTTGTTTGAATGATTCTCTATATAATCATTCGGGTTCTGTTTCTATGTTTCTTCTGTTCATGTGCTTTGTCTTTGATTCGTTTTAGCTAAAATGTCTTTGTATGTCTATGTTTTTGTCTTGTACATAAATTGAAGGAATCCGGTATTATGTAAATTCAACTGCAAATTGGTGTGTATGTTTATGCATAGAAACCTGCTATGATTCTATCATTATAATCATAAATCAAATATGATGATGATCATGATGATAATGATGACCATCCTTGACGTTTACATATTTACATAAGTAATTGACAAAATTCATATGTAAAATTCCCGTTGATGTTATATAATGTTCTTTTTGTTGTTGAATGGGTTGGATCATTATCAAAATACTTGAAGTAATGTCCTCTAGCTATTTATTCTTCCTTGAAAAGAAGTAATTATTGATTGATTATTAACATCTTCAATTTGTCATTATATTTGAAACAATTGATTATTGTACATTGTTCAAGTGTGTCTGTGTGTGTGGTATTTTGAATTTCCCGTGTACAGGTAATATTTCTGTATCTGTGTGCGTGTGTTGGTTGATAGAAGACAAAGACCAGGTAAAAAAAGAAATATGAAAGGAAGCGAGAGAAAATGAAAATGAAATACAATCCACAATAACAGGTATAAAAGGTTTTTCTTTTTAGTACATTTTTCTAGTTTTTTTTCCACATGAAATAATCAAAATTTTTGTTTTGACAATATTTTTTTAAAAATTTCACATTTGATTCTGTGAATTTGTTGAACATTTTTATTCTGATAATTCTTTTTGTTTTCATTTTATCGATTATTAGCAATTATCATCCATTTATCATGTATAAGCATCAACATCAAAATAATCAATTGGTCATTTATTTCATATCGATAATTATCATCATTTCAACAATAATGATAACAGCAAACGAAGCAAGAATTGTACGTAAAGAAAAAATGTTGCGTCTTTGTCTTTGGACACCATGTAAATCGATAACAGTGACAAAAAAATGTCCATCATATCTGGAACAAAGTTCGCGAAGAAAATGTAAATTACCTAATGATGAAATTGGTTTCTATTCCAAATGCTGTCTATATGAAGGTTATTTACCAGCGATCAAAGAAACACCAAACAATCAAATCGATGGAATGGAATGATTTTATAATTCTTCAAAACAAAAACAAAAACAAAATTTTCTCTCATCAAAACTTTGATATTTTATTTTAATTTTTTTAAAAAACTGAATAATTTAATTTATTTTTATTTTTATTTTTTGGAAGATTTTAAATCTGTAAATCAATAATCATTCTTATGTTGTTTTGTTTGCTCGATAAAGAAATGAATAAAATTAGAGAATGAATGATTATTATATTGATTGAATATTTTGATCGATTATCATTGTATCTTCGAATATTGTTTCATCATTTTTTGATCGTTCAAACGTATCGATCATCATCATTGTTGAATATAAACGTGAACGCATTGGCCATTTCTTTTTTGTTTGAAAAAAATTGTCATGATCACCATTAATCGATAGATGTTTTCAAACGATAAAATTAAAAAAATCAACAAAATGAAGACCGAAAAAAAAACAAAAAGAAAATTTTACCTTGATTGGACGATAAACCTTCGACAATGATTGATTCGAAGAATTTTCAATTGTGTAAAATGTTGTTGTTGCCATTTCTTCGGTCAACGTTGATGATGATGATAATGTAGCTGTTGATTGTATGAAATCAATTGAATGATGATAAATATTGCATTCTTCATGAATATTATTACCATTGTTTTCTGAATCATAATGATGATGATGATTATTATTATTAAGTGTTTGCATCAATATTTGTATATAATTGGTTGCTAAAATCAAAATATCAAGCTTGGATAATTTTGTATTCGGTGGTACTGATGGTAAACATTGTTGTAATGTTTGAAATGCATTTCTTAAACACCGTACACGGCTACGTTCACGTTCAGCATTTTTTGCCGGTATTGGTAATCGATTATTATTATGATTATTAAATCTGGCCATTTCAATTTTAAATTCAATAACGATAAAACAATATTTAATGAAATCAATGAGCAAATCAGAATTTGAATGATTCATTTATATACCAATTTTTTTTGTTGTTTGTCCATAATCTATGTGTAAGTTCCATTCGAATGTTTTCATTTTTTTGTGTGACTATATTGGAAACAAAATAAACATTTGATCCATTACATTTATCATTTCGATATATATCACTGAAGAAAAAAATTAATCATTAATCATTTGAATAAAATATAATCTGATACATAACTTGTTGTTGTTGGTTTTTTTTTCTAGTGAACCAGAACAATAAAAAACCCACTTTAAACACACTGGACAGTATTCATTTCATTTCATTTTTTTCAAAATAATTGATATTTTTTTAACGAAGAAAATTTTACTTCAACATTTTTTCTCCCTATATCATTATAATGTAATTAAAATCATCTCTAACGGATGATGAGAATAATGGCTGAAATACATACATAAAAAGGTATAAAATTTAATTATTAGGATTTCTATTGAATAAAATAGAAAATTTAACAAGGGATTTTCCCCTTCCATGTATTGATGTCATTTTTCGTGTGTATGGTGTTTGGTTTGTACAAATTTTCAACGAAACAAGAAAAAAAAATGGTGAAATTTTTTTTTCTCGTTATTTGTGGTGAATATTTTTCAATGTCCACCATTGCAAACAAATTTGACAAATTGAAATGTCGCTGTCTTTGTTCTGGTTGATTTCATTTTTACCATTTGTTTCCTATGAAAGTGATAAATGATTCTGATTTTATGGATATGAAACATTCATTTTTTTTATGAATGGTGGGAATTTGTTTATTTCTTTATAAATTTGATCAATTATAATCATTGGAAAAAAATGATGTTGACATATAATGAATTGGCAAAGCTGGATGTTATCATTATCGATTGAAGATTGTGTTTTCATGATCTTCCTTTTTTTCTGCAGAACATGTACATTTTCATCCGCTGAAACGAAAAAACCAACAAGTGTCATGACAATAATTCTATAGCACACGTCATATCTGAATAAACAAAAAAGAATTCATATGGTTTTTCTGCGGCAATATTTCCAAATTAATTTTGAGCCGAAAGAATTTTTTTTTATTTTTTTAACTTTGAAGAATAGTTGTATTTTTTCAGATTATTAAAAAAATGGCAAATTCCAATGCAAAATCCACTGCGAATACATCCATTTTTAGTACATTCAATAAAGTATATAATAATATGAAAATAACTAAAGAACAAATCTATTCGAATGTTGATGAGATTAAAAATATACGTGATGATTTTGAACAAATGTTTTTAATCGATACGGCAAAATTTTTTACCGATAAATTAATCACACTTGAACAAGATCATAATGATGTCGAAATTTATCGAATGGCTAAATTATTACATCAAAAAGAACAATATCATCGAGCTGCATTGTTGATAACGTCGAATAATTTTCATTTAAAAAATCTTTCCGGTCGTTTTCTTGCTGCTAAATGTTATGTGAGTATTTTCTTTAAATTTATCATTCATTCATTTTATTTTAAATCTATTCTAGTTTGATTGTAAAGAATATTCAAAATCATTAGAATTACTAAATCTACCAATCGATAATTTAACGTTTGATGAAAAAGGTGGTTCTTTCGATCAGGTATTTCATTTTTATTCTTTCTCTAATGAATAAAACTTTTTAAATGTTTTTATTTTAAAGTGGAAAAGTTCCATTCATTTATTAAAAGGTCATATACATGAAGCATTGGATGACAAAGAATTAGCTAATAAATGTTTTTTCGATGCACTTGTATTGGATCCATTCTGTTATGAAGCTTTTCAAGCTTTGATTAAATTCGATATGATCAATAAAGAACAAGGTATTTTTAGCCGATTAAATCTGAAAATTTCATAGATTAATTCAATTTTTCATCATAAGAATGTCAATTATTGGAATTTATATCATCCACAAACAATGATCAAAGCGACAAATCGGAAGCAATCAATATGATGAAAGAATTATATAATCTTCAATTTCATCACCACCATCGTCATGATAGGAAAGATGTTGGAATGAACACTGAAGATGAAAATGAACAACAGAAACAATCATCGTCATCATTAACATTGTTAAATAATTCGCTTTTCTCCAGTGATGATGTTCGATTGATTCATGCTGAGAATTATTACAATGATTGTCAATTCAAAAAAAGTTATGCAATTCTTTCCGAGTAAGTAAAAATGGAAATAATTATACGCAAATTATTTTTACGACTTTTTTTTCTTTCTAGAATCCATTCGAATGATAATTTAAATCAAAAATGTCTATTTCTTATGATCGGTTGCCTTTTAGAATTGAACAATGATATTGTATTACAAGAGATATCGCATAATTTAGCTGAAGCTATACCTGAAAATGCAATTGCATGGTATGCTGTTGGCTGTTATTATTATGCAACATCAAACATGGATAATGCCAGAAAATATCTAAGCAAATCAACATTGATTGATCCAAATTTTCAAGCATCAATGCTTATGTATGGCCATTCATTCGAAATGGAAGCATTACATGATCAAGCAATAGCTGTATATATGGATTTAAGTAAAATTATGGCTCATTCATATTTACCGATTTTATATGTTGGCGTTGAATATTGTCATCTGAATTTTCCATCAATGGCCGAACAATATCTGAATCAAGCATTGGAATTATCTCCAGATAATCTATTTGTACTTCATGAATTAGGAATAGTTTTCTATGAGAAAAAAGAGTGCGTACATTTTTTATTAATAATAATGCGGAAATTATTATTTTCCCTGTCATAAACAGATATGAAATTGCAAAAGATTATTTCAAAAAAGTTTATAAAATTCTTGCTGATAAAAAATTACTGATGGAATATCCACAAAAATGGGAACCGTTATTAAATAATCTAGGCCATGTACATAGAAAATTGGGCGAATATGATGATGCTATTAATTATTTTAAGATAGCTATACGAATGATACCGGAAAATTCATCCACATTAGATGCATTAGGTTTGGTATATGGTTTGAAAGGTGAACTACAGATGGCGAGTGATTATTTTCAAAAGGTAATTTTTTTTGAATATATTAATTTTCACTTTTTTAATTTTTTTTTTTCCTAACCACAATTGATTCGGAAGCCTGAAGGCTTTCGTATAAGAAAGATTTTTTGGAACTTTTCTATAACAAATTTCATTTTTTAAAATTTTGCTCATTTTTTAAATTTTCTTTTTCTTTCTTTTTTTCGTTAGGCCCTTAGCCTTAAACGTGATGATGCATTCGCATTGACAATGTACCATTTATTATCTGATTAGATGACAGCTTTAACTTCAAACACGAAAAATAATTTCAATTTTGTCAAATATAAATGGCCAACCCGCACCAATGAAAAACGTCAATTTGAGCTTCTTAATGTATTAATTTAATTTTTTCATATGAAAAAAAATTAGAAAATAACTCATTTGTTTCATTTTCATATCATGTATATAGTGTTTATTATTAATTGATTTGTATTGATATTATGGTCTTTGATTTTTTCAAAAAAAAAATTTTCTATTATAATATTCAATAATATTTATGGATTGGACATTTTATAAAAATTTGATTTTTTTTCCCACGATAAATGATTAACGATCAAAAGCGAATTTTTTGTTTGGTTTTCGGCAAAATACGTTGCTATGTTTTAATTAAATGATTTAAATGTTAATGGTTATTATTCTTTCATTATAGATTAAAATGAGGTTTTTTTCACTCACTGTCGGTAGGAGATGGATTTTTTTTCTTCTTTTTCCTCATTATTGTTTGATGTAAGAAAAAAAATAAACACAAGCTGAAAAATTAATTTGATTTTCATGTTTTTTTTCCTATAGGCATTTATCGATTAAAGTAAATTGTGTGTGTATGTGTTTGTATTCAAGGATTTTGTTCCCTAGTTCATCAATATTGGTTTTTTTGCAAACAGACAAAAAAAAAATTCAATCTTATTGAAATTTTTTCACTTTAATTTTATATTCTTAGATCTTGAACTTTTTTTTCTCCTTTTTTTCGATTCTATTTTTGCGTGAGTTTGTGACAATCGAAATTTTTTTCCACAATGATTCCGTCTGATGAACACATACACTTACATAGACATACGTTCAATTTTCCAAGTGGTATACGAAAGATTTGATCAAAGATAGAAAGATCAAGAAAAGTATTTGAAATGATGATGATGATGATGAAAAGAATTTTTTTTAAATAAAAAAAAAGAAAAAAGAATTTCACTTTCCATATAAGAAACACACGCACATTTTGAGACACAATCAAGTGATGGAAAAAATTGAAAAATAAATTTTTATACACAAAATAATAATAAATTTACCAAGAGAAAAGAAAAAAAATTTATGCGTATTCGGGATTTATGAGCAAATGATCTTGCATCTGGTGTGCGTGTATGTGTAACATTTCGTTCCATTTACATTCCTCTTCTACATTATAATGATAATTTTGGCCATATTATGTCATCTTATTTATCAGTGAAATTTTTTTTTCACATTTTCAATTTATTCAAATTGCATGGAATGAAAATGGTGACCAGATTTCATAAATGATTCAACTGGATTTATTTCCTCTTCGTTTTTTTTGTTGTTGTTGTTGGGCGAATCAAAAACTTTGCATCATCATCATCATTGTTGAAATTGAAATTACATTTCTTTTCTCTCTTTTTGAATCTAAAAAAAATTTAAATTGAAAAATTGTTATACAAAATGTACATTATGAGTATGTTCATTATATGAAATGAATCTTTCAGGTGTGAAAAAGTTTTTTCACTCGCTTACTTTTCTTTCATTGATCAAGAATACACACACAATAAAATGTCTTAAACTTTTGAATTAAATCGAAAAAAACTAGACAAAAAAAAGTCTTTTAATCAAAATCAATTTTATTCATTATCATTCACCTTGGTATTGCAAAAAAAAGAATTTAAGTGAAAAAAAAAATTTCAAAACTTTTTTCCGTTTGAAAAAAAAAAAATATATTACATAATTTTCAAATAAAACAGAGAATTTTTCTGACTTTTCACATACATTTATTATTATGTTTTTGATGTGATTTTTAATAATTCGTTACATAATGAATTCATGTGTGGTTTGTCTGTGTGTGTGTGTGTAAAGAAATCATTAGTAGCTTCATTTTTTCTCCTAATTTCAAATATTGATGGAAAGACACATTGATTGAATATATTTGATTTGAAGGGAAAAAGCGAAAAAGCAAAACATTTTTCTTCCTTCCTTTCACGTTTATTCAATACATTATAACCACGAAATGAATGAATGAATGATAAAAGTGGTTGTGATAAGAATTTTTTTTTACATTCTTTTCTCGTTTTTTTTTAGTTTTGGTTTCATTCCATGATTTACTTCGAAAAGAAAACTATTTCTGAAACTATATGTAAAACTAAAATCAATGTGTTTGACATGCGTTTTCGTTTGTCTGTCCTTTTTCGTTTCATGATTTTTTCGGGTTCGACCTCCAACATATTATTTCACTATTCTCTCTCCTTTATTCTGTGGTTTCATATAAAACTATTTTCGATTATTTTTTTCACCCATTCTCATTTCATTTCTTATCAAAATATTTACCACTAGCATCCTCAATGATCAATGACAATGTGTTGGAATTTCATTTTCTATCATTCTGGAACATCAATATATATATTTTTTTGGGTACATTTTTGTAGTCTATGGAAAACCAGGAGCCATTATAATTTCAATGCGAATAAAATCATGGAATTGTTTTTGAATGAATTTTTTTGCATCCAATTTCTCGTCTGTTCATCATTGTCGAAAACTTTTTTGTTTGCCGATGCTACTGCTCAATAACAAAAAAAAATATTCATGGTTATTCCATTCGGATATTTTTTCGCCGTGTGTTTGTCAGTGTGTGCTTATGTTTATTTGTCTATGTGCGGATGACAATCAAGAATCCAGAATTCCCAACATGGACAAATAACTAAAAAAAAATCTATCTTACTAGTTTTGTTTTCACCCAATTGGCTGACAAAAAAAAATAAAGAATAAAATTGGAATTTATTTTCCCATTCTCTCTCACTCAATCACATTTTCGATACAACAGCATCACAATCAATTTACAGTGTCAATGGCTTTTAGTTTCTTTTTCTGTGTGTATGATTCATAAAAAAAAATTTGTCCGTCTTTTGGACATTCTGTTCAGAATTTCTTTATTTCTCTTCGTGTGTTAGCATCTCAATCGCCGAAAATAACTATTGTTTAATGTTATGTGTGTGTACGTGTATTCGCATATTAATTCTTTTTAAAAACATTATTTTTTTTCTTGGTTGTTGAAAATTTCGTTTCGTCATTATCAATCAATTCTAATGCCGAAAGGGTTATAAAAAAAATTTTCAAAACAAAAAAAAAACAATTCATTTCACAACTGACTATAGGTGAATCAGAATTTATATGAAAAAAAATATAATAATTATTTTTAGCTATTTTGTGATATTTAAAAAAAAATTTTTGTTTGTTCAAGCCATTAGTAATCATCATTACGATAACAACAAATTTTTTTTTATAATATAAAATTCTCAACGGTAATGATAATGATAATATCAATTGTGATTTGAACAGATAGATTAATCTATAGATAAATAATGTAGAGATAATTCCACCATCGGCCAACATAGAATATTCATTACCTTTTTCCATTCAAAAAAAAAATTCTTTCGTTTTTTATTTCATCATCATCATTCAGCGTTAGTTTTTATATAAAAGCTTAATAGAGAATCATTCATTCGCTATATTGGAATTTCAAAACATTCAATTTTATTCTAGGGTTTTTTTCATTTTCATTTCCATTGTGCATTCGAAAACTAACAGACCAGAACGATCATCATCATCAGTAAAAAAAACAACAACTAGATCGGGTCTCTATTATCGTTTTTCTTTCTCTCACTCTTTCAATGTTACTAATACAAAATTGATGCTGAAACAAAACAAAACGAAAAAAACCAACACTAACAACATCCACCTTTATTTCAATGGTACGTATGGATTTGATTATTATTATTATTATTTTCAATTTAAATTCTTCGGTACAAAACAAAACAAAACAAAATTTAAGTTTCACAAATCGATTGCGTCATATATCCGCATATAACTGTCATAATGTCATTTCAAGTTTTTTTAACACTGGCAATGAAAAAAAATTTCGATTTTGTTTTTTTTTTGTTGAGAGAATTTCTTTTTTTTAATAGGAAACTATATGGGAATTGTCAAATTCAATTTGATACATTTTCGATTATTTATTCTTTTTTTTATGAGGAGAAAAACTGAACGGAAATTATATTCGGTACAATGAGTAAAATTGTAACAATAATAACAATAACAACAATAAGGACAACTAGAAACAAAAACCTTTAAAGAATAAACACATATAAAAGTAAATTCAATCGTTTAGTGTCTAAATTAGATTAAAGTTTTATACTTTTTTTTGACACAATGTATATTCATCGTTCGATTCGTGAGCCAAATAATGATGATGATAAAATTGAAAATTTTCAAGGAAAAATGATCCAAAAATAAGTAACTTATTGTTGCTATTGATTATATTTATTTGTGAAAATTGAAATTTTATTACTAAGTTTTTGGATTAAAATAAACAAAAAAGTAACAGCCAATAATTATCGATTCAAAAATAATTAAATGTCAATTATAGTGATTGACCAGACGAAAAAAAATAAAATCAAAGTCTGTTTCTTTCCATTTCCAAACAACAACAAAAAATTCTTTGATTTTCATATATCAAAGTCTATTTTTTTCCAATTTCCCATGTCATTCATATTTGTCATCATAAATAAATGAACACATGCCAAACACACAACAAGAACAACATAAAATCCATCAAAAAAAACATTGTGGTGATGACTTATGATGAACCAGAAAAAATGGAATTCAAAAGCAAAAATAGTGCAAGCTAAAAAACTACCGAAAGAAAAAGATCTATCATTCCATTTCACACGAAAATATATTCAATTAGTTAGTCTTTTTTTTTGGTTGTCATCATCATCATCATTGCCATTTGTCATGTTTTTTTCCCAGCATTTTTTCATAAGAAAAATCTCTTATCCATTGTCAATGAATTGAAAATTCATCATTGTCATCATCTTTTTTTTGATGATGATTGTTAGTATGGTTAAGAAAAAAGAGGTGATGATATTAGAAGAATAAATGTAGAATAAAAAGCATCAATATTTATGTTTGTATGTTTTTTTCCATGTGATGTTTCATCCATAAATCATTTCATTAAAAAGCACTGTTCTGTTGTTGAGTAAAGCTGCTTTTGTTCATTTGATTTCAATTATATCTAAAAATCAAAAAAAATCTATTCAATATTGTAAAGTCTATTGTCATCATATTCTACAGAATTTTTATTTTTTTCCTTGAGAAAATTTTGTTTCGTTGTGCTGATGTAATTGATTATTTGAGCGGATTCAGTGGATTTGTTTTATTTTCTGTTTCGAATAAAATGAAGTCAGAAAAAAAACGAAAAGATTAATATATTTGAAAAAAAGTTTACATTATTCGATGGAATCACATTTTGATGCCGTTATTTTTTCGAATACAGAGCGACAAAATGAGAGGTCTCTATACTATCATTACTATGAGATAATAATAATGTATTAATTTGAAGTGCAAAATATCAATGATAAAAAACTTTAGGGAAAGTCTCAAATGAATGAAGAGTGATGATGATGAACCAATAAACTATGAAAAAGTGAAAACAAAAACGAACATAGCCATTAAAAATTCTCATTAGTTTTTTTCGGGTTGAAACGTTTTTTCCATTTAGTTTCATTTAGTTGTTGTTGTTGTTGTTGTTAATTCTATGAAATTATTAAATGTAATCGAAGTTAGTTGATGATCATCATAAATGATTTACACTATTAATCACGTTTTCATTCATTCATTCATTGCTCGATTTGATTAATTGAGATGATTTGATCAGTAAGTAAGTAAGTCAATCAGTCAATCATTTATTTATATATTTAGGATGAAACAAATGTTATTAAGCTTTTTTCCAACGTTTTCAATAAGAAAGTACAGATATTCTTGTATTATTAATCATCAATTGATCTTTTCTCATTGATTCACATTATATGTTCAAGATGATGACAATAAAAATTAAGGAAAAAGGAAAACATGATGATATCATTTTTTTGTTTGTAATAGTAACGGGAAACAGCTTGTTTAGAATTGAAAAGAGATAAATGGGAAGCTGAATGATGATGATGATGTGGATGGTCATTGTTTTTGTTGTTGTTAATTCTAAAATTAGAAGAAAAGAAATCCGATACGGATTTGTTGTTTTGTTCAAGTTTTGTTTGTTTTTGTTTTATTCTGTTCTAATTGCCATCATTTTATAAAAGTGATGACCATATTTACATATTAGATTTTTTCTCTTGAAATAATATTCGAAAAGGCAAAACATTAAACAAAAACATCACACACACAAAACACACCAAAAGATAATGATTATATTTGTTCGAACAAAGCATCAAATTGCATTTCGAATCTATATATGTGAAAATATATTGGAGATTCCAAAATATACTCGTAAATGATTATTAGACCATTATTACCATCATCTAATAGTTATTTTCATTTATTTTGTTCATTCATTTTATGAATCACAATGCTATTGTATTCATTAAATTTAATGTATTGGGTCGATAATTTTTTCAAGATAAAAGTAGTGATTAACGGTTTAAACGGTAAAAAAAACAGCTCAATACGAGTGGATAATGCTTATAATAGACATCATTCAGAATAATTAAACGAAAAAAATTTCATTGTATAATCACTATTTTAAAAAAATGATCGGACTATTTTATTGTTGCTGAATCAACTTGATCTTTTGTTATTCATCTTTTTTTCGTTTTTATTCTGGTTAAGTTCGAAAAAACAAATATTCGAAATTTCGAACGTGATGAACATAATAATCGATACTGAATATATAGAAGAATCGATGGCAAATATTCGAACAAATTCATATATGAAAAATTGGTTACGAAATTGAATTAATAATGTAAACGATTTTTTAAAAAAAGTTGATCCTCAATCTTTGAAAGTTTTTTTTTGAGTTTTTGTTTGTTTGTTTTTTTTTTGCATTTCGATTTGTATGTCATGTAGAAAAGACAAAGATTTCAAAAAAAATTGTTCATCAATAATAGGGATTTTTATATTTCATCCGAATATTCTATTTGATAAATGTTGTTTTTTCACATTGATAGAATGTTGTTGTATATTGAAAATGGAAAAAAAATATTCGATATATGTGGGAAAAGAAATAACAGAACAAAAGATAATATTCGATAAATGGATGAACGACAACAAAATGAGCTAATAGGAATTACTAATAGTATCTTTGAGAGTAAAAGAAAAGACAAAAGAATGGATGGCCAAAAATAAATGGCATCATTTACGGGCCTGTCATCATAATCATGATGATGATGATGATGATGATCAAATTTTATTGTTTCATTTCCCAAGATATTTTTGTTGTTCAATGTATGATGATGATGATGATGGAATGACTTGAATTATTTTTGTCGAATAAATATAACAATAATCATATATTGTATGAAAAATGATAATTAATTTCATACATAAATACATTCTCATGGGTGTGATGATGATGCTGATAATGGTGATGATGGAATCTCCAACAAAATCCCGAATTAGTTTATATGTAAATGTCATTTTGAAACTTGTTTGTTGAATGTTATCATTATTATTATTATTTTGTTTTGTTTTGTGTTCGGTCCAGTTCGTTGATTACAATCGGTACCATATTTTTCAAATGAATAAACACGTCATTTTTCTTTCTTGAAAATTTTTTTCTCTTTATTTATTTAAAAAACAAAACAAACATTTCATTTCCTATTGGATCGTTGATGGCTTTTTTGTTATAATTTTGAATATCATTAACTATTCGTGTTTGTTCATCCATTCATTATATTCTTTGGTAAAAAACAAAGAAACAATAAAAAAAATAACTATTGTAATAGATGGAAAGAAACTATACTGTATCAACATTATAACCTCGGAAATTTTTATTTATTTATTTCAATTTACAATATGTACGTAATGATACGAAATATCAAAATTCTTCATTGTATTTAAAGTAATAAATATTGGCGAATATAAACAATACATCAGTTTACTAGGAATAATGATGTGATGATATTCAGTTTAAATAGACTGAATATAAACAATTTAATAATCATTGGAAATTGACCACAAATTTTCTGATGCTGATTTTTTATTATTCTCCAATAAATGTTTATATTATTAATGGTTATATAAATAAACGTAATATGTTTTTATATTTATAAAAATTATTATCATTGTCAATATAATAAACTATGAAAATATTAAACAAAAATTACGTAAACATTAAATTATTCATCTTAATATGAATGTTTTTTCCTCTCTCTCTTTGACAGCTAATAACCATTACATAAGATATAAATGAAAAATTCTGTTTTTTTCCAAGTTTTTATCAATTGGACCTTTAGGATTCCATATTATTATTATCATTATTATTATTAATGTTGTTGTCATAATTCATTATTAACTTAACTTAACTTGAAGAGGATATGATATTACTTTCAAAATGATATGTTTCATGTGTTTGTGTCCAAATTTTTTTTTTCTATCGTTAAGATAATAAAAATCCCTGATGTTCATAATTTGTTGTTGTTGTTTAAATTTTTCGAAAACTCAAAAGAAAAAACATCGCTTACATTAACCAAACTAATCAATTTTTATTTTTAGAAAAGAAAAAAGAAGAAAGAATCAATAATGATGTTCATCAATTTTAAAAATAGATTTTAAATTTTAGATTTTAAAGATAATAATAAAAAAATAACAAAGATAAAAACATTTAATAAAAAGAAAAATCAAAATCAAAATCAAAAACGAACACACAAAGGATTTACAGCGAAATGTTACTCTTATGTCAAATTTTGTTGTTTCATTACACTTTTATTTTGTTGAAGAAAAAAAATATCAAGACAGTTTCTGACTTTTTTTTTCTCAGTCAGTGAATTTGTTTCATTTATAATTGGTAAACAATCATTATAAATAATTATATTTTTATATGAAAAATACCACAATAATGCTGCTCTGGTTAGATTCTTCTTCTTCTTGTCTTCTCCTCGTCTATCTGGTTTCATAAGCCAGTTCTTATTTTCATTTGCTAATTTCGTCATTCAAGAATCATCCATTTGAATCCAAATGAACACGATTACCATCATTCAATAATTCATGCATTCGTTCGTTTAAATCCCCAGGGAAATCATTATATTCAAGCAAAAATGTTATTAAACTAGTAGAATCTAAAGAATCAAAATAAAAATTATCAAAAAAAAAAAATAAGAATTTCTGGAAAAATATTGATAGATAAATATTTCATTGTCAAAATCTGAATAAGTTAGTGAATAAAGAATGAAATTGTTTGAATAACAATTATGATTAGTGTTAAATTTGTTTCTGTTTCTTATTTTCTATTCAGCATTAGTATAGCTTAGTTATTATAATATTTCAAACTTACTCTTGATTGAATTCATAAGAAGATTGTTCTGAATAAATCGTTCTGTCAGATCACATGCAGACAAATTGAAGTGTTCCAATTTTCTAAATGTGCTGATGATCTGTGCTATTGAATATACACAATCATCACCCAATGGATTGTAACTGAGATCCAATTTTCTAAGTGAAAGATTCAAATTGATCAAGTGTATCAAACAACTGGACGACAATGATACATTAGATAGATATAATTCCTTTAAATTCGATAGTGAAACGATCATTGTTTGAAATGCATTATAATTCTCTTTGTTTGCCAATAAATTCGTATGTGATAGATCCTAAGAGAAATCAGAACAAATTATTCTGTCAATGTTTTATCAATGATAGTAACAATGAAAAAGAAAAAGAAAAGCATCGTTGTTTTCTATTATTATTATTGCTTACATACCAATTCTTTAATGTTCTGTTTTAACAATGCCTTCATCATTAATGTAATCTGGATTTTCGATGGAAAATACAAACCTTGAAAGGTTAGATATAAATTTTTATAGGATTTTCTTAAACTATTTTCAATGTTTTTATCAACATCCGTTTGTTGTAATGTACACAATTCAATATAACGTTTATCAGGTTGATCAATTGTCCATTGTTCAATGATTGCTTTAATATTACGTTCATTATCACCAACAATATCTATGACTAGATCAGAATCAAGTAATATAGCATCATTATCTGTTCGTAATGAAAACATTGGTTTCGTTCCATAATGAGTAAAATAACGTCTAATCAATTCTTCTTTAAGCCAACGACAATTTGAATCATTTTCAATGAACACAATAAATGAACTTTTTTGACTATCATCAAAATGAACCGTCAATGCTTTACGATTTTTATTTCTATTTATTATTTGGTGATTGTCTTTATTAGCTGAATTTGCCCTTATTGCAGATGTAGAATTGACAGGCGAACAATTGTTTTCCGTTGATGCTTCAACAATGGTGGTGGTTGATGAACCGGAAATTAAATGTGAAGGAAAAGTTTCAAAAGTATTTTCATTATCATCATCATCATCATAAACGACCGGATAATTATTATTGGTATTTGTCTCAAATGAATCGGAATCTAATTGTATAACGTCAGTGTTTGATTTAAGTTTTTTGTTTGTATCATTTCTGTCAAAATATTCGCCTAACATTCGTTTACGTATATGCTGCTTTTGCCTTTTATCACCCAAATCATCAATAAGCCAATCATCTCTTGGCATTTCTTCATTTTCGTCAATCAAAGCATGATGATGCTTATGGTCTTTCGTTTGAAACGAAGACGAAACGGCAGTTTTCGTTTTCGAACCAAAATATCGAATCGATTCAATCGTATTACGATATTCTTGACGAGCTTCATGTGCCATCAAATCATCACGAACGGTGATCATATTATTTTCATCGTTGGCATTACGATGAATAAATTGATCAGAATTTTCGCTTGAATAAATATGATCTTTTACTAAATTTCTTTTTCTAATAATATTAGTAGAAGTGTTTGCATCACTGCCATTCATTTTAGTAAATGTTGTTTGCAGAAGCTTGCTATTATTATCATTATTATTGTTGTTGTTGTTATTGTTGTTAGAACGTTTGAATAATTTGGTCGGATCAAATCCTTTATCCTTCATTAAGTTTATCATACGTATTTCAAGCTCCAGACAATTGTCAAGATCCTGTTTATTCAATTCATTTTTACTTCGTTCACGCCAACTCATCAAACATTCTATGGGTGTTTCATTGTTCGAATTTTGTGCCAATACATTCGCATTATAATCGAGTAACAATCTAATTATATCAAAATGTCCACAATTACATGCATCGTGTAATGGTGTAATACGATCACTTCGATCATCACATGATTCAATATTGGCACCTTTTTTCAAAAGATGTTCAACAATAGCTATAAATCCATGATTACATGCTTCATGTAATGGTGTCCAACCACAAAAATCTTTAGCATTTATATCGACATTTTGACTAATTAATCGTTCAACTTGAACAAGATTCCCGGCAATACAAGCCGTATGTAATGGTGTTTCACCGAATTGATTCAAACGATTTCGAATAGATGATTTATTGGGATTTCGTTTTGGTTTTGAATGAAAATTTTCCGGCATTTCTTCATCATTTTCATTGCCATCCGAATCGATTTCAATGGCTAATAAATCAATATCATATTGATCATAGATATCATTAGTAATTTCAGTCTCTTGTATCTCATCATCATCATCATCTTTGTCATCATCAACGATAGTTATACGGTTCAAATCGGCAAGCTCTTCCTTTAATTCATCTTGTCGATATCGATTCAATTTGTTTGACTTGAGAAAATTCAGATAATTTCCTATAGCTGTTTTGTAAAGTTTTAATTTTCCTTTTCCATTTTGAATCCGTGTATCGAGATCGATTTGCCCATTATGATCATGATCGATTGGCAATATTACTTTCAAATCGGAAAACAATTGCATAGAATTTTCGTAATTTTCAATAATTTCCTTTTTCAATTTATCTTTTTCATCAATGTCCAAATCATCGATGAAAACATATAAACATTCTTGTATGTCAGCAATTTTGAGTAAAGATGTACATTGTTCACATGTGTTTCCCAATTGAAAATTATATTCATGTTTAAAATATTCGATAGCTTTATAGTATTTTCCACTATCCAAATATGTTTGTCCAATCGATACATAAATTTTTGAAATGAAAGCATTTGGTTTGTTTGCTTCGGTAGCAAATAATAATTCTTTTTTATAATATTTTATTGCTTGTAAAAAACATTTGATTATGACAAAATGATCGCCTAATCTATCACATAGAATTATTTTCTCCTCTAAATCATTTGTTTCAAATAATTTTTTCAAATCACAATCAATTGCCATAGAAACTTTTAATAGTTGAACAATTCTTTCTTTATCTTCATCAACATTGATTTTTAAACAGTATGCTTTCTTTAAAAAAGATTTTGCTCTATCAATTTGTTCCTGTTTCATCCATGCTAAACCTAAACATATGAATACATCAAATTTTTTCCGTTTACTTTTCAAAGTATCAGCCGTTTTTAATGCTTCCTCATAATGATGAATAGCTTCCGTTTGGCAATCAGTTTTTTCATTAATCGAACCCATTGAAATTTGACAACGAAAAAGCTCGTCAAATAAATAATTTGCTCTATACGATTACAATGTAAACATTTTTTTATGAAAAAAAATTCTTATCAGATTCTTGATGCATAAAAAAAGTTATTAGTTAAATATATGAAAAAAACTTACTTTGTCAATGTAATGGAATCTTCTATCAATTTTTTACACTTGTCAAAATCATGAAGATTTTCATACACTAAGCCTAGATTGAGTAAAAGTCGAGATTTCATTTCAGCATATTCTCTTGGTTTTAATTTCCCCGAAGACCGAAGACTATGTATAAGACAATGTTATTATGATCATTCAAATGTAAAAAATGATAATCAATAAATCATTTGGCTGAAAAAAAAGAAATCTGATACAATAAAATTGCGAATAATTACTTTTCACATAGATCCATCGCCTTTTGGAATGAATATTCGGCCTTCTTCATTAGATCACAATTAGTTTTTTCGTTTTCGGATTCTTGTCCCCAAAGTAGATATGTACGACCAATGGTTGCATGAGCACGTTGTATCTCAATCGGATCATTGATTTGTAATGTTAATCGCAAATATAATTCATGCTGATTCAATGCTTCTGAATGTTGGCTCATTTCCGAATAACATTCACCTAAAGCACGACGGCTAACTGCTTCCAATTCACGATTGATTGTCGAATTTTTTATTTTCTTACAAATCGTAATGGCTTCCAAATGTTCATCTAATGCTTCATTGTAACGACCAGATTCACGAAATTTATGACCCAAAAGATTGGCAATTTCCACATATTTTATTGGATCATTTTTGTATTTAATTTTATCCGATTTCAGTTCTAAATTTGTTCATTCAAAGAATTTTAGTTGTTTCAGTGAACAAAAAAGAAAATAATGATCAAACCTTTAATCGAAGACATTTTTTCTGCAATAATGTATTTTTGCTGAGCAAAGGAAATTTTTTTCTGATTATTATTGGCGAAAAAAAAAGTTCAATTTAAAATGTTATGTTGTTGTCAAAAAAAAAATTCTTTTGATTTTTGGCGGTTTTTGTCACGTGAATATTGTCAATTCATAAATGACGCTACTCATTTTCTTTTATTATGCAAGAATCTACATGGTTGAAACATGTTGATTCGCGACCTATGAACCTTGACAAAAGAATATCGAGCACCCAAATATTTGACCACCACTCTGTTTATGTCATTAACCGATTGAATTTTTTTTTATATTGAAAAATTGATTTGAAAGATGTGTGATTCAAAAAAAATCTTTTGATTGAATGTAAAACAAATTCCGTTTCATACTTCATATAGAAAAATAAATGACCCGAAGGTTTGTTCCCAAATAAAAAAAAAATTCCATTCATTTTTGGTTTTTTTAAAAAAGCCAATTTTTCTTTTCAAACTTAATAATGTGTTAAAATTTTTGAAATGTTACATTCGTTTGTTGTTGTTATTATTTTATAAATGTCATTAAAAAAAATCCATCTACAAATAAACTTTCATTTCGTACATTTTGACCATCATCGTAGAATTTGGTAAAAATTTCCCACTATCCAGTTATATCAATTCATATTTTATGAGAATAATTTTCGTTTGTTTCAAATCTAATAAATATTAAAAAGGATAATCTAGCTTTGCCATGGCTTCCATGGAATTTTCATTTTGTTTTTTATTTCATCCAATAATTGCTTTTGTTTTTTTGTTTTGAAAACAACAACAAAAGTTGACCATTGGCTATTGTTTTTTTTCTGTCTAGTTGATATAAAATCATGATTTATTTTCTGTTTTATTATTACTGCAAACTTTGTGCTAATATTTTGTGTGTGTGTGTGTTTGAAAACAAGAATCAATGTTGTTGGTCAAAAACAACAAAAAAAATTCATCTAATTTAAAATGACAAAGAAGCAAGAAGAAAAAAATTTCAAACAAAATCCAATTATAAAACAAAACAAAAATGACAGGAATGGAAAAAAATGATAATATTGCAATAGTCAGCTTGAAAAAAAGCTTGGCATCCATTATTATTAATTATAAAATTCATAATTCCTATTCAGAAATAGTAAATCGAATGGAATTATTGAAAAATAATCATCATTATCGAATCTGTTACTATTCTGTTATCATTTTTTTACCATTTGGATTAGAAGATTTTTTTTATTGTTTTTCTTTAATTAATTATTTTTTCAGCTTTAATTGAATTTCTATTTTTGTTTTTCATTTGCGTCTAATGTTTCGCGAATGCGATTTATAATGAAAAACAAAAAATAACGAAAAAATTCCGATATCAATGAATAATCATCATTTCAATAGAAACAACAACAACAAAATTATTATGAAATGGTTTAGTTATTGATTGGATGTGATGATGATAAAAAACAAATGACGACAACAACAACAACAAAAACTTGAATGATAATACAATTTTTTGTTTTCTCCATTTGGATTAGTAGTAGTATTTTCAATCTTAATTCATTTCTTTTGCGTGTGTTTGTATTATGTTTGTGTTTTTGTATGATGGATCAGATTTTGGGCACAGAAAAAAAAAATATTATTTCAAACTTTTTATTATTCTTCCAATTTTGTTGTTGTTGTTTTTCTTAAAGTTTAGCTCGATTCTTTATATCGATTCTATTAGTTTTTGTTTTGTTCACAAATTCTTTTATGTTTTCGGAAAAAAATGACGAGACAGAATAAAAAAATCAGAATTTTCAATTTTCTTTATATCATATCGATTTGTTCGCATCTTCTTCTTTTTTCTTCAACCAAAAATAATGTTGATGGCGGATGTACAACTTTTTTTTTGTTTGTGTGCATGGTGTTGAACAGTTTTCAGATCGATTGCCAGAAACTATAGAAAAAAAATGAAAATTGATTCGCACATTTTGCTTATTGTATTAAAAATATGATAAGCTTTTTTGTCTGATGATGATGATAATCGAATAAATCAAATGATGATGAAAACAAAAAACAATTTCAAATATAGAACCAAAACAATGGATTCTAAAATTATATTTTGTCGTTGTCGTTGTTGTTTTTCATTTTCATTGATTATTAAATGAAATCAATTTTTTTTCAAAAGAATGTTTTTGTTGTTGTTCAAGAATACAGTCACCAAGCTTTTTTTTTAAAAAAAAATCAATTTTTTCATTGAAAATTTTATAAATAAATTCAAGGTTATAACCATTGATAATTGGTTTCTGTATAATTCCATCTATGAATCATTTAATCCAACATACAAATTGTCTAATTATTTATTCAAAAAAAAAAAATTCTTTTGTGCTAAAATAAATTATCAAAAATTTCAATCAAATTTTATTACAAGAGAGATTCATTTTACAACAACAACCAAAGAACAAAAAATTTGAAAAGTTTAAATTCAATTTTCAAACCAAAACAAAAAACGATCGATTTCCTGCCTTTCTATCTCTCTACATTTATAGCTATCATCATCAATTATTTGAATTTTTATTGTTTTGGTGTTTACATGACATTTGTCACTTTCAATGAAATGATTCGATTAGTTTTTTTTTCGAATCCTTTTGCAATTTATCAGTGGTTTTTGTTTTTGTTTTTGTTTTTCTCTATTTCGTCCTCGAAATTAGGACTTGTTTATATCCAACATATTTTATCTATCACAATATTGTGTTGATAACGACATTGTCGAATTTTTGCTTTCCATATCTATAGATAGATATACTTATTCATTCAGTTATGAAAATATTTTTGTTTTCCTAACATATTTTCATTTTCAATACCAATTATAATGATGATTATTGAGAAAATGTACAAATAGCGAGAGATAGAAAGAGAAACAGAGATTTATAAATAAATCCAAAAGCGAAAAAAAAATATTTAGTTTAGTAATAATTTTATCTGTATTCAATTTTAGATTAGATTAGATTTTTTTCCTTCATTTTTCTTTTCGATTATTTTTATTGATCTTATTTTCATTTGTTTTTTTTGCATGGATTTCAAGATTCCAACTGTACGACAAAAAGACAAAACAAAACGAATACTCTTATTTCATTTTTTTCCTGATAATCCGTGTTTCTTTTCTTTTCTTTCTTTATATTTTTTTTCATTGTCATTCAATGAATCAATGTTTTACAGTTACATTTTCAGTTTGGTCAACAACAATGTTTTTTTTCCCAAAAAAAATTTGAATGTCATTGGTTATTCTTTGTTATTCTCTTTCTCTGTGTATGTGTGTATATCTTTTTCATTTTTTTTTTCTGTTCAACTTGATTTCATTAATATTGATTATGATCATGCGTGTTGTTCGTATTAAAAAAGAATTGAAAGAAAGAATTTATGTTTAGTGCAAAATGAAAAGAGAGTGAGAGAATTCAAAACTATTATTAATTTGATTATCATTAATACATCTTTATGATGTTGATGATGATGATGATGATTAGATGTAAATCTAATGATGATTATGATTATTATAATAATAATAATGACACGCATGACATTTTATTCTTTAACATTTCATTTCCAAAAATAAATCTTATTTATTTTAGCATAATTACTTTTCATCATTTTTATACGAATAATAATAACTTAAATGATTATCAAATTTGCATATGACGAATGAAATTATTACAATAATAATAATAATAATAATAATTTTTTTCATAATTCTTATCATTATTATCGTTTGTCTCTTTTTTTTCAACATAATGAAAATCTTATGAATTGGAAATTTTCATCTTCTTTTTTTTAAAAAAAAAGTTCTCCCTCATTTATTGTCGACGATTCTGTTGGTTTGGAGAATGTTGTTGTTGTTGTAAACAAAAACATTCGATTCGTTTATATTGACAAATGAATAAACATTTGTGATTATAAAATGTTTGTCATGTCATTCTCTTTTGCTTGTCATCCACATTTACATTTTTCTTTTAAAAATATTTTAAATTTAAACTTAATTCTTATTCAAGATCTTTTCTGTTCTTGTTGTTTCTTTCATTTATCATTTCAAAGAAAAAAAAACAAACTAGTTATAAAATTCTAATGAACAATGATCCTAATAATTCAAATATTCAAAAAAAAAAGAAAAATGTTATTGATGCCAAATCTTAAAAAAAAGAAATTCAACTAGACAAGCTATTTTTTCTCAAGAATTTGCAATAAATTTGAATTTTACTTTTCAAATATAATTTATATATTTTTCATTTGTTTTCGTCATTCTCATTCCGGTTATTATTATTATTATTATTATTATGTAGGTGTGGTACAATTTTTATTAGTTTGTTTTGTTTTGTTTAGTTACTATCTGTCACCAAAATGATTTTGTTTGATATACATGAATATAATATTTCATGGACATGAAAAACTAATGTCATTTTCTTCACCGTCATCATTATACACGTAGTTGAACATATTTATCATCATTATTATTAAAAAAGAATTTTTCGTTGTTGTTTTTATTCTTAATTTTTTTGTTTTGTTTTGAATATTCTGACATGAATGCATTGAAATTTATTATTAAGTTAACAAATAATGATAATCATAGAATAAATAGCAATAGCAATTCACCGGGGTAGATAAATATGTTTTTTTTCTTCATCATCACTGTTTTCGGTTGTTATTAGTAGTGCAACAGAATTTTTTACCTCATTCATTTTCTATATTTATTCATGACTGTCAACGTGAAATTTTTTTTTTGTTACAAGGTTTTCTTTTTCTCGTTCACGTTTGGTAATTTTGTTGTTGTTTTGTTTTTGTTTATTTAATTCGGTCTACCTTTGTGTGGGCGGTTTTTGATTCTGAATTTTTTTTGCATTAGTTTAATTAGGTGTGTGTGTGTCGGTATGCTTAATTGTCATTAATGGTCTAGTTAATTAACGTAGAATAATTTTTGTTTGTTTATTTTCACCTTTGTTTTACAATGATTCTTTCTTTCTTTCTTCTGTCATATAATCAGGCAATCATTAATTTACATTTTTTCCAAATTTTTTATTTGCATATATTAACAGGTTAATTAATCGAATAACATCGCATTGATTTTATGACAATTATTCAATTCACTGTCAACGAAATAAACAAATTCGCTTAATAATTACCGATAAAATTAAAAAAACAAACAAACATGGATCATTCAGTAAAAGTAATGAATTCACATCGTAAAGTAGCCTTTTCAAGGCTATTCATTTTTCAACAACGAAAATTTGAAAATCAAGAACTTGAACAATTATATCAACGTTATATATTTAAATTACAACAAACATCAATTGTATCGGCATTATTATTGTTGGCCTTATTATCAATATCGATATCATTATTACAATTTTATTTTATACATACGGCAACAATAATTGGTATCTATTGTCTAATACAATGTATAATATTTATATTATTATTCATATCATCATTTCGTATGCATGATCAACAATTATTAGCATTATGTTATGTGATTATATTTTTCTGTATTTTATTCTGTTTATTATTATCACCAATTAATAATATACAACAATTAATTAAAAATAATTATTGGTCATCGATTGATAATGTGAATGATAATGAACGATATCGAATACAAACACAAAAACCTACGGATGGTTTATGGGCAATTGTATTTGTTATATATTTAACATATACAATGTTACCTATTAAATTATTAATATCATTTTTATTTGGTGTAATCATTTCGATTTTACATTTAATAATTACAATTATAAATGTATCAATTACTAATATCAATACCAATATCAATACATCATCCATTGTTTTACATCAGAATTTCATTCATAAACAAGTAAGTTGAAAAAATAAAGATTTTTCTTTTCTTTTTAAAAATTTATCGATTCATTCGATTAGATTAACTTTTATCTAATTTTCATTATATAAACAAATGGAGAATGATTTGGATTCATTAAATCCAATTATAACTTTCCTTTTACTTTTCAATCGAAACTTGTTCATTTAGATTGGATTCTGAATCAGAAAAAAAATTTCTTAAATTCTTTAAAATATCACATTTTTTGTTTGTTTGTTTTAATGATGTGTTTGGATATAGGATTTTTTTCCTGAAAAATAAAAGAATTTATTAATAAAAAATACACACGAAGAAACCTCAAGGCTTAACTAGGTTTATTTTATGTTTTTAGTGTTTTCAATCAGAGAAACAAACTCTTTTCTTTTACACACAGTGCTATAATTTCATTTACTTTATCATCATTCGGTAATACATTATTGATTTACACCTGAAACTTTGTTTTTTTAGTCATATAATTTCTAAATAGATAAATAACTTTTATGTTGAAACTGAAATATAAAATGATAAAAAGAGAGAATGAGAGAGTAAAATTATAATTTTAAAATAATAAAAGCTAATTTGAATTTCAAACAAAAGACGAGACAAAAAAAAATTCAGTCTTTTTTTCTTATATTTTTTTTCAGAGAAAAATTTTATCATTATCTTCAATTATTCACGTTTTCGTGTATAAGATAATATTTGCTCGATTTTTTTCCTAGTATTTACTAAAGTCAAAGAAAAAAAATAGAGAATCCACAACGGGAATAAACATTGGTTACTTGAAAACTTTTTTTCTATATTCCAATTTATGATGTTTATTGAAGTTTTTTTTTCATTTTCTCGGAATTTTTACCCGAATGAAGAGAAAATAAAAAATAAAACCGAAAACCAACTATGCGTTTAGTTTTAATGGAACAAAATTTCTGCTTGTTTTATTTCAATTAGCAATATTTTATGCTATTAACACTTTTAAAATTTTTTTTTGTTGTTGAAACTTTTCAAGTTTTTTTGCCGAAAAATAGCGGACATGGTTTTTTTTCATATAAATAAATTTTGCAATAAATAAATTCAACATTTCTTTTTTCTTATTATTTTTCAAATCAGATAATTGCAAATATTCTGATATTTTTGGCTGTCAATTTTATTGGATTATTTACAAATATTCTAATGGAAAGAGCTGGACGTAAAGCATTTCTTGATACAAGAAATTGTATTAATGCACGATTAGAAATGGAAGATGAAAATGAAAAATTAGAACGGTTATTATTAAGTGTATTACCACAACATGTGGCAATGGAAATGAAAGCTGATATTCTTTCACCACGAGAATTAGGACAATTTCATAAAATTTATATACAAAAACATGAAAATGTTAGCATTGTTTTTGCTGATATTGTTGGTTTCACTGTACTTGCATCACAATGTACAGCACAAGAATTGATTCGTCTATTGAATGAATTATTTGGACGATTCGATCAACTAGCCAATGATAATCATTGTTTACGTATCAAGATTCTTGGTGATTGTTATTATTGTGTTAGTGGATTACCGGAACCAAGATCAGATCATGCACATTGTGCAGTCGAAATGGGATTAGATATGATTGATACAATAGCTTCAGTTGTCGAGGCTACTGATGTTAATCTGAATATGAGAGTTGGCATCCATAGCGGACGTGTTTTATGTGGCGTACTTGGCCTTCGAAAATGGCAATATGATGTCTGGAGCAATGATGTCACCCTAGGTTTGTATAATTAGAAAACAAATGATCTCATTTTTTTCAATTTAACCATGCATTTATTATTTACAATAGCAAATCAAATGGAAGCTGGTGGAGTTCCTGGCATGGTCCACATAACACAATCAACATTCGATTGTCTTCATGATGAATATGAAGTTCAGGAAGGAAATGGAGCTGAAAGAAATTCCTATCTTCGTGAAAAAAATGTCAAAACTTACTTCATAATTCCACCACAACAAAGACGTAAAGTATGCATTTTTTTATTCTCACACAAAGCTCTCAATCAAAATTCCATTTTGTTTTTCAAGTTTAAACAAGTGTCATTCGTGTTTCATGTTTTTTTGCATGTATCTTTCTGTCAAATAATTTGATTTGAAACAAAATGTCTACGTGTCTGGCTGTGCGTGTGTGAGTTTAGTTTTCTGTCATGTTTGGGGAAGGTAGCCTAGATCCAATCAGAAAGTTTTTTTTTCATTTGACATTTTTTTAATCGATTTTTTCCTGTTAACGAATGTTTCAATGTTCATCCGTATTTGTTTGTTTGCTATGTTTTATAATGTGTTGTATATTTGATGATTATGACCATGATAAATATGACTGTCGATTTCAATGAAATTGATGTTCAATAATCATGTTTCATTATCCTTTCAAATTGATTGATTTTTTGTATTTGATAGACCCGCTCTAATTAATAGTAAATGTTATTTTTTTTAAATTTATTAATAATTATTGTAGCACTTCCTTTTCAATACTCTTCATGTACGTCATTTGGCTGGCTCAAAACGAAAACTTTCATTCAAAAATGTGTCCAATGTGGTCATACAATTACTACATTCGATTAAATACTCGATTGATGTACCATTTGCAAATATGGCAATGTTGGGAAATTCTTCAAACAATCTAACATTACCAAGTGGAATTAGTGCTAGTGAAATTACATTCAACAAAAAGGTAATTTATCATCATTGTATGAATGTAAAACATTTCCGTTTATTCCTGATTCGAATTTCTAATCAACTTTTTATGTGTGTGTGTGTACGCTACTAATCAACAATATTTTTCCTCTTTGTTCACTATTCACAGTTCCAAGGAACGGATGATAATAATAAATTTCGTAAACCATTTAAAAAACGTCATTCTATCGTTTATCATCAAGGAACGACCAATAGGGTTAATAAATATCTTTCACAAGCGATTGAAGCTCGTTCAGTTGATCAGGAAAAATCCACCCACGTTAATCTGGCAACATTATGCTTCAAGGACAAAAACAAAGAACGACAATATGGTGAAGAAAAAGATCGTGGTTATCTGATTGCTTTGGCATGTTCATTGGTACTATTATGTTTACTAACGGCATTGGAATTCGTTATATTAAGCAAGTAAGTTGATACACGTATAATGGTCTCTTACATAGTGTGATATCAATTAATCAATATTAATCACATTTTTCATAGAACTATCATTTTAGAAATATTGTTTGTTGTCACTTTTGTTTGGATATCCATCACGATAATATTGGTTTTGGCAGCTCGGCTAGAGGTCAGTCGAATAATATTATATGTCATAATCAATATGATTTACGAACATTTATTATTTTTTTTCAATCATTGATTGCTATAGTGCATTAGATGGGATATTTCAAGAATTTTTTTGGTCCGTTTAACTACAATCATTTCGTCTATAGTTTTAATCTATGCTATTGCTCAAATTAATGTTGTAAGCATATAATTATATTTAGTAAATTATATTTTCAGATCAATAATCAAAAAAAAAATCATCATTTTTCATCATTAATAGTTTACATGTTTAGATGATATTGCTTGTGATTATCAAAATCATTCATTGATTATCGATCCACAATTGGCCGAAATGCCCGATTTTAGTCGAATATGCCCATTTCCTCAATACATCATATTATCTTGTGTTGTATCATTTTTTTCTTTGGTCATATTTCTTCGATTACAAATGCTTTTCAAAGCAATATTATTGATACCAATGGCATTAGTTTATATATTGCTTATTGAATATACACATTTTAAACTATTCGAATGTATTTATGAGTAAGTATACTGTATCACCAAAATGTCGATATAATTTCCATAATGTGTTTTTTATTTTATATTTTTTATTTTTTTTTTTACTTTTAGATATGATGTCCCATTGCATATCACTGGTCCTTTAATTATATTACATTTTGTTCTTGCCATACTATTGCATGGGCGGCAAGTTGAATGGACGGCTCGATTAGATTTTCTATGGAATTCACAAGCAAATGATGAAAAAACGGAAATGTTAGAACTACAAAATAGTAACCGGCGAATTCTATTTAATTTATTACCATCACATGTAGCCACACATTTTCTGGACAATCAATTTCGCAATAATATGGTAAATAGAGAAAAAACTGAATGAAAAAAAATCTTTTATTATTTTAATTTGAAAAAAAATAAATTATTTCATTCATTCAGGATCTATATCATCAGTCTTATGCAAGAGTTGGTGTTTGTTTTGCTTCTATACCAAATTTTATGGAATTTTATATGGAATTGGATGGTAACAATCAAGGCATGGAATGTTTACGGTTATTAAATGAAATTATTGCTGATTTTGATGAGGTATGTTCAATAAACTATATTATTGAGATCGACTTATTCTTTAATACTTATTATCAGTTGTTAGATCAAGAAAAATATAAACCTATTGATAAAATAAAAACTGTCGGAAGTTGTTATATGGCTGCTATTGGTTTAATACCACAATATAGAATACCGGAAAATGATACTGCCTATGCTGCTGATGCTATGGCCTGTTTAGTTGATGTTGTATTTGACATGAAAGATCGTTTGGCGGAAATTAATGACAATTCTTATAACAATTTCATGTTAAGAGTTGGTTTAAATATTGGACCGGTTGTTGCAGGTGTAATAGGTGCACGAAAGCCTCAATACGATATCTGGGGTAATACGGTGAATGTTGCCTCACGAATGGATTCTACTGGCCTGCCTAATCACATTCAATGCACTGAAGAAGTCTATCAACTGTTAAAAGTATTTATTAGCTATTATTATTTTTTCCGATCCATTGTTAATTGAAATATATTTGTTGTAGGACTATCCATATGAATTCAAATGTCGAGGAACAGTGAATGTAAAAGGCAAAGGAGAAATGACCACTTATTTTTTGTTAAACAAAAAGAGTAATCACAAACCATTCAAAGCGCTCAGGCCAAGTAATATCGATGCGCCAAAATCCGGACAAAATGGCTCTACAACAAACAACTTTAAATTACAATCACAACAGAATAATCAATCTAGTTTTTTTCCTTCGAACAACTCGTCTCATTCGACAATAAATATTGCTGATAATGTCAGCGAAAATCAACAATCAACTAGGCCAAATAAAACATTCATGGATCGGCTACAAGCTTTAGCTAAATCGCGCCAACATGAAGATCAACGGTTATCTGTTATCGGTGAAGACATTTCTTATGATATTCATGATAAGGAAAGCAATTTATTTCAATGTTCTCAAGGGAATTTATGCTATAATGAACCTAAACCGATCATTCTGGGAAAATCCCCGGACAAGTGCCGGCTAATGGCCAAAGAAAATTCATGGGAATCTAGAGAGCCAATCTCAAATAATCCAAGAATAGAACTCAGTACAGCAATGTCGTCTTTAATGACCACAGCTCCGACAACATCAGTTCCGATAAAATCACCGACAAAAAATTCTTTGATTGGCACGCATCTTATTGATAAAACAAATCCCAACGATCTATTTATTGCAAATAATCCTTGCAAAAAACAGCATAATTTTTATTTTGATGATGATTCACTTTCAAATATAAAATCACAAGCTATGGAACGACAAAAACAAAGAAATCTTTTCTCTCCGGCCATGTCTCGTTGTACTGCATTTTCATTGGCCGACACAACTAAAGCTACTATAGAATCGGAAGAAAGTTTGAATAAACTTTCTGATGACGATGATGATGTTGATGAAGTAGGTGAAAATCGGCATAAAGATGAATCATCTTTAATTTATAATATTTCATCGAATTCATCTGATCAAAGTTGCCAATATGGTCAGATAATCAAGAAAAACTACACAAAAGAATGTATTGAAAATAACTTTTTTAATCGTAGCAAAAATCTTCCATTCAAAAGTGCTAGCAGCAATAAAAAACGTAATTCTGTCAATATTGATTTCCCAATGGATGATTATGATGTAGATTTTAGAAATTACAAAAACAATAATCACCATAATGATGATCAAAGTAAAATTAATGATAAAGAACAAAAAGTTTTTGAAAATGACCGAATTCTTCGTCAACATGCTATGAAAAGAATGTCTCATCATTTTGGCCAAGAGCCAACAAAATCTTTCCTTGCACAACGTAATCAACGACATTATCAAGCACATAATTCTCCTTTAATTGTACATCGATTTTATCATATTGATTCTGGAACGGACAATGCACGTCAATCGTCACCCTTATTGAATAAGCCTGAACAATCATTGTTAATCACGAATAATTCATTACAGTCTAGCAATGTTAAAAAACCCGATTTTCCAGACAATCGTAAAATTAATTGCAAACAAATGGTGACAGGAAATGCGCAAAATCAATCGAATTATCATTTATCAGATAAAAGCTACAATTATAAACAACGACAATCAAGTTCAAATGAAAGTGATGATGAAGATGAAATGAATTCGGTTGCTGCTTTTGTTGGAAATAAATATTCAACTTCTTTCAATCAAAAGTTCAACCATCAACGAATTCTTGATTCTAATCACAACAATTCATTTAATAATGAAAAATGCGAAACTCGTTTTCCCTCAAACTTGAACAACATAAATAATCATTACGGAAAAATTAAGAAAAAACTTCCCGCATTTGAAAATATAGGCAAAAGAATTCATTCACCAAGTTCAAATTCTTCGCAATCAATTTTTTCGGCGGAATCATTGAAAAATAATAATATGAAACAAAATAATTATCCCTTTGATTTTCCTCAAGCTTCAAATATTTGTGATGATCAATCGATTTCGGCGAAATCAAAAAAACCAAAAGGTTCACATAACGATGAAATAAACGTTAATAGATGTTATGATCGGATCAGAAATCCGAACGAAACAATGAGCTTTGATGATAATGCCAATTTGATATTACCTAACATCAATTATTCTCCTGATGATAATCAAAACGATTTTAATCATGTTTCTTTCATCGATGATGAACAAGACTATGAATCTGGTGATTCTTATTATGCAGAAGATGAAAACGATGATCATATCAATAATAATTTTTCGCCAGTCGATAAACACATGTTCATCAGTGATGTTGAATCGAATTCTAAACAAACATCAGCACCTGATTGTTCGTTGGAGGCTACTTTGTTGGAACAATCGATGGCAACGACAAATACCGAAACTTTTGCAGCAAATAATGGAAATCTGACTGAAGATGATGGTGGCTATCTTGATAATGGTGCTATCAGTGATCTTAATTCTATGTTTAATGAATGTCCAGATAGTCGTTCGGAAGATTTCAATCGAGATTTTGAACCATTCCGACCTGTCGGTCATTCATCCAGACCTCTTCGATCAATAGAAGATGTTCTAAATGATTGTGATGATGAAAGTATGCTATCGATCGATAAATCTTCAAGTGTACATGAAACCACCGATTGTACAAGTGAATTTGTATATGATTCTGATGCCTTTAGTCAACAAGCAGGTTTTATTGATGATTCAAATTCGAATATTATTTCTAATCATGACAAATTATTGGTGACCGATTTGGATAGTCTTGAAAGTCATTTTGGATTAATGATGAAAAATAATAATAATAGTAATGATAATAGCCGATCTTTATCAGCAACAGATCTAATTTTAAATGATAATAATAATCAATTACCATCATTATTTAAACATGATACACATTCATTTGATATTAATATGAATCATCAAGATGATAATTTAAATGAAATAAATGTTTGATTAATATTCATCACACACATATATACATGAATGATGATGATTTTGTGATCTTATTATATTTGTTTTTTTTTTCATTAAACACACACACACTTTCGATATTTGATTTAATTTTGTGCGACAATCAATTTCATCATTGTTAGTTTTCAATCTTATTAAACGATTTTTATTAATCATTCTTCACGGTCTCAATCAATGTATTAAATGCTATTGTTTTGAAAGAATCAATTGTTTTTATACAAAATCTAATTGCAATTGTTCATTTGTTTATCGGGATAAAATACAAATTGTAATAATGATATGAAAGATAGGATAATAATAATTTATTCAAAAATGGAATGATATTCTTGAAGTAAAAAATCAATGATTTGGCTTTGTTTCACTTGTAACATCATATCGACAACCAAATTATTTAAATCATTCATTTTTCTTATCAATGTTGGTCCAAAAACGATTGCCAAATTTTGTATGTGCATTCGATTCTGTTTACTGTGTTTTGTCACCCTGTAATGAATAAAAAAAACAATTACAATACAGAAATAATTTTTTTTTTGTTGATTACCGAAGTAAATGTTCCATAATAAATTTCAACGTATGATAATTTGGTTCGGGCAGTTTATTCACTAAATTTTTTAACAATTCAAGTTTAATTTTTTTATCGTCAATTTCTATGAATAAAAAAAATGATGATATTTTTTTACTTATTTATTATTAATTGATTTTCACACTAACCATTCAAATTTATAAGACTTTCGAATCGGTCATAAGGAAACAATGGTTCTTTCATTTCACGGAAAAACATTTTCAATAATCCAGTAAGTACATGAACATCTTGTTCTTTCCAAAGACCTTGATAATTTTCTTGATTGATTTCGAAACGTAATTTCTGTACAGTGGATAGATTTCCACATGCACGATATAGTCCATCGGCTGTAATATCATTCTTTTCGATTGCCTGTACACATTCATGAACGAATCTTGGTATTTTGGAATTTTCTCGCATACAAATCAATTCCAATGTACAGCCGAATACATTTTCATCTTTAATGATACCTTTTTCTCGAAGGCTTTCAAGTGGCGGTCGTTTCTTTAGAAAGTTCAATAAACGTTCGCGTATTTTCTTTTTCTTATCATTGATTGATGGCGGTGATGGATAGGTAAAATTTGTATATCCACTAATTGTACTAGATCCTTGCATCTGAAAATCTTTTGCATACGGTCGATTATCTATTATTGGTGTGAGAAAGAAATAAAAAGGTATGTTCACAATACAACAATTATGTGATGATTGTATACTTTTCTGTGAACGAGATCTACGAAATCCAAAATCATCATTTCTACTGAGAAAATTTGTAATCGGTATCTATAAATATACGGTAAAAAACAAAGCTCTTATGTTTTTTCTATTGAATAAAAATTAAGCCTATTACCAATTCATTGATGCATTTATGTATCAGTTCTTTCCAATGGAAACTTTTTTCACGATCATCATCTTGAATAAGTGTTTCACAGTCAAATGTAATCACTTTAAAACAATTTTTACGGCTCGATTCATTTGGACACCATTCAACTTTTGCGTCTAACAAAGCGATAATAAAATCCGGTTTATGTGACTTGATTGGATAGAAATGCAAAAAAAAATTATTAGATATTTCAAAAAGAAAAACAAACAATTGAAAAAATATATTTCCATACTGAAATCACATTTTTTTGATCTTTAAAAAAATACAGATAATGCTTGGTCAAAACGGCATATGATGTTGTCCAATTTTTTCTCTTTGATTTACCCGAAATTTTCGTACGAGTTTGGGTAAGATAATCACGTAAAATAATCTATAGAGATATTAAATAAATTAATTAGAAATGAAATTTGTTTATTTTAAAAATTTGGTATGTTTTATTTTTTTTTTACATCAGAAACATCCAGTTCATTTTTTGGTGGTGGCAAAAATTCTTTATAATCTTGAAATGGACGAGAATGTTTAAATTTGCCCGAAACTTTGATACCTGTAAATCGAATAATAATTTTAACAAACCAATTTGTTATAATCATCATTATTGTATTATTATCGTTGTACCTTGATTTAGATCGTTTGGAGGAGAAATCATTGCTACTGAATGTGCTTTAAGATTTCGTTCATTGTTAACAATTTTAATGTTATTTCGATTGACATTCATATCTTTCAGCAACAAAAAAAATGAGAGGGAAAAAAGAAAGAAAAAAGAACCGTAAATGGATACATATCGGTTATGTTACATTGATAAAATTTTCTTGTTGTTGTTGTTGTCTTACATTTATGATTTTCATTTTCATCGGAGAAATCCTATCGTATGATGAATTAGAAAAAAAAATCATTGAAAACCATCAAGTTAAAATGTAATAGAAAATTTCAAAACAAAATGAAGAGGAATATACTACAAACCTCATCGGTTTCTTCTTTTCTTGGTCGAATCAAACGATCAGAACCAATCATCATTGCAGCTGTATTAACATTATTCATTTGTGATGCTTTATGAGCAGCAGCCATTGTTCCTTGATAATTTTCATGCAAATATATTCTTCCTTCATCATCTTTTCCACAGAACCACTATTAAAATAAATGCGAAAACAAAGATTTTATTTGTAAAATAATAATTATTGTAATTGTTGAAAGGAAGTTTGATTTGAATCAACATTAACAACAACAGCAAAAAAAAACATTAGAAATGGAAGAAAATAGTAAAAGAACCTTTTCAATTTCCTCTTGTGAAAAAAGATGTCCATCTTCACCGAGAATCGGTGAAAAATGATCAAAATTCAAATTATTATGATGTTGATGTTGATGATGATGATGTTGATTATCATTTGATTCTAAACTTTTTGCAATATCAAATAAAGATTTTGATAATTCATCCAATGATAATGAAATATTTTGTCTTTTTCGTAAATTATTTGACATTTCTTCTCTTTTCTTTTTTTTTGTTTTGTTTTCGTTTCTCAAAAACAAAAAACATTCAATTCATTTACACACACAGAGATATTAATTGATTGTTATTATTATTGTTGTTGTTATTGATGTTGATTATTGAAACGAATGAAATAAAAAGTTTTCAAGATTTTTTTGCATACTATTTTCATTTCTAATTTATTTGTTTATTTAATAAAAAAAATGTTGGGAAAAAAATCAGACCAAAATTGACAATATAAACTGCATTTCCTATTTGTGATCAAATCATTGAAACTATTACTGAGAGTATGAGCGATAGATAGGACAGCACCCTAATTTGTCGTTCAAAATTTTTTTTCCTCCTAACGGATATTGAATTTTCTGATTGTCGTTTTTTCTTCTTCAGTAAAATGTTGAATAAAGCTAAAAATTTGCTGATTTTTTCCCTTATATACTTAATGATTGATTATTTTATTTATAAAAAAAATTGATTTCAAGCCTGATGGAAATCAAATTCGTGATATAAACAAATTACCTACTTTTTTAAAATTATCGATGAATAAATAGCCAAAATTATTGGTCATTGGATCAGTATATGGTTGCCATTCATTTGGAGGATGTTGATTTAATAATCTATTTATTATGAATAATGGATTTTGTTGTTCATCATCTAATAATGATGGTGATTGCCGTATTCGATTGCCACCATTATCAATCGGTTTTATTCGTTTAATTTTAGCGGATTTATTGAAACTGGCATTTCGTCGTAAATTTGCTAATAATAGATCATCATCATTGAAATTTTGTACAATTTTTTTCACTCGATTACTTAAAAATATTTCACTATCACTGTCATAATGTTCTTTTGATGATGGTCTTGCGTTGAAATTAATGTTGTCATCAATTTGTTGTTGAGCTACAATAATATCATGTTCATCGATTTTTGTGGTTGTTCGTCGCGGCGGTTTCCATGATGAAAAATTATCTCGTGAATTATAGTAGAAAAAACGGCCATTTTCATCATAATATTCTAGCCAATCATCACAGACCCATCTGTTCATTCGAACATTTGTATCGAAAATTGATGGTGGTGATGAATTTTTAAACATTTCATTATTCATTCCATCGAAAGGTAAATTGGCATACAATGGTGATTTACGATATTTTCGTGGTTTAATCGATGGAACACCGTTTAATATTTTATCATCATTATTACAATATGTTTGATTTTGATCACAGTATCGTTCTTCAATTGCATCCAATGATTCATGACTAGATTCGAATGCTTCATCCGATTCTCTTTCATGTTCAACAATTTTCATTCTGTTCATTTCAATGGACATTGTCATTGTTGGGATTATCATTGTTGAATGATCGTTGTTTAACATTTCCGTCTTTGAAATTAATGACGATGATGATGATGATAAAGATGATGATAATAATAATGGATGAACATTTTCTTTTCGTTCAAAACTACAATGATTATCTTCTTGTATGATTTTAATATGTGATGATGGGACAAGTAGATAATTGTTTTCACCTTTTACAGATGATAACGAATGATTCGGATCAAAACGCCACCATTTATCATCAATTTTATCAATCAACGTTAAATGATCACCTTTTTTCAGATCAACATGACCAGATTCATTTGAATAACTGAAATCATGTGAAAGAATTGCTTGCATTGATTTCATGAATACTAAAACAACAGAAAAAAACACAGAAAAAAAAAATAAAATACAAATTTTTAAGTTATAATGCTGCTGGAGAAATTAAAAAGGAAAAATGAAACACTTTTTGGTACGCATTTTAAATTGCTTTAAAAAAACACTTAGTAGTATAGATACATACTTGTACCAAAACTAATATCAACACTAATTAATTTTTCTTTTACAACAAAAAAAAAATGAATCAGCACAATCATATTACAACAGTAATTTCTCTTGGATAATCTGGTTTAACAAAGTAAAAGAAAAAAAATGATAACGATATGCAATCAGTAAGCAATATGTAGCTTTAATTTTTGAGAAAAAAAGATTGGTCAATTAAAGATAACAATAATCGTTGATAATGATGATGATATCGATGTGGCATTTCAATTTATTTTTAGGCATTCTCAATGTAGTGGTGTTTTTTCGGTTGTTTTATTGATCACTACAAAAATCAAACAAAAAATCAAATCGCGAATCACAGAAAAAAAGTGATTTACATCAATAAATGGATGAAAATGTTTGATTCATTCAAACAAATTCATTGTATAACAATAATCATTTCAATCATATCTTGAATTGTTTTCCAATACAACAACAACAACAACAACGATATCGATTGATGATCATCGATAATAATGATGATAATAACGAATTCAATAGCTAACCATATAGGTTATGTAATTGATAATTTATTTTTTCAACATTCATATTGTAATTTTTAGTTTTCGATTGGTTTTTGAATTGATGATATCAAGTGAAAAGAGAAAAATGACGATCAAAAATCTGTACAACATCACCAGAACAACACACATGCCAATGGAAATTATATGCTTTTTGAAATTTGATTGATTAAATATAGATCAAATATTAGGGGAAAAAATATCGATTGAAAAATCTGAACACGATCAACGAATTATCATCATCATCATATAATCACTAATCATCATCGAATGTCAGAAGAAGAAAAAGAAGAAGAAGAAAAATAAAAGTTTTAATCTTGTTGTTTCATTTTCGTTGTTATGTTTTTTTTTACCGTTAGCCTGTTTTTCATCATAATCATCATCATCGTTTTCTTCGTTTATGTTGATTGTTATATTTGTAATTTATCAATGATTTAACGTTTTTTTTTCTGAAATATGAACACACACCACATCACATAAGCCACCTATTTATAAATAAGATTCCATAAAGAAAAGAAACAATATTTATTGAGAACGGGATTGTATGTAAATGATTTGAAATGAATTTTTTTTTTTTTTGGGACGATATTGTTGTTTTGTATGGATGACACGATATTGTATTCAAATTGAAGATGGGCGATGGAAGCAAAACAAAACAAAAAATATTTTTTTCAAACAAAAAATCAGATTGAATAATAAAGTAAAGAGAGAAACGAAATGAATTTTTTTTTTCATTGAAAATATATCAAAAAATCGAGCATGAAAGAGAATCTTGAAAAAAATAAATTAAAAGAGAGAGAGAGAGAATGAAAGAGTTTCAATAAACCTAATGTTTCTTTCCCGACCAATAATCATTTCAACCAAGAAAAAACATTTTGTTTCAGTTTTTTTAATATTTTCGTAAGAAATAAAGAACAACAACAACGAAAAAAAAAACAAGAAAAAACTAACGGGATTTCATCAAGATTTCTCTTCTTTTTTCTCTATGATGATGATGATGATAAATAACTGAATAAACATTACATACATTTGAAAGAATAACAGTCAACACAACAGGTTGCATTGGAAATATATGGAGATGTTATGGTTTATATATTTAATTTTCTAGTTTTTTTTTTCTTTTTTATTTGTTTATTTATATTTGATATATATAGATAGATTACATATATAATACGGATGAATGGGTTTTATTTTTATTTGGTAAAATTTATATATTTTTTTGTCGGTCGTTCGGTTAAAAGTCTGTTTTATTGTATTATATATTGTCAAATAATGAGAGTTTGCTTCATAATATTTAGAGTTTTTCTCTTTTCAATGTTTGTATTTTTGTTTTGAGATTTTTTGTTGTTGTTGATGATGTTGTTGGGAGTCACTGAAAATGTACAAGTATCTTATCGTTGTTGTTGTTGTTCTGGTTGGTTAAATATATCTTTATCATGAATCTTTAATTCCATGTCATATATGTTACATGTCATGAACACCTGGTTTATGTTGTTGTTGTTGTTTTTTCATTGATTATTTTCACCATCATTTTTCACCATTTTTCTTCGTTAATTTTCAGGTTACCGGACGATGAATAGTGTCTAATTTTTATTTTATTTTGAACATCAAATCAAATTGGACGATTATCTTAGCTACACACACTAATGATGTAGATTGTGTTGCCAGGACACGATATATCACATCCAATTACAGAGCAAAACTATCAAATATGAAAAAAAACATCGAAAAAGAATAAAAAACGAAAAACTAACAATCGATAATCACACTATAATCATTAGGAAATGAGAGAATCTAATAGTTGAAAATTCAAAATTGTCGGTTGATTGTGATTTCCGAATGATTCGCTTTTGGATTGATATCGTTTCTCTTTCTCTTTCTTTTCATCATCATCATCATCATGATTATGACAATTTTGTCAGTTTGGTTGCCTACGTGATGACATTATTTATTTTAATTATTATGTTGATGAATAGAGAAAAAATGATGAAATGAAAACCACAAAATAATAATAACAATAATAATAAATATTATTATTAATTAGTTGAATAGTGAATCATCATCATCAGCAAAATAATGATTAACGGAAAAAATATGGCCATCTTTTGTTTGTTTTCATTTCAATATATGGATATAATGTCCTTGTGAAATTTGAAATATGGAAATTAAAAAAAAAATCTACAAGTCATTGCTTTGTTGATCAAATTCACATACAATCAACATTTTCGAATAATGATGATAATGTTAATGGCCATAAAAGGCTATGAAAATTTATAAAGGAACAAAAAAAAAATAGATATAAAAATTCATTCGATCATATTGATTTTGAACGAAAAAAAAAATTGACACAAATATCGTTCATCTTTTTCTCGCTTTCTCATATATTCTCTTTTTGGAAAAAAAATCTTTTCACCATAAGGTCTTTGACTTTTGAATAAAATCCTGAATGTCACATGAACACACACACAAATACATCGAATTGATATAATGATGATAAAAATAATAATGAATTTGCACTTATTATTACGATAATGACAGCGATTAAAATGTATATCATATTGAAATTGAAAATATCGAATCCATATTATATAGAAGTGTTAATATGAATGGTTGGTTTTTATTTTTAACTTTTAAAACCAATTTAATAGAGTCGGCAACCAGAAAAAAAAGAAAGAAAAACTTACTTTCCCATATTTGCTCTTCGTAAAAAGATGTCAAATTTTGCATTGATTAATAACCAAACGAATGCTATTTTTAAATCGAATTTTATTTTTTTTTTGAATTTCTGTCAGAATGGAACAAACGTCATTTATGAATAATGTTAGAATAATTAGAAAAATTCTTTATTGAACACGTGTGCCGTTTGTAAATTTTGGATTATTGTTTTTATTTTTCTCAAGAATTTCAAGAAAGATACAAAATTAAGTAAATAAACAATGGATGATTTTAAACAACTTGGTCTTAGTAATTGGCTTTGTAAGGCCTTAAAATCATTGGGAATAACTGGTCCATCAAATATTCAACGTGAAGCAATACCTATAATTTTATCATCAAAACGACCAAATGTTTTTGCCTGTAGCCGTACTGGTAGCGGTAAAACATTGGCATTTGTATTGCCAATTATCGAAACATTAGTCCGTGATCCTCGACCATATTATTCATTAATTTTATCACCTACACGTGAATTAGCTAATCAAATATATCAGATGATCAAAGCATTAACTGTGAATACATTTTCCGTGAAAACCTTATTAATTATTGGTGGTCAAAATCATGAAGAAGCTCAAGGGCTTTGGTTTGGAAAGCCAAATATTGTTGTTGCCACACCAGGCCGTTTATTAGATCATTTAACAAATCGTAATTTTTTAGATATTTGTGGAAACATTTCGATGATTAAATTTGATATGCTCATATTGGATGAAGCCGATCAATTGATTAGTCCTGGGTTTTGTCACCAATTAAAAGATATATTAAAATTTTTTGACAATATTGCCGAAGAAACAAAGCATCGACGTCAAACATTATTGTTCAGTGCAACATTGACTCATGCATTGGAAAAATTGCAAGAAATTATAACCAAAAAAGATAATGATGTAAAACCAGTTATCATTAATCAATTGCCTACAATAGATGAAGTTAAAACAGAATTGGCAACAAATTCTAGCCTAGATCAACGTTATCTTTTATGTCCAGAAGCGATTAAAGTCGTATATCTTGTCGAATGTATTCTCGATATAAAATTCAAACAATTGATTATATTTTGTCAGACTAAAAAAGAAGCCAATCTCATTCATAAAGTATTACTTTCACTTGGATTCGATGGTCCTGAATTTAATTTGAATCCTGTATTATTGAATTCAAATTTGAAACAACATCTTCGATTTGCTGCGTTAGAAACATTTCGTTCGTTAAAATCGAAAATATTAGTAACAACCGATATAGCTAATCGTGGTCTTGATTTACCTCAAGTTGATTTAGTAATCAATTTTAATTGTCCAAAATCTCCAATCGTTTATATTCATCGTGTTGGTCGAACATGTCGTAAACCAGATTTCAGATATGAGCAACCGATCATTCTACAAACAGATGATGATGATGATGATGACAATAATGAAGATGATAATGATGATGAACAAAACCGTAAACGTAAAATATACAACAAAAAAAATCCAAATTCTTTAAAGCCAAGAAAACAGAAAATGTCCAAATGTCAGACATCGATCTATTTGGGTAAATCAATTACCTTGATAACACAATATGATTTAGAATTATTCAAAGCAATTGAATCATATATCGGTATTAAAATGGAAGCACAAGAAGTGGATGAAAAAAATGTTACACAAATTATTAAACAAACAGCTATAGCAATAAAAGAGGCAGAAATACGTATCGACCAAGAAGAACAAGAATCGAATCGTTATCCAAATATCAAACAGAATAAATCAATGAACAAACGCCAAAAATTGAAATAGATTATGAATCTGATATATTTATTTTATTTGTTTTTTTCTGTTATATACTGTAAATTGAAAAAAAAATTTCAAGTAAATGAAAAAATTTTTTGTTTTAATGAAAAAATCTATTTCCACAATTTTTTTATAGACATATTTTTTTCGGCATCTTTTTGCATCACTTTAGCAACGGCCATTTCAAAATCTTCTTGTGTTACGTGAACACGTCGTTCGCGAAGCGCATACATTCCAGCTTCGGTACATACGCCTTTAACTTCGGCACCACTTGCACCGGGCATAACTTCAGCAATTTTTCTCAAATTAATGCCACGTGTAAGATTCATTTTACGTGAATGAATTTTAAGAATATCTAATCGAGCATCTTCATTCGGTGGTGGAAATTCAATTTTACGATCAATACGACCTGGACGTAACAATGCCGGATCAAGGATATCGATACGATTAGTGGCCATAATTACTTTGATATTTTTGGTTGCTTCGAAACCATCAAGTTGATTCAATAATTCCAACATTGTACGTTGTACTTCGGAATCACCGCCAGAACCCGATTCGATACGGGAAGAGCCAATCGAATCGATTTCATCCATAAAAATGATTGATGGTGCATGTTCACGAGCCATGACGAACAATTCACGAACCATACGTGAACCTTCACCGATGAATTTTTGGACCAATTCAGAACCACTTACTCGAATGAATGTACAATCGGTGTGATGAGCAACAGCACGTGCCAATAAAGTTTTACCGGTTCCAGGTGGTCCATAAAGTAGCACACCTTTTGGCTGAGCGATACCAAGAGCTTCAAACAATTCCGGATGTTTTACGGGCAATTCTATAACTTCTTTGATCTCTTTAATTTGTTTATCCAATCCACCGACCATTTCATATGTTGAATCGGGTACCTTTTCGACCATCATAAGTGAAACAAGTGGATCAACTTTATTGGGCAATATTTTATGCAATGTATACGAATCATTTCGTAATGCAACACGACTATTTGGGGTCACATCTTTAATATCAATATTTTTATCAATATCGACAACGAATTTGCCTTCAGGATGAACTTTTACCAAAACTTTTTTCTTATCCATCGGTTTGACAACCTCACCAACATAGGAACCTTGTTCCTGTAATAATTGCAATTCTTCACGAAGCATACGTACTATTTTTGGAAAATTAAAAATTAAAAAATAATCAATCCAAAATATCAAGAAAAAACTCAGACAAAATTAAGCAAACCTTTGGCATTGAGTTCATTTCGTTGTGCTTGCAAACGTCGCAAATTTTGTGTCTTTTCATTGACAATCAATTGTAATTCTTCAATCTTTGTTATATAATATTGATGAAGACCATCACCAGATCTTTCATCAATATCCATCGGTTTAATAACCATGATTGTTTATTGTCAATATCTATATCAAACAAATTATAAATCAAATAAGTTCAACGAAATTAACAACAACAAAAAAAAAGCGTTCACCAACTGAACAGTTTATGACAAATATTAAAAAAAAAATTTGCAAATTCATGGCATCCATATGGTTCATTCATAAAGGAAATAATTTTTCTAAAATTTTCAATCGAAATGACAATAGATGGCGATATCAAAGTTTGATCAAAGTTAAGCGTGCGCATTTAAATAACATGCATGCATGAAAATTACATATACATTGATGATGTCTCTTGTTTCGACTTTGTATATTTCCACACATACACCATGGTCATGATGAAATGATAACACAAACACACAAACACATTTGCTAAATTGCCATGTAAAAAAAAAGATATTTTTTTGATGATTTGTATTTGTAATTTCCCAGACATACGGCGTGTAAAATAATCCATTTTTTAAAATCCGACAATTTTAACAAAAAAACATTCGAAAAGAATCTTAAAAACATCAAAAATATAGACAAAAATATTCATTTGTTTACTTTTTCTCCTCTCTGGCTCTTTTTTGTTCAAAAAACATTTAAACCAATAACTATAAAATATGTCAATCAATTTTATTACGCCATCCATCATTTAAACGACAATACGTAATAATAATCAATATAACACCAAGTGAAACAAGTTAAAACAATATAATATTAAATATCATAATTAATTTTTTTATAATTTTGTTTTCTTCAAATTATTATTTATTTATTTGTTTGCTACATTTGAAAACTTGTGATTGGAAACGATTATTGATTGTTTATTTGTTCTGTTGATTCGTTTATCCATTCTTTTTTTTCTTGTTCTTGGTCAATATTTGTGTTTGTTTTTATTACGATTTTTTTTTTTGATTTGCTATTCGAAGTCAATTCAAGAAGAAGGAGAAAAAATCCAAGAAAACAAAAAAAGGTAGGTTTTTCAAATGAAAAATATTTCGAATCTTTTTTTCACGTTCAAAAACGTTCGAAAAAAAATCATTCGAATTGTTCAGAATTTTCGAACATTTTTTTGTTATAGGGTGACTATACTTTTTTAAACTCCCATTTTTTATATTTACCAACTTTTATTAAGTATCATGGATTTTCTTTTCTGTTATCATAATTAAATTTATATTTTTATAATTAATCAACGATGATCTTTCTCATCTAATCATCATCATCATATGTTTTTTTTCGACAATGTCTCGAATGTCATTTTTGCCACACACACATACAAATCAGTTTTTTACCATCATTAACACCAATCACTATCATTCCTATGGTCTGGTTTTCTCCGGTTTATTTTTTTCAATATTTTCAATATAATTTCATTTTATCCATTTTATATTTAATTTTGTTGCATATTTTGTCTGTTGTTGTTTTTGTGTGTTTTTCCGAAACCAAACAGCATGTCTCTCTTTCTCTGTGTGTATGTATTGTGCCAATTTCACTTTCAATCAAACATCATGGTTGTCTTTTTTTGTCGTCAAAAAGAAGAGAAGAACAACAACAAAATCCATAGCTAAATCTTGTTTCTTTTCTTATTATTTCTTTCTTTTTCTCTCTTATTCAATCACAAATTTTTGTTGTAAAGATTCATTGCATGCAATAAATAAGTCAAACAGATAATAATTTTTCTCTCCAACGAAAATTGAGATTTTATTTTTCTCGTTTTTCGACAAACGACAATCATCGTTGATGATTATTATAATGATGATGATGATTGAAATGCGGGTGATGAGAAGTATAAAAAAAATTCCATTCTTGAATATCGTTTTTCCGCATTTTTTTTTGTAAATTTGTAACAGGTTTTTGTTTCTGTTCTCTTTTTATTTGATTTCAAATTACATGAATTTTTTATTATAATTGAAAAAAGATTCCTATTCGAATGAAAATCCTAGGACATTTTAGCTCAAAAATTTTTCAAAAAAGAATTGAAAATGACAATTTTAATTACATCTCATACAAAGCTTTTTACGAAAAAAAATATTTTGTTCTAATCATCATCATTTTAATTGGATCACATTTTGCACTTTTTTAAAATTCAAATCCTTTTGTCTTTCTATAATCTCTTTTAGTTGTTTTTCTGATAAGTTATTGTTCAATTTTTATCCTCTTTTCTTTCAAATATCGGCAATCATTATTAAAGAAAGTTTTTTCTTCCTCATAGTTTTTTTCTCGATCAAACTTTCATGTAATTTTTTCATATATAAAGTTTAGGGGGAGGGAAAGAAAAATTTACGACAAACAAAATCTAGTTCAACACGCGTCCAACACTGATAATATAGACGTGCACGAGTTTGTTGGAAATTTTTTCCAACTTTCTTGCTCTCTTGGTTTCTCTTTCTTTATAATTTTTAAATATCTCTTGAATACAAAATGTTGAATCAATTTTTTTTTGCATAAATGAAAGAGAATTTTCAAGAGAAAGAGAAAGATAGAAATTCAAATTGCTTTCATATTGGCCACGGACTTTTTTTTTGTTTTTTTGAGACAAAAATGCACGCACTACACTTTAGACACAGTTTTCTATGAAAACATTGTTTCAAAATATTTGTCATCATATTTTATATTTATTGATCGATTTATTGTTTATAAAATTTATAATTTTTTTGTTTTGTTTTTCATTCCATTCATACCCTGAAATAAAACGATTATCATTCATTCCTCAATCAGTTCATTATTGGATTTATATTGTTGTTGGTTATCTTTTGTTTATAAATAATAATAAATAACGGAGCCTTCGGGCTTGACTATGAGTGCGCTAGCAGATTTTTCTCATAAATTTGGCTCACAACCTCGGGAATTGAAGATTGGACAATCGTTTTTTACTGACGATGCTAATACAGTGTTTCATACAATTAGATGTAAGTTATGATGAATATTTTAAATTCTAATAATTCATTTATGGTTGATGATTTGGCAGATGACTTTGTTCCAGCATCGATCGATCCGAATAAAACATCGTCAATGGATTTTGGCGAAAATGGAAAAGTAACAATTTCGATGCCAAATGTGGAAGGATCCGGTACGACTGAATCGGTATATCAAGGCCAAAGAAAACCTCATCAAAAAGAATGTGTCCTCATTATAAATAATGAAACTGGTGATATAACTCTTGAAAGACTCAACCAAAGTATGATTGTTAAAAAGGCACGTCTTCGTCAGGAAGATAGGATTGGAAAATCTTTGGTTCTTAACAGTAAACAAACGACTGGAACTTTATCAACGGCGAACAATAATATGAATGGGAATTCATCGTCATCGAATATTACTCAGGTCAACAAAAGTAACAATATGATGAATTCGGATAAAAAACTAATGCACAAAAATTCTATTGCGAATGGTCATCAGCAAAATTCAGCCAAAAAAACATCGCCATCATTATCAAATGGAAGTTCCAACTCTACTAGTTCATCTGTTAGGTCCAATGGAATATCAGCCAATAATAATAAAATCAATAATAGCACAATCAGCCCGCCATCAATGCCAGTGTTTAATACAAATAATAATACAAAATTGGTCAATAAGAATTCTCATCATCAAAATGATAATAATAATCTCGATTGGAAAATTAAGATGCCCGATCCACCTGATGTAATTAAATCTAAATCCAACTATTCTACAAATAAAAAGGCAACAAATAATTGTCTTTCGGAGTTATCTTTCAGCGAATCAAGCGATTCTGATGGTGAAAGCTCAAGTGATCATTTTAGTGATAATGATGATGGTAAAACAAATAAAAAAGTTAATACATTATCATCAACAAAATCTGGTCTTTCGTCATCATCATCGTCATCATCACTTTCGATAAATTCTGTTGGCCAACAACAACGTTCCACAGCAGCACCAGCCGCACCTTCCATGCCTTCATTTGTTGCTACATTATCTACTCCAATATTTAATGGTTGTTCCATAGATGTGATTAATGATACGAAGAAAAATACTGCTACGGCTACCAGTGGTAGTAAGGCATTAACACTTTCTGAAGATTCTGATTCATCATCCGACGATAATGATAATGATGGTGGTAAAAATAAAAAGTCATTCAAAAAAATATCAATGAAAAGGACAGCAACGTCATCGAACAATGATATTTTATTAGTCGATAATTCAAAAGCCAATAATAATTCAGTTTTTAATTCAATGCCTAAATTGAGTCAATTAAGTAAGTATTCATATAGGTACATTGATTGTTTTAATTGATTACTGATCTATTGAATTTTTTTCTATACAATTTTAAATTTAGGTCAAGATTTGCAACTCAGTGAAAGCGACAGTGATGACTGAGAAGGACAGCAACAGCAGCAACAAAAAAGTGAAGGAAAAGAAAAATTTATTTTGAATCCATACACGAAATTGTTTTATTTGTTTTTTTTTCTTCTTAATACATTGTTAACTTATTTTGCTATTATTTAATCATTCATTTCTCTATCTTTATTGCATTTTTGTTCCACAATGGATCATGATGGATTTTTTTTCCAATGAATAAAAATCTTTCTTTTTTTTTGTGTGTAACCGGATATATATTTCAAGAATGAAAACAAATTGTCGTTTATAAATGGCAAGTTTATGGCCAATATACTTTTAATGTATCAATTGGCATTCCATTTCCCAAACAAAAACATCTTAGCTCCTCCTTCTACTTTTAATTTACACTGTAAAGTTAAAAGAATTATCATTTTTTTTGATAATAATAAAAATGATGAGAGAAAAAAACTGGTTGATGATGATTCTCTACCACTTTGAAAAAGTTGAACTGACTATGGTTGATATATCTGGATCTGACATATCGGTTCTATCCATTGTATTAAAACAAGAAGGATGACCTGTCCGGCATATTATATCTGTCAAATAGTAAACATGAATGGATGAACACGCAAGCAAAATATAAACATCAGTGAAATAGGATCAACATTTTAGATCTGATCATCGTCAACAACAACAACAATGGATTCATCGTTTTGGCCAATTAATGTTGCTAATTGATTAATGTTATTTTGACTTTTTCACATTTAATTTTGAAAATCTACTGTATGTATCAATTTGATTGATTCTCATTTTTCAGCAAAACAAAAAAATATGGCTGTTCAGATCAAAAATCGTAAAAAACGAACCGATGACAGCCAGAATTCAAATTCAAATAAAATAACATCATTATCGAATGAATATGATGAAGATATTGATAATGATTGCAAAAGTCAAAAAGAGCTTAATTCTGTTCAAAAATCCGATAATTCGAATCTAATAAATGGTCTCGGTTCTTTAAGACATTGGTTTTGTAAAAACAACGGTATTGCCCATAAAAATATCACAAATGATGAAATAGATTTGTTGACAAAAACTTCCAAAAATGAAATCGATTTTCCATTGGCCATTACTTTTCGAATCAACATTGTAGTAATAATACTTTTTCTTATAGCATTCGGTTTTCGAATCTATGAATTAGATCAGCCGTCAAGCATAGTGTTGGTATTCTTTCAAAATAATTAGTGTTAATTAATTGATTGTATTTTATTTTTAATGATTAGTTTTGATGAACTACATTATGGTCGATTTGTTTCATTATATCTACGGCGAACATTTTTCTTCGATTCACAACCTCCACTTGGAAAACAATTGATCGCCTTAAGTGCCTATCTTTCCGGCTATAAAGGTGAATTTAATAATTTTACCAGTATTGGACAAGGTATGTAAAAATTTCACTTAATTGATAACACCAGATTAAAATGACATGAATACAAAAATAGACTACGATGCAAATTTTCCCGTACGTGCATTTCGTTTTGTTCCGGCTCTTTGCGGCAGTTTATTGGTACCGGTCATTTATCAATTTGTCATTGAAATCGGTTTCCATCATATTGTTGCATTTTTTGCATCATTCTTACTTATTTTTGGTATGTTTTTTTCATGACATTTTTGTTGTTGAATTCATTTGATTAATCTCGAAAAAAATATTTTATAGAAAATTCTCTCCTTACTCAATCTCGATTCATTCTTCTCGATACAATATTATTGTTTTTTTCATTTTTTGGCTTATTATCCTATTTGATTGGAAGGAAGAAACTATTATTTTCGAAATCATGGCTTTTTTGGAATATAATTGCAGCTTTAAGTTTGACATGTGGTGTTTGTGTCAAATATATTGGCATATTTACTTTATTACAAGTGCAAATACTTTCTTTTTGGACTATTTTTGATAAACTTTCGGATAAAACCATTAAAACTGTACGATGTCTTTATGTTGATTTTTGATATTCAATTAATCAAATTTTTTTCTCCCTATTAGATTCATCTATGGCTATTACTCGTGTACAAATCTTGTATATTTATCTTCTTGCCTATTTTATTCTATTGCTTTATATTTTATATTCATCTTTCCGTTTTGATCAAAGCCGGTCCTCATGATAATATTATGACTAGTGCTTTTCAGGCAAGTCTTGAAGGTGGATTAGCATCAATTATTCGTGGTCAGCCAAGAGAAATAGCTCATGGATCACAGATAACTTTAAGAAATACTCATGGGCGAACATGTTGGTTACATTCACATCAAGCTGTTTATCCGATTCGATATCCAGATAAACGGGGCAGTTCTCATCAGCAACAGGTGACTTGTTATTCGTTTAAAGATGTCAATAATTGGTGGATTGTTAAAAGGCCTAATGTGTAAGTTTCAAAATCGATGATTTATTCAAGTCAATTTAATTCTTTTTGTTTCCCCTAGTAATGACTTAATCACACATGAACCACTTGATAAAATCAAGAATGGTGATATTATTCAAATCGTTCATGGATTAACTGGTCGTACACTAAATAGTCATGATATTGCTTCACCAATGTCACCGTATAATCAAGAAGTTTCCTGTTATATTGATTATAACATATCAATGCCAGCACAAAATCTATGGCGCGTAAAACTATTAAATTCAGATGACACTGGTGACTATTGGCATGCGATTAAATCTCGTGTACAATTGATTCATATCAATTCAAGTCAGGCGTTGAAGGTTTGTCAATAATTGAATACCACAATAACCGAAAATGATGATTTTTCTGTAATAGTTGAGCGGTTTACAATTACCAGCTTGGGGTCACCATCAACATGAAATAGTGACCGATAAACAAGTAAATCATCCCAATGCAATATGGAATGTTGAAGAACATCGTTATACAAAAAATTCAGATGAAAAAGAAATCGAACGTGAACTTGGAAGGGCTGAATTTGTTCCGTTAAGCCCTACATATCTTTCTTTCTGGGATAAAATGTTTGAATTGCAATATAAAATGTTAATCAATACAGAAAATATTCAGAATCATATCTACAGTACTGATTCACCTTTGGATTGGCCTTTTCTAACCAAAGGAATTGCTTATTGGCTTAGTCCTAAGAGTAATGTACGTATATGATTATTTTTTTCGATTTAAATCAAATCTAATTACTCATATGAATAGGCTCAAATTTATTTGATTGGAAATATTTTCCTTTGGTATCTTGGAATATTTGCCATGGTAGCCTATTGGTCTTTATTTTTATTTTATCAATTACGGCGAAAACGTCTTATTTATGACATTTCTGAAGGTTGGTTACATTCATTTCATTGTGTTCTTATTTAATTATTGTTTTTTCCTAAATAAAGATGATTGGGATCAATTTTTATTGGTTGGACGGATAATTGCCATCGGATATCTGATTCATTTTTTTCCTTATTTTTTCTCTGAGCAAACATTATTTCTTCATCATTATTTACCAGCATTAATGTTTAAAATAATACTTATACCTATGATTATAGGCCACCTGAATCTATTCGTGCCAAATCGATTTATATTTCCCATTTTTATTGCTATATCTGTAATAACAGCCTATACATTTTTTCAATTTTTGCCATTTAGTTATGGGCTTAAAGAATTTAGCACAAATGAAATCATGAAACTCAAATGGAGAAAAACTTGGCATTTTTTAATACACAAACGATGGTGATTTGTTAAAATATCTTATTTATTTAATGAATATTGTCTATAATTTAATCTAAAATCAGTGAATATATTTTTTAAAAATGTTGAATAAAATTGATTGATTTTTAAAAGAATCGATATCTCAGATTTTAAGATATTTATCATTTATTTGAGATTCAGAAGGATTGATCCGTATGGACGGAATGATTGAATCATTTTCGAAAGTTTTAGGCTGTTTACCACGACGAAAATCGATATTTGAAAAATTCATGTTCGAATTTGCCGGCATGTTTTTGGTTTTCGCTACCGGTGATTGTGATGGAGATTTGAATAGGCCACCAGTCATATTAAGATTATTTTCAACTACTAAATAATCTTCATGATATTCTTCATACAATTTCGTAACAATATAAGTTGGAAAATCAAATAAATGTTGAACATTGGCTTCAACAAAATAGTATTTATCTTTTTTTAGATAACTATCAAAATTGAATAAAATTACTTAGCTTTTCTATCAAAAATGATGATAAAACTTACTTTTTAGTAGCTTCACTAATATGTACCATTCCATGTGGACCAGCAAATTCCATTTTATTAGCCAATGTAATTGTTCTACCGAAGACAGCATAACGAGGCATTGATAATCCTGAAAATTGTACAAATCAAAAAAAATTGTAGCAATTAATCCAAAAAATATATTGAATTATTATTACCAACAATTCCGGCCATACATGGACCTGAATGTATACCGATTCGCATCTCAATATGTTTTCCATCTTTAGGCGATATGATTGTACGAGTTACATGCACCATTGCTAAACCCATTTCCACTACTCGATCTGCATGATCTTCAACCGATTCCGGTACTCCACTAATGACAACATAAGCATCACCAACAGTTTCTACTTTAAATGTACCATAATAATTGGTTTGATTATCAAATTGAATGTATAATCTATTAAGTGGGAAAATTTCATGAAAATCAAATTCATTCCGAAAACACAAATGAATTAATACTTGTTAAGTAGTTTAACAATGTCGATAGCTTTTAAACTTGAACAGCTACACATTGCTGTGAAATCGACAATATCGGAATATAGACAGGTAACATGTTCAAAATATTCCGCATCCACTTTTATACTCTGACAAAGTATTCGAGCAATTTTGGCTGGAAATATTTCATGTAATATTTTATGATTTTTACTTATCTCCAACCTGATCGATTTGAATTTTAAAAGAAATGAAACAAAATCATTATCATTTCAATTACGAACCTTAATTTTTTCTCAACAATTTTCAAATGATTAGCAGCCACATCATATTTTTTAATAAGTTCAATATCATCTTTATGAAGTGAACGAATCAAGATACAACGTCCGGTAGCATCGGAAATAGGAAAATCGGACATGGTTAGATCTAGATTAGCCATATCTTGTATGTAGGGAATTTTCGGTGATCCTACAAAAAGAATCGAATCATATGCTGGTAATGAGATCATTTGTCCTTTAAGTTCAAGCCTTGGATGTTGTTTCTGAACTGATTCTGATAATGAAAATTTTCTTGGTACATATGAACTTTTTCGAAGATTTTCCTTAACATATTCCTCACGACTAATCAAACTGAAAAGATGATTAGAAAATGAAAGAATTGTCTCAAAATCTAATTCAATAATTGGTCGAGATATGATAAACAGATCGCTGAACATTATTTTGTTGGTTTTGTTTTTAGTAAGTAAATCTTTTTTGACATAACGTTTTAAAGAATTACCCATTTGAACGATACGGAAATTTCTTCGAAAAACAAAATGAAATGGTAATGCTTCGCAAAGTGTTTCGACACTGAAAAAAAGACTTTTCGGTGATGTACTAAGCGTATTGTCGGTGAATGGTGTTTTAATCTTTTCGAATGCATCGGAATCCGGATCAATTGATTTATTAATTATTTCAAATTCTACGACGTCATTTTCGATAGATATAATGTTCACAATAACTTCGGTACGAAATATTTCCTGGCTAGCAGTTGTGATCATACCTTTTACAAATGCAGCAAGTCCTGTTAATTTTTTACACATATAACAAAAGTGGCCAACAATTTTATCGAAATTATCACTCACCTTTTCGTTGACTGTAATAAAATAATCTCATTGAACCTTCTTTACTGTGTGTCACACGAAAACTTGGTGCTTTCATTCCGACAAAAAAATAACTTAAATGTTCATGTAATGCATCGGTATGTGCAAGAAAATCATGAAGATTTGTACCAAGACTTTTGAGAATTGTTTCATAACCATTAAATGAGAGAAATTTAATCAAATGACTACCCAATGCTTCGATGACAGTTTCAAAATCTAATTCTATAAGATTGAATGTTGTTAAACTTTTTTTTTATCAAAACAAATATTTTTTATTCAATTCAACTCAACTCAATTCTTTGCTTGTGATCGAAATCAATTTCAATGTAATACGATCATCATACATTTTGTTCATCAAAAATGATGCACCTTTCAAATTGATTTCCGAATTTTCTCTATATTTTTTTCCCAACAAATTAATGAAAAAAAAATGTTTTTATTTTTGAATTTTATTCATAAAACATAATTTAATTTATGATTACATACAAAATATTTAACCATTTTTCTTCACCAAAAAGTTTGATGACAAAATCTTCAAGGCAATCATGGATGAGACCAAACTGATTATTTCAAATAAGATGGGCAAAAAATAAAAAATTGAAAATCTGTAGGAAAAAAAATCATACCATTTCGTTGTACGTAAGAAATGATTGAATCTTAAAATTGTTGAATGGATCAAAACTGACAATCAAATCAAAAGTTTGTCATAGATTTTATAGGGATAAGAATAATATTGATCATTTTTTTTGTGTGTTTTCTCATTATTTTTTTTCGTGATTCAAACATATTAACTAATGAACTAATTTAAAACAGAATTGTTTGTTATGATCAATCAATTAAAAAGTAATAGTTATAGAGTATAAGATTTTTTTTACAAATATCACATTGCAGATAAACAACGATTTGAAAATTAATTAATAGTAAAAAATCGCAAAAAAAACAATGAATTGTGGCCAATAATTTTCTTCATATAGTTTCACGTAAGATAGAATTTTCCAGATTAAATTCGTATTTTGTTGTATGCATAAAATTTTCCACACGATTCAATATGTTCAAGATTTCTAGTTCATCATCATCAAACGAATCATTATTATTACCATTATAATTGGTATTAATTGAAAATGGCACATTATCAATCGGTGAACAAGTTCGACATGTTCCTTGTTTAATATGTAAATGATTTCCAGAACTTCCACTTGAATATGGCATCGAAGGATCCAAACTAGGATACAATGAATTCGATGGTTGTGGCATAACGGATGATGATGAACCCATTCTTATGAGCTAAAAATAAACATTTTTATTGAGAACAAAAAAGACAAACAAAAAAAAAGAGAAATTAAAAATTTCTTCAAAAAAGCAAATTCGATTATTATATAAAACGATAAATAATTCTTGGAAATCATTATTCATCATTGGGACATTTTACCTCATCGTTGAGCATCAATGTTTGAGGATATGGAGGTCGATTCGGATCATTATTACCGACCATAACATAGCCATTATCATCATTAGGCGAATCATCATTGTTCGATTTTTGTTGGTTACGAGATTTTTTACTTTTACCAAAAATACTTTCCAACATCTTGGTCACTCAATTTATTTTTTTCAATTACAACAAAATCAATTCCAAAACTCGAAAATTAATGAAAAAGAAAATTTTACGATGTAAATACGGAATTGAGGGATGTAATCCGCACCGTAAATAATAGAAAAAAAATTTACCAATCAATTTGTTGGATACATTTGGGCTTATATTATTGCGAAGGGTTTGCCTTCTATTTCTTCATCAACAAAATTTAAAGCCCAATTCATACACATCATTCAAACACTTTTCATGTATAAACTTTAGCATAAAAATTATTGAGGTGTCCAATCTTTGCAATTATATTGCTTATTTAGCATCTTACCTGAAAGATTAAAATTTAATTTTTCAAAAAAAAAATTGAATAATTTTATCACAAATCAATTGAAACAATATTTCATTATTTTTATTTTGATAAGAAATGTTTCTTTTTGGTGGTCGTCTGGGATACGAGTGAATCATTTTTATTTTTTTCAATGAAAATGATCGATAAAATAATTTTTATCGATTAAAATGAGTAAAAATGAAAATAATCGGTATTATTTTTTGAAAAATTTGGTATGAATGTGTGGTCGATTAAGATTATTTGATAAAGAATTGATAAAATGATTTAGAATTGGAAATGGATTCAATATTGGTGGAATCTGTTGAGACGACGATGATGATAATGATGGTTGTGATGAACTTCGATTCAATAGCCAAGTTACTGCTGGACTAAAAGTTTCTGGAACTTTGAATAATAACATGTTATTATTGACGTATTTAAGTAGATATTGATCAATTTCCTGTACAACATGATCGGCAAAAACCCAGAATAATAATGATCCAAGTTCGCTTGCAATACCAGTATTATTTTGATTTGTTAGAACAATTTTTGCCGTATTAAAATCAATCAATGGGGGATCACAGCTAGCTATTCGGAAAGTTTTATTTTCATGAACTAAATTCAATTGTGTACGAACAAGAACATCATCATATTCCAATTTACCATGACCTTCACCATTCACATCAATAACATTATAAATAGTACCGTTCACCTTAAAATGGCAGCCAGCCGTAATTTTTGGAAAAAGTAATGCAAATCGAACTTTGAGAACATTCAATCTTGGTCTTATATCCTGAATATCCAGATCAGATAATCCTTCGATTTGAATATTGTTCAATTTTATAGTGAAAATTTCATTTCCGATATGTGGTTCTACTCGTATCTCATCTAAACGTAATGGATCTAATGGAGGAATGCTCATGGATGGAATACCTGATTTCATTTCATTAGCCAATTTTGATAAGATCGTCTCAGTGAAATGATCAATAAATCGTTCTTCAAGTATTTTAACTTCATCTGTTTCTAGGGCAAAATCTCTTATGGTTTTTATCGGATCACGACCATTTACGGAATAGGAAAATATTGATCCTATGATTGCGGTAGGTTAAATTCGTTACAATTCAAATCAATAATAATATCTTATTTGAAACAAACCTTTGTAAGAAACATCATTGATTCCTGAAGTGTTTAATAAATTATTGGAGAATCGTTAGCAGAAATCTATTTCAATTAGTACTTACTTTTGGGTATTTTAATCCGTGAAACGGGCGTATGAACATAACAATCAACTATTTCATTCAGGTTAATTAAATTCAACAAAATAATCGATAAAATGATCAAGTATTTCATTATTTTTTTGTTTTGTTTTTGTGCAATCCAATTTGAAGTTTTCGAATTGAAGTCAAGATCCTAAATAATAGATGAATATTGTACAAAAACTTGATATTTGATTTTTTTTAGGAGAATAGAAAAAAATAGATAAATTCAAGACCCGACAAACAAGTTCGGTGCAAACATTCGTAAAGAGAAAAGAATAACAATAAAAATTGCAAAAGAAAAAAAGCAAATAACTGTCCGATGACTCTTCTGGCAAGGCGAATTAAATTGGTCGAAGTTCAAGTTTACCATTCCGTGATTGTCCGTTCCCTCCTTTTCAACTAGCATCAAAAGAAAAGAAAAAACTGAATGAGGTTAACGAACAGTGACGACCAAACGGTAAATAACAGTTGCAAAGGTTATTCATTCGGGTTCTTTCATACTCTATAATGATGTTTGTCAGGATTTTTTTTTACATTTCGATATTCCAGCCATTTTTGTTGTTGTAATTGATGTTAATGTTGAACACATAGCACACACACAGTTGAATAGCCTTATTATTGTTAAACATTCATTTTAGATAAAGATTTATTTAAAATAAATATTTTCCAAATTTAAATAATCATTAATTACATAAACCTAAATAAACTTTTTTTTTAATGACAGAGTTAAAATTCAGACATGGATTAATCTTGTAAAGCTTTTGTCATATAAAGTTTACTATATTCATAAGCAACAAACAATGCACCAGTCGATGGAAATGTTCGTAACAATGTTGGTGTAAGACCATTATAAAGACCTTTTATGCCTTCTTGTCGTAATATTGTAATTAGTACTTTATTCATCGATTCTTTGCTTGATTGAATTTGTATACGTGATTTAACCACATCGAATGGAAATATTGATGTCCAAAGACAAACACCACCAATACCGCCAGCTATTGTTGTTTTCAATAAACCTAATTCTTCACTTTGTCCGCCATGTTTAATCATCAATTTTTTCGTATATTCATAACCACCAAAAAAGAAAAAATATCCAGGCATTTCACGGGCCATGGTTGACGTTAATCCTCGAAATAATCCGGGAATTCCTATCTCAAAAACAAATATTGTTAAGAATTGAAAATAATTTCAAAAAAAACAAACCTTCAGATTTAAGAATGTTACGGGTCAATTCGAATGCACCAATCGAACCTTTACCCGTTTCACGTAATGCTTGTAATTTACATTTGATTAATTCGGTTGGACATAATGTGAATGAAGAGAAAAATGCTGCTAAAAAACCAGCTGTAGCATTTTCCAACGTATTACAAGAATCTTTATTCATTGTAAACTGTACAATTTTCTGACAAAAACCATAAGCACAGAATAGAACAGAATTTTCGGCTACATTTGCCAATAAAGCAGGTAATGTTCCAGCATATAATCCTTTTCGTACACCTTCCTTAATAATTTCAGAGCTTTATCATGGTTCAAAAAAAAAATAATAATAACAAACACATACTTTCAACAATGTTTGTCTAAAACAAATCAATGTATTTTGATATAGATGTGGAAATGTTTGCATCTTCACTTTGATCGTATCCAATGGTTGTCCAACAAGAACAGTAGCCGTACCACCGGCTGATCCAGCCAATAGATCAATTGTTCCATTAATAAATGGATTTAATGGTGGCTGTTGAATTTCTAAAGTTTTCATTTTGATTTCCAAAAAAAATTAGGTAAAATCAATATTATAATGATGACTACTATTATACAATGACCTAACGACAGTATTTTCCATTGCCATTTACTAAAAAAATTTTTCTATGAGAAACACATTTCGATAAGAAAATGATAATTTGAACATGTTTAGTTTGAATATTGAAAAAAAATGAAATACTGATATCAAATTTTGTGTTAATCTTATACGTATCATCAGAAATATGATGAAACGACCATATACGTTCTTCGTTCTCTTTCTTTACGAGCACCAAACATGTGTATCCCTCTTTCTGTCTGTATGTTGATCATGTGTTTAGTCTGACTGGGCGATGAAGATGGTGGTGGTATAGTTGCAACAATCATCACATTCCATTTTTTCACATTAAAAAAAAAATATTCTTTTCATACACAAATCGTATTCAAGTAAATGGATAGGAAACCGGATTGAATAAAATTTTAAAATTTTTTTTTATTTAATTCGTTTTGTTTTCGTTTTAAAACGACTTTTTTTTCTATTACATTTAATGAATGTGAAGATGAACAAAAAATTTATCTCACAATTTTTTTTGACTAACAAATAATTTCCAAAAGTAATTTTGTTTTTTGTTTTGTTGTATGATATAACCTGGTGTGCTGATTTCCGAAAACAACATAACGAAAAACTGGAACAAAAAATTGAAATTTGAATTTTTAGTTTTTATAATTAAAATATTTCATTTCCATCATCATCATTTCAGAAAATTATTATTTGTAATAATGAAATTTGATGATAAAAAGAAATAAGAACAACAACAATAACAATAACAACAAAAAAAAAACCAAATCTAATATTTTGCTGACTTTATCTTGTCTTGATCATAAATGTGTGTTTCGAAAAAATTGAATAATTTCTTTGTATATGAAAGAAACAAATATCAAATTGCGTATTTGTATGGATACAATATATCGGTTACTATTTCATAACATTTTGTGATTGAAATTTTTTTTTCGGTTTATTTGAAATCAAAAATGAAAGACATTTTTTGTTTGTTTTTTGTTTGGGGTGGTTTTTTTTTGATTAAAAATTCAAATGAAACATGCTTTTTGTTGTTGTTGTTGTGGTCGTAAAAAGATTGCCATTCGTTATTATTATTGTTAACAAATATTGTCATTATGTTTTTTTTTCGATGAGCTATTTATTGATTATTTCAATTAATTATTAGTATAAAGTAATTGTACTTTGTAAATGTTTATAGGTGTTTGGCAAAAAAAAAAGAAAGACCAAAGAAAATGACGTTCTCAAAATAATAGATCCGAATAACAAATATTAATTCAAATCAAGATCAATCAGAAAAAAATAACGAAGAAAAAAATGTAAATAATAATTCGAATGGACGGGTGATTTTTTTCTGACTTTTGACCAAACATAATATTATTATCCATTGTACAACGACAACAACAACAACCAAAAAATGAGAATAAATAGCAGCATTTGTTTCAATTAATATTGAATGAATGGAAAACATCATTGAATTGTCATTTATAACATAGAATTGGAATTGGTTTTGTGTAATAAATAAATAAAATGAATAATTAAAATGGACAAAAACTATACATTGTATATAATTCACTTTTGTGAAATATTATTATATTATTATGTCTTTTTTTGTTTGTTTGTTTGTAAGTTAATTTTCACTATAGTCATAATGTATAGTATTTCGTTTTTACGTAAGTGTTTTTGTGTATTTGTAGAATAATGATCACATCCATAAGATGAAAATAAAAATCACAAAAAATCAAGTATTTTTTCTGTTTGTTCGGATTCATTATTTGTGTGTGTGTGTGTTTGTTTTTTTGTGTGGAAAATATTCATCATTATGATTGTTGTGTGCGTGTAAGTGTATAATATTGGTGGATGTTTATCTCACATCAAAGTCTTATTGAACCTATTAATTGATTGGAAATGATAATGATGATTATTGATGAAGAATTTATGAATGGAATGATGATGATGATGATATCTCACTTGAATTCATCAATTAACTTTTTTAAACATTTTTGTAAAATCTTCACCACAATAACCACATCGTGTTAGATTCTGTGTAGATGCAAATGAAACAATATGTTTTTTATCATTTTTTTTCGTTGTTGGACTTGTCTCTGATTTGGCCGATATTTGTTTTGAACCCATTATGTTCATACGTCGAACATCTTCTCTGATTATCTGACGAATTGTTCGAAGAAATAGATTTCTATATTCATTCGTACTGTAGTGAGATATAGATAGATAAATAGAAAAAGAAACTTTGAAAAAAAATTCAAATTATTTAATTAATAATAATTACCTATTTGCAAGCCTAAATATTTTCTCCGAACGTTTTGCTTGTGCATTAGTTTTCAATTGAATTAATTCCCATTTAAAATCCAACTCCTGTTCAGTTTGTGGACAAGCACGAACTTGTACCTCTGATACAGGTATTAATACTTGATGTCGAATAATTTCCATATCGGTAGCACTTTGTTTTTTAGATTTTCCATGCCTTACCGTTTCTTTACATAAAAATACAACACATTGTTTGAATACAAAACACATTGAATGTAGATTCAATCCTCCACTACTTGATGTACTTTTTCGAAAACTTTTACCCAAAAATTCTAATGAATTCATCCATTCAACACCGCCATACTAGAGACAACCACATAGATTAGAAATTCAAAATTCAATAGAATTAGAAATTGAATACGAAAGAAAAATAAAAAATTAATAATATCTAATTACATGTAACAAAGATGTCGGCGTCAGATCATAAGGACAGATTGTTTTCTTCGATCCAGTTTTTGTACTTGTAAGAAGATTCTCAAATATTGTACCATATTCTTCATTAATTCTTTGCATCTCGTTTATATGTTCAGCCACTGTGAATTCAAGTTACAAGCAAAAATTGATTAGCTACACACACAAAAACACTCATAAAATGATAAACTATAAAGTTATTATTCTTACCATTTTCGATGGCACGAAGTGCTTCATTAATTTTAAAATATGGTTGTGAATCTTTTAGGCATAAAGTTTTCAATTGTGACAATAGAAGCGGATATTTCAATATCCGTTGTATTGGTCGAATTAAATAGGATTCTAATGAATACATGTTAGGATGTTTTAATAATTTTGATTGTTTTGTCAGCCATTCATGTAGAATAGATTTTTCATCTGCAAGTAATTTAATTGCTTTTGCATGTGATGCACAAAATGTCTGTGAAACAGTTTTACCAAGAATTATTCATTATTCGAGATTCAAGAATGTTGTTGAGTAAGAAATAAAAACTAAAAAAACACTTACCGAATAGTTTTTAAAATCATTACTATAGTTTAGGAAACATTTTGCTATTCCTTCAATATTTAAATCATCATTATTAATGATTGTTGTTAAATCTTCACGAAATTGATTCTGTGTTATAATGACCGATGGTATTGAACCGATTAATATACGTGCATCAAGATTTTTTAATGCTGAACTTTTTAATAATGGATCAAGATAAAGTGTCATCAATTGATCTAATGCTTGACAATATGTAATTTCAGTATCCAATAATTCATGCACAACCTTACGTAATTTTTCATTAGTAATTTCACCGCCATAAAGATTTTTAGTTGATGATAATTCTTCCACGTGCATTGATGGTGTTGTAACAAGTCCTACCATTTGATTTTTTGCTGTGTCCATAGATTTTTCATTTTGTTGTTGATTATTATCATCACTTCTAGATATTACTGATTCATTCAATGTTGCAAGTTCAGTTTCCGAAATTTGAGCAAATTCTGGATGAATACCACTACCAATAGATGATGATGAAGGTATCATTGTTGGTTGAACATGTTGCTGTTCATTTGGATTAGTCGTTAATAATGTTGATTGATCTACAGGTTGATTTTGAACGATTGGTGGTTGTTGCTGTTGAGCATCGTAATTTCCGCTTATAGCTAATTGTTGTTCTAAAAGTCCATATAGATTAGCTTGATGAGGATCATTAATATGGTAAATATGTTTTGTACTGCTATGATGGTGATGGTGGTGATGATGATGATGAAGATTCGGATTTGTGACGGCATTTGATGATCGACTATGATGGCCATGATGATGATGACGATGATGATGGCCGGATCGGGGATAACTTATAGCTGCGGCTGAATGTGGCCGAATCGGTATTTGATCATTGACGGTGCATTTGGCACTTGCTGAACATTTGGCTGACTTTGACGAAAACGAACGACTAGTTGATTTATGATGATGATGGTAATGGTGACCGTCAATGAAGCTCTTTTTATGATGGCAGTGTAACTTATCATTGTCTGGTGGTGATATAAGATAACTATCCACTTTGGGCACTATATATTTACTAAGTTGTTTTTCGGAAAGAATCATTTGTGACACATCAATTGGAGGCGGTGGTGGACATACTAATGATTCAATTAAATCATCAGTGTTTGGCTGTTGCTGTTGTTGTGATTGTTGAATAGGCATTTGGGTCAAATCTACAGCACTAAAACTGCCGGCCGTATTCACATTTGTATTTTGATTCCAGGAATTAGTGTTGCCAAAATTACATTGACTACTACTTGGACGACTATTTGTAGTCATTTCATCTCGTGCAGCCCTTTTATTCGTATTTAATGTTAAAAACTAGTAATGGTCTTATTATTATTTGATAATAATTACCTTATTGTAAGACAAAGAGCCAATTCTTCTTGAAGAATCGATTCAACATACATCATATCAAGATCTTGAACGAATGCACCATTGATGACAACAATTTCATCGCCACGTCGTAATGATTGTTGAGCAGCCAATGAACCTAGTTCAACACGAGATACATAAACACGCAAATCATCTTGACATAATTCGGATTCAACCGAGAATCCAAAAAGTGTGTCATTCGATTCACGAGTCATTTCACATGTGAACATAATCTTGTTTTGAAAAATATATTGATAAAATTAATAAAATAATTATTTATTTATCAACATACTTTTGGCACAATTTCTAATGTTATAGTTGAATGATTTAAAATTGTTTCATGACGTTTGAAAATGATATTCGGATCATCCTCGTGACGTAGATAATAATCACGAGCAATTGATGATGGTAATAATTTACTTAGAACTTGATCAGCCGAAAGTGCGGCATTAAATTCAAATTTATTCAATTCGCCATTGAGCATTTTCACAACAACAGTTACGCGAACTTCTTTATGTACAGATGAAAGATTTGATTTCATTTGTACATAATGTTCGTAAGTAGAAAGTGAGTTTTGTGCACATAAGTTATCTTCAGAACTAGATCTATTAAGATTTCCAATGATTGTCGGATTTTTGGCACAATTGAAAGCTTATCAAAAGGAAAAAAAATTCAAGATGTTTAGTATTGTTGCAGTGAATTCTTTTATAACGATTCTAGCTTACCATGTAATGAAGAGACGGAAAAAACGCCTAAGCGATTGAGCTGAATCTTTGAACGTTTAGTTGTTTGAGATAGTAAGGTTTTTGGATTAGGATCTTCTTCATTGGTAATACTAGAACAGTAGAAAAAAATTCAATAAAATTCGAAACAAATAATGCAAAATAAATTTGAAAACTTACGCAGCTAAATATGCTCGAAAACGAAATATTTCGATACGATTCTTTTCAATCTTTTCTTCAAGATTATGAATTTGATTCATTAATTGTTGTTGTTTAGATTTTGCTTCATTTGCACTTAATGAACCAGTCGCCAAAGCGGTTGAAATGATTTGTTCAGCTTCAGTTTTGGCACGAGTATCTAATTCGATAGCTTCTTCTAAACGTTTGATTTCTTTATGAAGAACATGGGAAACCGTTGCACGACCGGAACTTCTTGCAAGTTGAGCGGCACAGGCACAATGGATTGCTGCTATCCAAAAATCACGTTCAACAAGACAAGGAGCATCGAGTAAATATGCATCACCAAATGCTGTTGATAAACAGAAAACGAAATCTCGTTTTGGATGTTCAGGTATTGCCTGTACAAGACAAGCATCGACAAATATCAAATGTCGTGGCCGAGCTTCTATCACATGGCCACCAGATTTATTATCATCGCAATCACAACGATAAAATAATAATGTTGTTCCTTTAAGACAAACCCAATAGCTAAATTGTAGAAAATTGTGTAAAAAAATTAAAATTTTGCAATCAGCATCGTTAGACATTTTCTTACCCTTTCCAGCCTCTTTTTCTTGCCAATTCAAGTGAATTCTTTTTTCTTATTAGCCATTTTTTAACGGAAAGAAACCCCGATTTCCTAACCGAACCTAAACATTCAACATTTGCAGCTGCTGAGCCTGATTTATTTTTACGCTGTTGATGACGCAATGATGTTGATTGATCATCTTCATCCGAAATGGCATTTAATGAGGCCCTTTCTTCTTGAGCAATCTTGTTAAGAAATCTAGCTTCACATTCATCTACTCTTAGACCATCGCCTTCATGTTTATGAACATAACGAGGTTGTCCTGAAATTTGTACAAAAAAAGCAAATTAATTTATTCGATTTAAATTCATTACAAAATAATGATTATTAACCTCTTTCACAGAATAATCTCCAATCGAATAAAAATGGAGCACCAAAACTCATAAAATTATTCGTTATACTTGTAATAAAATTACTATTCTTCACATTACTAACACCAGCACCGGTTATTGTTGATGATGTTCCACGATCGGCTTTAATTCTCGAAGTAGACGAATGTCGTCGATGTCTTTGATGATGATGATGATGATGACCACTGCTACTACTATGTTGTTTAGGTTCTGTCTGTGGATAATGATGTTGTGCATAAGATATATTTTGTGGATCTCTTGTCGATTGATATAATGTACTATCATCAAAACTTTTTGCCTGTGTCGAACGATTCTGTTGAAATTGTTGAGCAGCATATTGTTGATAATGTTGAATTGGTTGTAATTGTCGTTGTTGTTGTTGTTGTTGCTGCTGCTGCTGTTGTTGTTGTTGATAAAATCGAGAATTTTGTGGCTGTTGTTGAGAATTTGGCTTTAATTTATATGTAGCCGATTTTGAATCATGATCACTATGATGTACAGTTGCACTATGTTGTTGTATATTCTGCCTATGAGCCATATCTTTCTTTTTTCCGTCGACAATCAATCAAAACAATTTGAAATTATTATAATTAATGATAAAAATTAATTAACAAAATTAATTTTTCACATTTTTTCCCGAACAAAATAAAAACACAATGTTCATTGTATAATTGTCTTTCACAATAATAACAAGGAAAAAAAACATTTAATTGATTGATCAATTGATTAATTGTAACACATGATAAATTTTCAAATTTCCCAAAAAGAAAGACAAAGATAATTTTTAATCATATCGTTTCGAAATAAATCAGAATCAAAACTGATTTGTTTGAGCAAATGATGATAATGATAATGATGATTAACTTTGACATTTAATAATAATGAATATGAAAAAAAAGAAATAACAGACACACATACACACAATAATTATTGAAACACATTATTTGTAAACGATAATAAAAATGAATGAAATCAGAAAAAGAATAATGTATAATAAGAATAATAATAATAGGTATGAATTTTTATGGTCGGATTCTGGACATTGAGGCGTCAATCATTATTGTGTGATCAATTTTCATGTGAAACAAAAAGTAAAATACAATAACAACAACAACAAAATCTATTCATCTATATAAAATAGAAGATCAGGAAAAAAAGAAAGCAACTAAACAATAGGATAAAAAAAACTAAAACCAAAACCAAAACCAAAAAATAAAAAATCTAGGTAAAATGAATGAGATTTTTGCATGCAGAAATGTTTGTTCGTTTAGTTTATTATTATTAAGTTTTTTTCTTCTTCTCATTCATTCTATGGACATTTTATTTCCATTTGATGTACGATATTTTATCGCTAAAAAACAACAAATTGGTGAACAAAAGAAAAAATGAAAAATCAAATTTTTCTCTAGAATCTCATATTTTATTTTCATCAACACATTCACTCATCATCATCATCATCATACACAGACAAACAAAAGCAAAAAAAAAATATATTCATAATTCTTTGCTTTTCAAATCACTTGGTACGTTTTTTTCCCGATCTTTTTGTATTGTGTTTTACAGTGGATAATAATAATAAGGAATTCAGTTCATACAACAACAACATACCCGTGACTCGGTAGTGTTTGTATTCGTTTGTTCTTCTTCCTTCTTTGGTTTTTTTTCTTGTGTCTTATACACACACGCAGATACATTCGGGTCCTGGTTATGTTTTATAAATGTTTTCTCCTATGCTCCAGATTCGTTTGTCGACGTCATCATCATCATCATGTTTTTTGGATCATCTATTTCAAATCGATAATAAATTTTTTTTTCGGTGAGAAATAAAATCATGCGCAAATAGCCAATTTTTTTCTGATAAAATGTATAGGAAAAAAAATTATTTGGCGCGCAAGAATTCTAGTAGGAATCCCCCAATCATAGTTCTGTGTACATTGTTCATTTAAAAATTCTATGACCAATATATAACACACACACATACACATAATATATATCAAAAAAAAAAATTCTTACAAATTCTCATTCAGTCATTTTATTTGTTATGCATAACAGATCTATAACATATAACCAACGAATATGAAATAATGTCGGAATTTTTTTTTATTGTTTTGTCCGAAAAAAAATAGAAAAAGAAAAAACTATAGTTTTTAGATTTGTGGCCAAAAAAAAAGAGAGAAATGTCTTGTTTATTATTGTTGTTGTTGTTTATATGAACTTGCTACTATTTATCTTTGTTGTTTTTCGGAACCTTTTCCTCAAGATTCCGTTAGTTTTCCATGTTTTTATGTTCTGCTTTGCTTTGAAATATATTTTTCTCTTTTTTTAGCACATTTTGTTGTTGTTGTTGAAATCATTCATATATTCATTTTATGCGTCTACAACATCAACAACAACATTTATTCTTGAGTTAATTTTTGCTTTCAATCGTTATTTTTTTTCCTGATTCCTTGTCTTTTGATGATGATGATGGCTAGCTTGTTTCGCTTCGAACGTAATGTTTTTTCTCTCTCTTTTTGAATCAATTTTTTACGAAGAAAACAAGGAAAAAAATATAAAAATGTTGGTAACACATACGATTTCGGTATTTTTATAATACACATGAAATACATCATAACAATGCCTATGATGATGTGAATGTTAGCTTCACTGCCTTTATTCTTTGGGTTTTTTTTCTGCCGTTAATAATAATGAAGATGTTAGATAAAAATTTTATTTTTGCCCTAGAAAAAAAGGGGTTTGTTTCATCTCATACATTATCACTATCGATAGTAGCAATGATAACATAGAGAAGGTGGTTGATAAAAAAACAAAACAACAGTAAAATAAGCTTGTATTTGTCAACGAAGAAAAAAAGAAGAAAAAATTGAATGAGGATGAGGCAATACAGAATATTTTATATTCATTTAACATCTTTTTCACTATCTTTTCTACTTCTTATTCTCTTTATTTCATTGATGACGATCATACGAACTCGACGTTTATTTGTTAACCAAAAAAAATATCACTCCAAATAATGATGAAAAGTTGATTTGTGTTACGCAACCGTTCAACTTTTAAACTACAAACTGTTTACGTAAAGGAACGGAATGGAATGAATGAACCAGAAAAAAATCTATATATAGATCTATATGGAGTTAAGAGGGGAAAAAAGATATAAATCCTGTGTATGTATGTAAAATATACGAATACACGGATAATGATAAACAATGTTTGATTGGCCACTATACTATATTTAGTGTGGTCTTTTACCCAAAACTAAAATTGTGTTATACGACCATTGTCATTATAATATAATAATTTCTATTTTACATACAGAATTTCATAGATGTTGTTGTCATTATCATTATTACTTTCTATGACATTATTTTGTATTCTGTATTCTTATGATGTATTTTTTCTATCCATCACATTTAAAATAATACTAACTAGATTCATCATTATCATCCATCAATGAATAGAAAAACCACGATTTGATTACCCCAAATAAAAAAAAAGAAAAAAGTCGTATTTCATTTCAATGATCTTTTTGGAATTTTTTTTTTTGTTAAACAAAGAATTTTTTTTTGAATTTTTATATTTGATCAAAAAATTGTTTGTATAAAGATCAGAACGAGAAACGAGAATAAATTCCATGCACGCAATGATGATGATGATGATGATGATGATGGATTAGGATTGACGGATGTATAATATTAAGGTTTCCATTTATATCATCAAATATGATAATTTATAATATATATCCGATTCATTTCATTTTATTCATTCTATAGAAAGTCATTCATACATATCGTTCATAAATAAAAACTTTATTTGTAAAAAAATTATCAAAATTTATTTCAATCATTAAGCATTGAGATTATTACATCACATTTATTATTATTAATTACAATTTATGTTAATGAATTTATAATTGTATTCGTTTGATTATTATCATTAATAATATCACAATTAGATTGCTGTTGTGACTTATTATTATTATTATTATCTGCATCAGGATTATCAGGTGTAAATTTTCCAGCCAATGGTATCAATTGCATAAATGTATACCATTTATCCGGTACTTGTGTAAAATAGTCATTGATTGCATCAAGAAAACGTTTCTGATATGCCGATGGATGTACAACAGTAGGATCAATTGCATTGGCAAGTTTTTTTACACGATTTTCAAGTACTTTTTCCCAATTAAAAAGACGAACATAATCAATAATGCCGACAACAAATTCATTATGTTCTTCATCAAAACCGACCAATAATGAATAATCCATAACACAATGTTTTTTAAGAAATTCTGAATCACGATTTATAGCTTCCATTAAAAATATTTTCGAATGTACATGAACATATAATGGATATGCAATGCTTATCTGTCGAAGATTTTCATCCAATAATACTGTTGATGTGGCTGTGTTTTTAATCGTTTGATTATTATTATTATTTGCATTTGTATTATTGGATCGATCACTATTCAAAGTACTATTTAATGATGAATCGGCATCTATTATTTTGGTCATATCATTAAGATCATCATTTTTATTATTCGAATAGGTCGATGAGATATCTATTTTTCTATTACGCATCGAACCTTTAAGATCATAAATATATGAAACATTACATTCATAGAATAGATTTTCCATGACCAATATATAATGTATATAACCTTTGTTGTTCAATGTATTTTTGTAGCTAATCTGATAAACACCTACAACTTTGACAAAAGCGGATGGACATTTTTTCAATAATGAACTTTCACAATAATCAATATAATCACGAACAAATGTAAGAAAATGTTTCAATTCTCCTTTGGTTACTTCTTTCAAAATAAAACGTTCATCACGAGTTTTCAGGAATGTTGAACCCGATTTTCCACCAACAGCATTCCATGGCATACAATTTGCCAATGAATAAATATAAAGTTCTTCGGAAAATGAACAAGGAGTATGAACAACATTATCTCGCACAGTGTAACGAGCCGAATCGTCTCCATCAACTAAGATTAATGATCGAAATTTTCTAAATAGTTCGGCAAAATATATACAACAATAAAATTTTGCATTCACATCATTAAATTGAATATCGATATGTTGATTTAGTTCTTCTTGATCTATGGATGCGATTTTTGTAGGTGTTTTGTTGTTACTAGTCAATTCAGTTTGTTCATTCTATGAAAAAAATTAATAATATTAATAGTAAGCAAGTTTTGAAAAAAAAACATTTATGATGAAAAAAATTGATGATAAATACCTTGTTCGTCGTCGAAGCAGTTGTTGTTATTGTTGCAGTTGCCATTAAAATTGTAGCGCTGTTCACTGATTCATTTATTTTATTTTCCTGTGTTTGGATCGATTCGTTTGTAGATAATTTAGCTGCAATTTCAGATTTAAGCGCTGACAGTTTTTGTTCATATTCTGGTGTCGTCAATGAATAAGAGATTATTGAACCTGGATCACGATCACGTACAATAATAGAAATATCTTTATATGTTGGTAACTGATAATGTTCAAACATTTGATTGGATTTGTTAGCAATTTTATTATTAATGTTATTATTATTATCGAATGGCATCTCAATAATGACACTATCATCAATATTTCTACTGAATATTTTCGATGTAAATGATGATGAATCAATAGTGTCCGATGTTGCTGCCAATGATGATGAAGATTTTGGTGCAACTTTTGAAAGCATTTTATTTTTAAGTGCACTCAATTTATTTGGCGATTTTTCCTGATTATCAGTGGATGAAGATTCGATAAAATTATTATCATCAATTTCATTTAGATCACTAAAATATGAAATGTTATCCTCTTTGATATTATCTACATTATTATTTTCATTAGTATTATTATTATTATTATTTTCTACTAAGTTCTTAACATTATCATTAGATTTTGATTCTGAATCATTCGATAGAAAACGATTAACAATCGATGTTATAAATTTATTATCCAGATTATTACGTTTTTTATCTTCATGAAAAAATTCTTTGATTCGATCATTCCAAGATAAAACTATTTCGGCAATCAATTTCTTAATAAATGCAACATTATTTTCCAGATGAAATAAATCCAATACATTTGCATTGTCCAATTCGGGTGTAGAAAGTTTGAAATGCATTTCTTTGATTTTTTTATTGAAATCAATTTCTTCTTTTTGTTGTGTTTGTAAAAATTCATCCAATTTTGTTAAATTTATTGTTTCAACATTAGCATTATTATTAGGTGGTATACATTGTCCATTGATCATTGAACGAATTTTTTCGATCTCATTTTTGACCTTTGCAAATACTTCATGACATTGTTCCGTCAGTTGTTTAAGATCATCAATCATTTTACTTTTAGAAAAATGATTTCGTGTTATAGGAATGACAGGCGATGGTGTAACAATTTCATAGATTACTATCGGTTCATATTTGAAAATAACTACAAGTTGATCGTATGAGAAAAATTGATAACTTTCCTTATGTAATGAATGACGGCATAAATTTTTCTTTTTTTGTTTCATATTTCCATCATCATCATCATCATCATTTTCATGATCATCGTCATTATCATTATCGTCATCAAAAAACTTTTGATAATTGAAATGTTGATTACCGTAAAATTTTAGTTCTAAAAATTTTCCAAATGAAATTGCTAAAGAATCAGCAGACATTTCAGTATATTCGGATATCGATTGACATTTCGTGCAATAGGTCCAGGTAAGAATTTTATGTGGCATTGTAACATTGCGAGATTCATTCAATTTGTTCAGATATACTGTAATTGTTCCATTATGGTGTGTGAATCTCATCAAATGTTTAAACATTGATATATGACAATTTTCATTTGGACAAAATATTTTCCTTCCATTATTCGTAGTGAATGTAGTGTTTTCAAAAATTTCCTGTGCTTGACTAAAACCGAAATTATTAACCGTTGTTGATGATTGATTAAAACGAGATTGACGATAAAAAAAATGTCGAATTAAAAATGAACCCAATGACATATCATTATTACCATAATAATCGATAGCTAATATTTTTGGTTTTAGACAATAATTGAATGCAGTTTCAGTTTGTAATGAAAACACTGAAAATAATACCGAAATATTTTGATGTTCTGGATTACTCAGACATTCAATCATTGTCTGATTATGGAATGATTCATTTGCATTTTTTTGCATTAAACTATTAGATTGTTGTTCATTGTTTCGAAAGAAAAAATCTGGCGCATAACGTAAGTATGGGCCACATGCACGAAAATCTGAAATGAATTGTTGATTTTTTTGATTAAAATCATAATCATCATTGTTGAAAAATGGATGTGGTTTAACAATCATATATCGACTAGTGAGTAAATTTAAAAACAATAATTTTGACGATTCATTTTTATTAGAATTATTTGATTGTTTTCCATCAAATAAATATGAATAGTTGGCAAAATCATCATTTTCTATGTTTGAATCGACAATATTATCAATACTTTTATGACCAAGCTCGATTGATACTTCACGAAACAAACGTTTAGATGGAAGAATTTGTATGGGATAATAGAAACGTAAACTTGAAATTCGATGAATATTTTCGGACATTAAAAAAGGAACATTAAATCGAATCAATGGTGAACAGGATAATGGAATTTCGTTTAAAATTGTTTCCAATTTTTTCGAATTTAATTGCATTTGAATTAAAGGTTTTTTCAGTTCATTGATTTTATCACTATTATTATTATTATTATTTTGATAATAATCAATAATATTATTGTCTTGAAAGTTTAATGCTGCTGATCTAAGAGGATCAGAAAAATCTTCAATAGTGGTTAGTCGAGAAATTTTTTCTATTGTTTTTGTTGTAGTTGATGATGATAATGATGACGATTGCAACATATTTTCATTAATTATCTTTGAGTTGTCATTGCAATAGGAAATTGTACTATTATTATTGCTGTTTGTTCCAATTCTTTGATCAGAAACAATAGCTTGATAATATTTAGCTAATGTAACAGGGCCATTATCGATGGCTATTTTTTCACTGATCGGCAGGCAATTGAAACTCTGATGGAATGCTTTTTCCAAACGACAATTGAAATGTACAAACATCATATAGTGTAAAATTTTTTTCAATTTTTTAAAATCTTGAAACCGTGAACTACCACGTAGTATTACTGAACAACCGATATTTTCGATACATCCTTCCAAAAACATTAATGTCTTTTTATTTCCAAAATAAATTCTACGCTTCGGTAAAGTAGAATCATTTGACATTTGATAGTTTTTTAATAGAAATTTTTGACAAGCACCGACTCTAGTTGTATTCAGAATCATTTCTGGTGAATGAATAAGTTCGGCATTGGTGAAAAAAGAGATTCGTTCTAATATTGTACTTTTAACATTCAATACAACAGTTATATCTTTTTGTCGAAGTAATTCTAATGCTGTTTGTGAAACAGTACCTTGAACAAAAATAACATCCGGTTTTAATAATCCAATCTTAGCCACTAGATTTGAAATGTAATCAGATTCTTGAAGACGCATAGAATCAAATAATGTTAATTTGAATTGTGATGTAGATAAATTTGTTTGTGATCGTCGTCGTTCATCATAACCAATCGAACAGGCAAACAACAATATTCTTGGTTGATCAATACAGGTTCGCATTTTTCTATGTGCAACGTTTTTAGTGAAAACTAATCCTTGCACAATAGTACAATCATTTTTTGAACCATTCAAAATGCTTTTGATTTTTACTCGTTTTCGTATATCCATCGGATATGGATTGATCTCATTTGATTGCATTGATGATTCGCTATTTATTTGATAATAGTTATCAATTGAATATAAATAAGAAAATTGTGGTAATTTTATCGTATCAGCAATCTGTTTGGCTATTTTGTTCAAAATTGGATGCCATTCTAAAGACATTTTTTCATCTTTTAAAATTTGATTTAAAATTTTTTCCATATGATTATCATAGATATTATTAATCAAAAGAATGGGTAATTCAGATTTATCAATTTTTTCGATTGATATTTTCTTTGCATTCAGGTCATTTTCATTAATATCCTTTTCTGGTTTCGATTCTTGATTAGTGAAAAAAAGATTTCTATCAAAAAATCTATCCAAATAGATTAAAGTATCATTAAACAAAGTTTGATTCGATGGTTTATCCGAACTTTTTTCAATATCCAATTGTGCATCAATTTTGTCGCAAGATGGATCATTCAAAGAGGTTCGAGTAAATTCACCAATATCTGTATTATCATTGGATCGATTATATGACGGACCAGTTATATCTTCGGAAATTTGATCATTATGGATTGAATTATTGTTTTCCTTATCTTCAATCAGTAATGAAGATTTATTCGCCTGTTTTATCCGAGCTTCTTCAACAATTTCTTTAACCCAAAAAGGTTCTCGCGCATTTATTGTTTCATCAAGTTCATCCAACATTGATTGAAAATTATCGAATGAACAAGACAATAATGAATTATTATCGCTTAGAATTTCATCATAAAAAATGAATCGATTATCATGACTTGCTGATGCAGCCGATGATGGACGATAACTTTTTGGTGTTGATTGATGTAGATAATTATGATCTTTTTTCTGATCAATCATCACAGAATCACTAGTATCCAAACTAGCTTTAGCAAATCGAACAATATCACCGATCGAAGAAGTTGAAAATTTTCGATTTTCACTGGAATTTGAAAGTTGATGATTAGGCGATCGAATTTGATCATTCAACTCAGAATTCGAAATATTATCGCCTTTAAATTTATCTGCAACTACATTTTGTAGTCTGTTTGAACAATATTTACAAACACGTAAAAGGCCACTAGTGGTGATGGTATTGCTGGTGGAATCTTGTGAAATGATCAATCTAGAATCGATCATTTCATTACAGCAATTGCTGCAAAAAATTTGTCCGCATATTCTACAATGGTGACGACGTCTTATGGTCGTGAATTTGGTAGCACAATCAAAACAATTTATGGATGTTGAATCGGGCATCCAAAATTGTCGTCCAATATCTTTGCTTCGGAATTTGCGTCGTACACTTTCGATTAAGCTGGTCGTTTGCTTATTTTTGACTTGTGATTCATTCACCGGTGATTTATTTGCATCATTTTTCCCATTCATTTTATCCCTGATTGAAGTTTGATGACCAATCAATATTATTTATTGAATTATAGAGCAGCCATATCCTAAAAATTAACAAACACAAAGAAAACATTAAAGATTTTCAATCAGATTGATTTTGCAAAAAAAAGAAAAGAAAACGAATTACTATTGTAAGTCTGACGATCATAGTAAGATTGGGCCCTAAATGATTGGTTTATCAATAAATTACCTAATCAACAACATTAAGATAAAAATATTAATGTAAATAAACTCGAATGTAAAAATAACTCCTTTTCTTGGATTATCAATTGACAATTTGATGGAAAACAACAAAACAAACAATAAATATTGTTTTAATAAATATGGCGGCATCTGTTGGTCAACAATTCAATGAACGTAATGATCCATAATCGTTTCATGTTCCAAAAAGAAAAATATAATTTAAAAAAAATTAAACTTTCCTCATTAAATTCAAATTAGTTTTTTTCCAAAAAATTCGAAATTCAAAAAAAAAACTAAAAACTAAAACCTTACAAACAATACTGAAATTATGGTATTTAACGAAATTTTCAAACTTTATTTGCAAAATTGTTGGATCGATTTCGGTATGACTTCGATTCCATACGAATAGATGTCAGTGAATTTTTCTTCAGTTTTTTTTCTGTTTTTTTTTTCAAAATTAAATGTTCATCATCTATTGGCAAATATTACTTCTACTTACTGTAAACATATTGAATATTATGTCAATTTTTATAAGTTTATTGACATCATTCAAGAATTCAAATGAATTGTTTATCGAAAATCGTCATTTTTATTTGCTTTATTTTTATTTTTCATTTATTTATTTTACTATAACATTATGGTCATTGTATCATTTATATTGTGATAATGAATTTATATCATCATATTCAGATGTTGGTACATGTTTATCCATTTTATGCATCATTGATTGTCTATTTTTAAGTTATTTATTTTTTGTTGAATTTCCAATCAAAATCAAAATACATCCAAGTAAGCCAATTATAATAAAACAATTGTACACCATCAATATATTAATATATTAATCCCCCTTTAAAGGCAGTATTTTTATCTGGCCTGGTCTTATTATTTATATCATTTCAACATTACGTATGATATTCATACCGATTTTGATTCATATTTTCAATTATGATCTATCACAATATGAATGGAATAAATCATAAAAAATGATAATAATGATTCAATGATTAATGTTTTGGAGAGAGAAAGAGAGAGACAAATTATGGACCCAAAAACAAAAACAAAAAACAACGACAACAACCGGAAAACTTGTAACAAAAAAAATAAATAAAAACAATGGATTCTTTTTCTTTCATTCTTTCTACCACCACCGTGTATTTGATGATAAATATAATTATTATGATGATTATATGACAAAAAAGAAAAGAAATGAAATGACATAATCACTTTCGCTTGGGCAATCATTACCAAATTTTTTTCTTTATTACTTAAACTTAATAAAAATTCGAATGAATGATGATGATAACAATGTCAGCAACATTCGAATCTCTGCAAAAATATTTAGAAATGAAAATAAAACAAAAAACTTGTCAATCAATTCAAGCGCACAATGATTCATTATCATCATCATCATCATCGTATTAAGAATCCAATCTTTGGTTATGGTGAATGGTGGAACCAAAAAAAAAAAAAAAAAAAAGTATGACTCATTCTCCAGACGATGACGACGACCTCATATAAAAACCAGAACCAGAAAAAAATAAATTCAATCGAATCACGAAAAAAAAAAGGAAACGTAGTGTTGTTAGTAAGTGAGAGAAAAAGGACGCCAATTCACCACACATATCAACTATTATTATGGAACAAAAACAAAAACAAAAAAATTTTATTACCATTCTACCCTATGCATTTGCGCAAAATATTCCAATGTTCCAAAATCATCATCATCATCATTACACAGCAGCAGCAGCCAAATAGAGTAAGGTAAACAAAATAATACTACGCGCACATACAAAACATTCGAATTGAGACTGTTTGATATTTAAGTTAAAAATTCACGCGCGATTCTAAATGTTGTTTTTTTTTCATTTCAAACCATCATCAACAACGTCATTGTCGCTTTCGTATATGCGTCTGTGTGGTTCAGTATAACAACAACAACAACATTATACGGCTGTTGGAACTATTCCATTTAGCCATTTAAAAGGAAAACAAAAAAATGTGAGTCAGACACATATTGTATACCCCACAACAATATACCATTCAAATTTGGTTTCAGTGTTCCAAAAATAATACAACATACACGCACACAATCAGTTTGGTCCAAGTTTAACGTGTATGCGCTAGCGGCGGGTTTCTCCAATATTTTTATTGGTATCCAGTGAATAGTTTAGTTGTTTTATGGATCATATTGTGTGTTATTATTATTATTTTGGAATCGAATCAACAACACAGCATGTGCGTGTTGTATGTCATATTTTTATGACAAACAAAACAAATATTCTTTCATGACATTCAAGGAAAAGAATTATGAAAGATATATTCAGTAATGGTGTGTTGTGTGGCAACCGAATAAAACTTTTTTTCAATTTTTTTTTAAATCATCAAGTTCAAGTTTTTGCTTTGTTCGGTGTTTTTGTCAATGATAATGATATGAATTGTTGACCACAACAACAACTATCAAACAATTATCCAACAGCAAAAATCATCGATACTTCTGCCATTGTGTCATTCATAGACTGATCAATCATTAATTTTTTTTTATTCTTTATATATTCGATTGATCTACTGTTTTATATTGGTAGTTTAACTCTATTATCATTATTATGTTCTTTGAACCATGTTCAAAATAAATGAGAATATCGAAGGAGAGAAAGAAAAAAAATCATTTTCAATATTGTATTTTGGGTTATTTATAAGAAAAAACAACACATCCGATGATCATCGAGAAAATAATCGTTTCGTTTTTTTTTCTTATAACCAATTATAATGATGATTGAAACTTATCAATAATTCAATCATATCATTGTGAAATACATTGTGATTCCATCATTATATCGAAATAACAACAAATTATTTCATGTTTTTATGTGTGTGTATGGATTGGATAAATGATTATTTTATATTTCACATTCATACAACAATAGACATGATCAACAAACAGCAAAAATTCAATTTGTTCTGTAACTTTTCTATTGTACTGTTTCATTTTTTTCGATGCTCCGGAATTTAGCATGAAATCAATTTGAACCAACGAATTATTTAATCAGTTTGTTTCTGGATTTGAACTTATACGAAATACATTAAAATTTTTCATACACACACACAATGATGTTGTATACGCACGAATTCATATTCATTCATTGGTTTTCTTGTTCACATTCTAATAAATAAATGATTAAATTGAAAATCAAAAACGACAGGCAAGATTATTCAACATCAATCGGCTTATATCATATTTCTATCGATGAACGTTTCTATCTTTCCTGGTTGTTATTATTATAATTGACAAACATTCTTCGATACGAATTTAAAAACAAAACAAAAACAGCAACAACAAAAAAAATCCTCTGTTTAATCTAAAAATCCTGTCACACTTTTTGTTGTTGTTGGTCATATTTGATTGTCGATCAAAAAAAAAATTATTTCGAATGTAAAATACATATATGAAAGAAGTAAACGTGTATTCATAGCAACAACAACAGCAAAAAGAGTAAGTTTTCAATTAATATTCTTTTCTATTTTGAATATCCGGATACATTATGGTGGAAATAGAAAAAAAAACAAAAATCAATTTTATCTTGACAGTCAACACACTCATTCACATATACAAAATGAAGAGAAAACAATGGTCAGCGAAATGCTAAAAATTCTCAAAAAGATTCCCATTATCTTGATGTTTCATTGTCGAGCATCATCAAATTCCAAAACAAAAAATCCGATTATCATTATTTTATATAGTGAAGAATACGATACGATAAAAATGAATAATTTACATAAATTCCAAAAAACAACAACAACAAACACATTAGCTTTATTTACCATTTTTGTTGTTGTTTTTCACCATTTTTATGAAAATTTTCAATTCATTTCTATTTAAGAATTCATAAAAATGTTGATCTTTTTCTCTTCTTCTTCTTCTTCTTCTACATTTCATTTTTTAATTTCATATTTTATATTAAACTGACATTCTTTCTATTTTGTTTTGTTTTATTCCTAATATTCATACCAATGATACTAATGGCTAAAAGTAGAAATGGAAAAATAGAGAAATTCCTGTCAATTACAATATTTTTTTGGTTGTGAATTTAGTTTTTCCATATATAAATGTATGATGATGTTTGTTTTTTTCAATGTGTTATCAAAGAAAAACAGATACATGGCAGTTGTTGTTATTTTTCGAATAAATTGAAGTGAAGAAGAAATGATGAAAAAACGGGATTCTAGCATTTTTTTTCCTATTTCTATTTTCGTTTATTCCTTAAAGAAAACCGATTCAATATAAACGATTTGATAGATTGAAAGTGGAAAAAAAAGAAATTTTCATTCGTAGAATCCAATTTTCCTACTATTCTGGTCAATTTAATCGATGAGGAGAAAAAAAATTGCATTTACATTTACGTAATAGCATTTCTTATTGAATAATTTTTTCGTTTTTTGTGGCTTCGTTGTTGTATTTGTATATAGCCAAAAAGATTAACTCTTTGGTATTGACTTTTTTTGGGTCTCTACCTTCACTATATTTTCATTATTTGAATGATTGACATTTTTCTTCATGTTCAATGTCTAATTATTATTGTCTTTTTGATTGGTTAAATATGAATAAATTTTTGTGATCACGAATTTAAATGTAATAATAGGAAAAGATGAAATCACGAAGTTGTTTTTTTTTCTGCCCAAAAGATTTTATTTTATTTGAATAAAACCAATATTTAATAGATATACCGCCCAAAAAACCAGGTAATATAATTTTTTCCAGTCAAAAAAAAAAAATAAAAATCTTGGTTTCTGGATCGATTTTATACCGTTTTCATTTTCTTCACAACAAAAACTCCACCTGACAATATTATAATTATTTCGAATGAAAATAGTACATTTCATAATGTCTCGTTTGCTATCATTGTATATCTTTATATTATTTGGTTTTGGTCGATCATCATCATCATAAAAAATGTTGAATTTCGTAATAATAAAAAAACGACATTCAGTTCTGTATTTTTTTTTCGTGTATACCATCATTCCTACAATATATTCTATGGGATTTTATTTCATTAATTTTATATTCCTTTTTTTTCATTTTCTCTATATATTGTTACAATCCAGATAGTTATTAATTTAGCCATGTAGAAATGTTATGTATCGAAATATTCTTTTTTAACAACAACAACAACAAAAATGGAATATTATTATTTGGTTGGTACTAATTTCATTATTCTATTTATATTTACCACAAAAATAAAAATGCTGTAGGAGACGCTCAATATTTGTTTTTCTTTTTGTGACCAAATGAATGTGTTTTCGGTGGAAAAAAACTCAGCTATATTGAATACTTGTTCAGGTTTTCAGGACAGGTTTTTTGGAGAAACTTTTTATCAAATTTAATTGATTTTATTTCTGGATCAATTTTAAAGTCAAGACAAATTAATAAAATTCCTGTAGTACATGTGAACCAAATGTTTGTGGTAACTCTGAATGTTTCATTATTATTAGTGAATAGTGAAATAACAATGTTTGATTATGACAACAACCAGAAAAAACACAATACGCTAAAGGCTAAATTATCAGTTGACTATAATAAAAACACAATGTACATCTCAAACGCAACAAACGCCAATCAATTGATTTTCAACAAAAAAAAATCCAATCAAAATCAAATTGCTTTTAACTTCAAAGAATTTGAACATCATTGTATAGAGAATTTTTGATATTTGTCTTATACCACATACAAAAATTCTTGATTTCTTTATGTATTCATAATAACAAAAAAGTTTCTCAAAAGTGATTAAGTATTATATTATTATTCGAATGATGATGATCATGATCATCATTAGAGAACAATATATATTGTTACAAAATTATCTTTAACTTTTTTTCCTTTTGACATTTCTCATGATAATGATATACAATATATCATCTAATATCATTTTTTATCAAAGATATTCTATTGTTATTATTATTATTATATCGTTTTGAACAACGATATCTTTTTCATATTGAATATTCTTCACTTGTTTGCATAATAGTTTCTTATTGTATTGTATTTTGTTTCAACGAGATTTTCGTTATTATTCGTATATATTGAAATTGATTTGAACAATTTTTCTTCCTACCGATTTATTAATGACAAAATATACAAAAGATTATCATAATATTCGATTTGAATATTGAAACGTTTTTTTTTATTTTTTGCTGATTTTCTCTATCTGTATTTATTCTATTATGAATCTTTTGTTGTTGTTGTTGTTCGGTTTTCATGTATTATTATGGTTGATTTTGAATTGAATTTATTATCATTAATGCTTGTTAAGCTTTTTTTTTGTTGTTGTTGTTGTTATCCGGTTTTTATCATCATCGTCATTATCGTTATATCAATGAAAACGATTGAAAACTACGTTTTTTTTCATCTCTCTTCGTTTTTTTTGTACGCACACACATGGTTCATTAGTTTTTTTTCATCATATCCAATGTACCAGGAGGAAATCCGATTCCATGGACATGAAGAAAAATAAATTGGTATTTGAACATGAAAATTTCATTTTTAAATATAATCTTTGCACTGAAAAAAAACTAAAATGATGTCCATGTTTCAAGAATATTTTTTTTCAAAAATACAGTATTAAACAAAAACAAAATAGAGAATTCGACTAACAAAAACAGAATATTCTATTCATCGATTTTATATATACGTTGTTTATTTTGGCTTCTTATTTGTTGTTGTTGTTGTTTTCATTCTACATTTAATTTCTTATTGAAAGCTTTTCTACCAACAAAAAAATGGCTTTTTTAATATTAATAATAATGGTAGCTATAAAAAATGAAAGTTGAATGAAAATAATTGTCGCCATATCTTTGTTATTGTCGTCGTCGTCTTAAAAAAAATGAAATAAAGTCAAACGAAAATGATGACAAACAAGAATGATCGATTTGGTCGAACGACAATAAACTATTGTGAAACGTAAAAAAAGATGAAAAAAAGTAAAAAATTTTTTAATATTATCATTTATCATTGAGGAATGGTGATGGTAAGAAAAGTGGGAAAGTTGATTTTTTTTTTTGCTTTATCCATTGACAGCAGATATAACAACAACAAAAAAAAACATTCAATTTATGAACAAAATACCGTTGTAGCCAATGTATAGGAAGAAGAAACTATACAAAAAACTTCCCGAAACTTTTTTTTAATCTTTGAACACAAAATTTTTTGTTTTTTTTTTCGTTTTCATTAATATTTTATGCTCAAACAATGTGATGTGAATGTGAAAATTCCAGGTTTTTTTTTCGTTGTAAATTAATTTTTATTATCAAAGAGAAAATATATGACGGTCGTTGTCAATGAAATTGTTTCATTTTTTTCATCTTCTTTCAACAGTGTTTCCTTCCCGATTAATTCCATCCATTGAAAGAAAACCATCATTTTTTCATTTATTTTCATTTCTCTCTCTCTCTCTCTCCTGCTTATATCATTTCTACCTTTTTTATTTATGTACTAGGTATATAATGAACAAGTAAAAAAAAGTAAGACATCATCAGAATCAAGAAAAAAAATCTGTGTTACAAATGAGTTTTTTCGTTCTCTCTTTCTCTTTTTCACTGTAACTAACTTAAACTCATCAACCGTATAGCTATAGTAAATATGAAAAAAGCAAAACTTTTTTTTTGTTTTGGTTAGAATTTGAAATTCTATTTAAGAATTCTGTTTACCCAAAAGAGGAAAACATGGTTGATAGAATAACTTTTCTATCATTTCTTGGTTGTGTATTATTGTTGTTCGTTTGGAAAAAAGATTTGTTTTTTTCATTTTTTCTGGGGTGAAAATCAAGTTCAGCGCCTATATGGTTTTTCATGTCAATTCTGTGAAGGAAGCCAAAAAAAAGTTGATTTTTCTTATCATTTTGTTTGAACAAATTATACACAACATACACACATGGCCTATTTATTATTTAAAAAAACAAAACAAAAAATACCCGGACACACTGTTGGCCTAAGTAATTGTTTTTTGCTGTTCAATTAATTAATACCTCAAATGAATTATAAGCTAACAGAAAAAAAAACTGACAAGATAAATGATGTTTGTACAGTAGCAATGTTTGTAGAAATCAAAAAATAGGTTTTATATAATGATAATGTAACAAACGATTCTGAACGTCATTTGCAGTGTGTTTCTCTCGCTCTGCTGTTAATGATGGCTAAAAAAACATACACACACAAGAAATTCAGGATATAGAATTAAGAAGAAATTGTATCCGATGGATAGAAAAAAAAATTGAAACAACTTTTCAACAGCTGTGAATCTGTTGTTTTTTTTTATTCATTTTCATCACTTTTATTTTCACTATTCAATTAGATCCGTTAACACATACGATTATTATGTTGTTGTTGTTGTCTACATTTCTGAATCTAAAACATTAGATACGTTATGTTAATTGATTGATTTTTATCTCTTTTTTTAAACTCTTTTATCGTTATCATTATTATTAACATCATCATTCACATCACCAAACATGAATCTAATTACTTTTTTGTCGTTGAATCTCGTTTTTTTCATTAAATTAGATTGCAACTGTTTTAGCATCTTTTTTTCATCCATAAGATTTAGAAGATTGAAATATATAAAATAAATAATGTGGTGTCAGGTTCAAGCTACATCGGCCATCAGTGGTCATGGTTGTCCATTGGTACGAAGTAAACATGCAATGTGTTCTGCAAATGATGGCCGTATTTATCTATATGGTGGTAAATCATTATTAAATCAAACATTACGTGACTTGTGGCGTTTCGATCCTGATACAAATCATTGGCAACAACTTAATACAATCATTCGTAATGATGAAATGTGTAAATCAACTAATGGTTGTTCATCAACAACATCATCATCATCATCGACGACAGTCGTATCTGCAAGTCAGATGTGTCGGTCTACCGAATGGCCAAACAAAAATCATCAATCATCTTGTTGGGATGCTATTAACGATTTTCCACCTCCTCTTCAAGAACATACTATTCTAAATTATCAAGTAAGTCTTCTTTATATTTTCTCCACGTTAATTGTATTTCCCATTTTGTCTCTTATTGAAACACCAAAAAAAAAAATTTTTTTTTTTTTCGTTTTACACATATTTTATCAGGACAAACTATATGTATTTGGTGGCGAAATTGGATATTCTTGCGATGAAACACCATTGTGGATTTTTGATCTTGAAACATATGTTTGGAAAAAATTTTCTATCAATTCTGGTCATCATATAATGAATATAGCTATAGCAAGACCATTAGGACGAAGAGGCCATTCGGCTGTTGTATATCAAAATATTATGTGTATCTATGGTGGTTATCAAGATATTAAGGGATCCACTTCAGAGATATGGACTTTTAATCTAGGTTCGTTTCATTTTTTTTTAATATTATTATTTATTTTTCTATTTATATATAATCTTTATCATATTAATTCATCCATTAATCATCCATTAATTGTCAATATTTTTTTTTCTATTTCATTTTTTCCAAAAGATACGGAAGAATGGTATTTAGAGGGAACTAATTTTAAAAAAGATTCTGCACCATTACCAAGACATGGTCATTCGGCAATTGTTTATAAAGAATCAATGTATATCTATGGTGGTATGAGCAATTTAAACGTTCGAAATGATTTTTGGAGCTGGAATTTTAGTATGTATCAGTCATATATCTTTTATTATAATCATGATAAGATTTCTCAATAAAAAATAACAATAATAATAATAATAATGATCTTTTTTAGAAACAAAAGAATGGAATCGAGTAAAAACGAATCGTACCAATCCAGGCGTACGATCATTTCATAGCGCAATCGTTGTATTAGATTCAATGTTTATATATGGTGGTGAGCGTTCAAATGGAAATCATACAAATGAACTTTGGAGATATCGATTTGGTATGTTTTTTATTTGGTTTTGTTTGTTTTTTTGAAAAAAATATTTTTTCCATATTAAATTTGATTTATTGATTGCCTGATTTTGATACACCATAAATGAATAATTTAGCTAATCAAACTTGGGAACATATTGAAATCAAAGGAATAGCACCAAGTTGTCGTACTAGACATGTAGCAATAGCAAATCCATTTCTTAAAGAATTAGAAAATAATGTTCATCATGGTGATCAATGGCAACATTGGACTTGTAAAAAACAGAACAATGTAAATGACAAAACCGAAAATAAAACAAAAAGACTACGAAATTGTCGCAAACAGCATCAACAACAACAACAACAAAAACATAGGCAAAACGAGTCAACAATCGTTGAAACCACTTTTGCCGAATCGACAGAATCGGTTGATAATGTAAAATCAATATCAATGTGTTTTAGTTCAGCTGAAAAATCTCCGTCAAATTTTCCTTTTATAGATTGTAATGAAACAAAAACCGAAGTTAACATTGATTCATATATTTTAGATGATAATATGTTGGAAAAACAACTTAACTTTTCAACTAATCAGCAAAATACGAATAATACAGAAATTTTGAATCAGGAAAACAATCCAAATATTTTGAATAATATTCTAGTCAAACAAGATGAAACAAATTTTGTGACAAAAACTACGGCTGTAAAAATGCGACCACGTAGACCACTACTACAGAAACAAAGGCCTTATTCCGATTTTTATGGTACGGCAATTTCATCACAAAAAGATGATTTCGATTTTAACGAGCTTAATGAAACTCAATTTAAACGCCGTTCCGTCCAAGAATCAATGTCTTATTATAGTTTATGTTTCTCTACGCCTCCATCTCATCTGAGACAAAAACCATCGCCTTCATTTGCACTAAGTATAGCAGCAGCACCAATTCAAACAATTAATGCAATGATTAAAGATGTAACACCACCCGAAGCTTTAATGGATAAGTTTGATTCAAAATCCGACGAACACGATTCAAATATTAATGCAACCAATCAGATTACAATCAAAAGAAGAGAGAATTTTATTTCGAAACGACGTTTAAGAAAAAATGATCTCGGACTTTTAGATTTATCTTCCTTAGAGATGCGTATTCCTCCAAAAGATTTAGGCTATAGTACAGCATATTCACTTACACTTGACATATCACCAGATTATGAAAAAGAATTAAAATTCAGTTCAAATTCATCGCCTTCAAATGAACCAAATAGTATTTCTACTGAACATTCCGAATATGAATGTATGGAAATGACTCATCTAGATATGTTAGAGGATTATTTAGAACCCGAAGAAATGTTAGAAATAGTTACCGAATCGACTAGCGGTGAAGAGATAAGCCCTTCACTCAATATCAAGACAATCAAAAAAACTCCAGCCATTCGACGAAAAAATTATAATAATAATAATAAAAATAATGAAAAAAGTTCTTCCAATGACAATTCAAACAAAGTAAAAGTTCAACATCAATCATCCGCTACATCGGTTTCAAATTCCTCATCAGGATATCAATCATTAATTTCTGCCGATTCAAATGTGAATAGTTTTGATATAAATTCCATTCCATCTATTTCCAATTCATCGTCATTTGGTGAACAAAATGAAAAGAAAGTTAATGATTTTGATCATTTAACTGCACAAAAATTAGTCTCCAAACTTAATGATTCGTTTCATGAGGATCAATTCAAAAATGAATCTATTGAATTAAAACAGATAGAAAAATCAAATAAAGACGATAATCGAATTATGATGAAAATACAAGAAAACGGGAAATCAAGATCAAATCATATGAATCGTTTATCGAATTGGGAACCAAATATCAAAGAAGTAATCGAAGAAGTTAATATTCCCGGTTCACCATCAGCTTTAAATTTGGATTTATCATTTTTACACGATCCTGATAATGATAATAATAATCTAAAAATTTTAGATCATGATAATGTTCAAAATCTGATTGATGAAACATTTTTAACATATCGAGAACGAGAACGATCATTAAGAGAAGAAAAAACAATCATCGATTTAGATCGACAACATCCAATTTTCTGTATGTATGTATTCGGTGGTAAAGAAGATTGTATCACTGGTGTTCTAAATAAACAATCAATGACAATTTGGAAATATTATACATGAATGAATAAATTATAACAGCAAAAAAAAACTAAAAAAAATCAACATTTTATTTTTTTATATCAATCAAAAGAAAAAAAAAATCTCAGGCCATCATATAGCTCAGTATTATATTATTATTATAAAAAATGACAAATAAAAAATTTAAATAAAATAAATTTTTAAACAAACGAAAAAAAAAACAAATCTCAAGTTACGTTCGATTTTTTCCTTCGAATCTTTTTGATTTCCGTGCCGAATCCACTGAATTCGGATACTCTTTCCTCCATCGGTATAGACTTTCGTTTCATTGCGCCAATATCGACAGTTTTTTTCACTTTTCTATTCATTCTTAATTTGGATGCCAATTCTTTGGGTGGTTCAAGAAGGGCAAAACTTTTGGCTAAATGGCCAAAATGTATTTGTCGAAATGGTAAGTATGATGATAGTTGTCGTGGATAAGATGCATATGCACGTATAAACGAAAGATAAGCTTTACATGCCAATTGATTTATTTCGGTTTCTTTCCAAACCAATTTTTCGAATAAATGCTATTTTAGGAAAAAAAAATATTTTCAAATAATAAAAGCCTGACCTCTAGTGATAGATAAATGATATAATAATTTACCTGAAGATTTGCTAAACGTTCTTGTTCGGTATGAAAATTTTCTGGGTCCGGTATTTTTAGACTATTGATTGATGTGAAATAGGTTTCCATTTTTAGTGATTCAAAATTGATCGAAAGTTGTTCACGAAGATATTCAATGAATTTTATTTCGCTTGGTAGTAATATTAGAATCGATTGTCCTGGCTTGCCTAAACGAGCTGTTCGGCCGACTCGATGAACAAAATCTTCAACAATTGCAGGCGAACTCATTTGAATAATTAGATCAACATTTGGCAGATCAAGCCCTCGGGATGCAACGTCGGTACAGAATAATATACCACCAATTGTCGAATGAAATTGTTTGAACACTTCGGTGCGACTATTCTGATCCATATTACCATGAAGTTTAAATATTCGAACATTTGACTCCAAATATTGATTGAATATTTCCGTTAATAATGTTGAATAAAAATCGACAACATCTTGACATGAAGTAAAGATAATTATCTTAGAATTTTCACCGTTTTTTCTTAACAAATCCATTATAATACAGGATAATGTGACTAAACGTAATTTCGATGGAACGACCATAAAACTATTCGTTAGTGAACTTGGTAAGGTTATTTCTTTCAAATGATGCTCGTCATCACCAACATCGATTAGTTGTGAATTTTTCAGACTAAGACCAGCCAATTCTTTCACTCCTTCAGATAATGTTGCTGATAATAGTACGGTTTGGATTTTATTTTTGCAAGAACTATGAATACATTCAATAATTTGTGTGATAATGGCTGAAAATCCTTGTTCATAAAGTCGGTCAGCTTCATCAATGACGAGCCATTTTAATTTTTCAATATTCAAATTTTTCGTACGATTTATATGATCTAATAAGCGACCAGGAGTGGTCACTAGAATATTGAGACCTTTACGAATTCGTGCTTTTTCCGATTTCTTTTTTTCGCCACCAATCAGAATGCCAACAACCATCCGCCTAAATGGATTCAATAAACGATCTATACAGTCATAGGTCTGTATGGCCAATTCTCTTGTAGGTAATATGATCAAGGCGAAAAGACCATCCGATCTTGTTATTTTTGGTTGAATCAATTGTAACGAATGAACTAATGGTATTGCATATGCAAGCGTCTTACCAGATCCTGTAACAGATTTGATAAGTGCATCATCACCATTCAACAATGGTGGTATTGATAATGATTGAACTTTTGTCGCTCTGGTTAGATCGAATCTTTGCTGTAGACATGCAATGAGCATTTTGTCGATATTGAAATCACCAAAATTTTTATCGGAAAATACTTCTTCATGTTTGGCTGTTTTAGAAATCCTAGATTATTACGAATGATATTGAATAATTTTAATAACAAAAGGAATGACTACTCACATGGACAATTCCGGTATGTTCATCGTTGAATCATCGAATAATTTTGAACTTTTGAATGTGGGAAACGTATTTTTGGCTTGTTGATTTTTTGTATGATCTTGTGTATGAGATTGTTTAAATGAAGTAAAATCTTTGAAAAGAATTATGATTAAAAAAAACTTTTAATCAAAAGTAGAAAATCTTACTTGATTTATCTGAAAATTTATTAGCTTGTTTATTAGGCGGTTTTGGCGGAACAGAATTCTTAGACTTAGAATCGCCAAAATTAAGATTTCCCAGCATAAAAGAATCGGACATTTTTGTTAAAAATAATTTTATTCAATTTCAGCAAAGAATAAATAGAAAAATTCTTGATGAAAACAAAAATTGAAAAACACGCGTTAATATTAAATGGATAGTCATCCCATCATTAGAGTACGTAACAAAATTGAAATTATAAGGCGCAAAATTATGGCAGTGTTTCATGATTTTAGCTTCGTAGAATTTGATGAAGAACCTGCAACTTGCTCGGGATCATTTTTCTTAGGATCATGACTTGATGAATGGTTGTTTTGACAAGACGATTTTATGTCAACATTGTTTTCCTTTGGATCATTGTTGACCTGAAGATGCTCTAATAATGAATTAAGACGATCGGCAATTTTGGCATATTGTCGAGCTTTTAAACGTGAATAATCACTTGCTTTTATCCTATAAACATCCTGTGGTTTTGTAGCAGGGATTGTTGTTCTTAATCTATAATTTTCCTTTTCCAATCGATTAATTCTTTCACGTAATTCGTTTCGCTCTTCATCAAAACGATTGGAAATTTTCGATATCTGTTTCTCATTCGAAATATTTACCTCTTCTAGATGACGACGTTCTTCTTCCAATTGTTCTTTCAGACGAACAATTTCCTCTTTCATATTTTGATTCATTCGTGTTAATTCTTTGTTGTTGACAACATTGTCATAGGATTCTAATTTAAGTCGATTAACTTCTTCATGTAATGCAATATGTTGTTTGCGAATTTTTTCCAATTCTTCAATAGCGGATGCTTGTGTTTCTAATTTGGCTCGTAACAACATTGTTTCTCTTTCTTGACCATTTTTTATTTCATTCAATTGTTCAATATGTCGTCGTTGTTTTTCCATTTCTAATGAAAACGTTCTTTTTTCATTGAGACAATCTTCCAATGACAATTCCAATGATTTCCTATTGAAACAATTTTTAAAAAATGAGTTTCGTTTGTTTTTTTTTAAATTAAATAATTACTTTTCATGTTCTAATCGTGTTAACTTTTCTAGCTCTTCATTGATGGATGAATTTATTTTCTCAACACATTCCTTATCTTTAGACTCGATGATTTTTTCTAATTCTGCTATTGACTCATCTTTGCGGGCTAAAAGCTCTTTCTGTTCTGAAACAATAACAAAAAAAAAGTTATTAAACATTCAATAAATTAAAATTTTTATCAATATACTTTTGATCTCTTCTTTGAATGAATCTTTAGTCTGATTTAATAATTTTATTTCATTGTTCATTTTTGAAACGATCGTTTCTTTTTCTCCATCAAACAATATCCGTTGTTGCTCAATATCAAATTTATATTTTTCCAACATTCGTTTCAGATGGCCAATCTCTTTTAGATGTTCTTCAATCTCAGAATTTCGAACATTCAATTCAATCTTGCAGTTTTTAATTTCTTGTTTATATTCGTTGATTTGTTCCTGTAAATGAGCGATTTTCGATTCATGAATTCTTTCTTTTTGTTCATTTTCCAAAACTAAATCTTGTATTTGTTGCTGTATCTGTTTATATTTTTGTTCTACTTGTTCAATTATATCTTGTGCTGATTGTAATCGACGATTTAATCGAGAATTTTCTTCACTTAAATCAATCAACTTTTTAACATCGGGCACTTGACTTGCTTCAACCAAACGAATTCGAATCTCTTCCTTTTCTCGTTTGATCAAATTCAATTCTACTTCATATGATAATTTAATTTTTTCGATAGCATCTAAATGTTCTTTTTCCATATGTTCAATTTGTTGTTTATATAGTTTCAATTCATTGCATAAACGTTCTCTATCTTTATTCAGTTTATCTTTTTCTTTTTCAGCTTTTTTCAATGGTTCATCTAATTCATCAATTAGTTTTATCCTGAAAAAATAATATAATTAGTATTAATTAATAATTGTAATAACAAACCTTAATATCTCTGGATCATTTTCACGAATATTTTTTTCTAGTTTTTCAATTTGTTTAGATTTCGTTTCATTTATTTTCAACAGTTCTTCAAGTTCTTCTTTTTTCTTTTCCTTAAAATAGACCGTTTCTTCTAATATTTGTTTCATTTCGGCCTGAAGATTTAGATATTGATCTTGTAGTTTAAGATGTTCACCTTTTAAACTATTATAATTATTTCTACGTTGTTCACTTCTTTTCCGTTCTTCGGCCAACAATTTTTGAAGTTCTTCTTCGCGACGAGTAAACAACGGCATATTGGATGTTTCTTTTTGATTTGATTTTTTTGACAGAATAAAATCCATGATCCAATTTCATAAACAGCAATCGTTGACCGGTACAGAAATTCCATGTTTCAAATGTCATTATGATTTTTTTGTTTGAAAAATTTACGGTTAATTCTTTGAAACAACTAAAAACGATGATCACCATGGATACCAAAAAAAGAGAATCCTGATATATTTGAATAGTACAAAACTCACGTGTTGGATTCAGAATCAAAAAAAAATATTCATTCCACGTTTTGATTTTTTTAAAATTATTTTCGTAAAAAAATGGATACAAGTGCAAATAATGACAAAAAACATAAACGTAGAAAATTTAAAACTAAAAAGGTTTGTTTCTAAAAGGAAAATTCGTTTATTTGTTTTTATTTGAATGATGTTTTAATATAGCAAAAAAAATTGGAACGTGTAAATCGTACCGATGATCGTGATACTAATCCACGTAAAAATTATTCTGAAATTATTAAAAAGAATGAAAATTTTGAAGATTATTATCGAAACCAAAAAATCATTGAATCTGATGAAGAATTTGCTGAATTTCTGAAAGTTCTAGCCGAGCCATTACCAACAACATTTCGAATATCATCATTTTGTCAGGGACAAGCCCAACGAATGCGTGATATAATTCAAAGTGATTATATTAAAGATTTTCAATCTGGAAATACTGAACTGATTGATGGTAAAAAATTGGACATTTCTCCTATTCCATGGTATCCGAATAAACTTGCATGGACCATAAATCTTACCAAAACAGAGATACGAAAATCTCGTACAATTAATTTGCTTCATAAATTTTTAATTTGTGAAACTGAAACCGTATGTTTAATTTTTATTGTTTTCAATTCATGTGAAAAAACAATCTTATTTCAGGGAGATATTAGTCGACAAGAAGCTGTATCGATGATTCCACCACTATTGTTAGATATCAAGCCTGGTCAAGCTGTTTTGGATATGTGTGCTGCTCCTGGATCAAAAACGGCCCAAATAATTGAAATGTTACATCAAGAATCTGGATCTACTTTCATTTCAGGTGATTGTAAACAGAATGATGTCAAATATTTGGATGGATTAGTTGTCGCTAATGATGTGGATAATCGACGTTGTTATATGTTGGCTCATCAGTCAAAACGTTTATCCAGTTCTTGTGTGGTCATCACGAATCATGATGCAGCTAATTTGCCTAATTTTTATAAAAATGATCCGGTTGGTAATCATTTAATTTACGTTTAACATGCTAATTCATTATTTCTTTTTTTACAGGTAAAGGGAAAAACTGTCCTTAAATTTGATCGAGTTTTAGCTGATGTACTTTGTTCAGGAGATGGAACATTCCGAAAAAATTATGATGTTTGGACTAAATGGAGCGCAGGAAATGCTAACAATTTGCACAATATTCAGATAAAAATTGCCAAACGGGGTTTAGAGCTTTTGGCCAAAGATGGTATCATGGCTTATTCGACATGTAGTCTAAATCCAGTAGAAAATGAAGCTATTGTCGCTGCATTATTGAACATGGCCGAAGGAGATTTAGAGTTAGTCGATGCATCATCTTTTCTACCCGAACTAAAATGTTATCCTGGTATCGATAATTGGATTGTGATGGATAAGGACAATCATATTGTTGCCAGTCCTAAAGAAGTTCCGGAAAAATATTTACCACAAATTCGTAAAACACATTTTCCACCATCAAATGCAGCCGAATTAAATTTGAAATATTGTATGCGTATTATGCCACATTATCAGAATACTGGAGGATTTTTTATTGCATTAATCCGAAAGAAAACGGATATATTATGTTGGGAAAAAGAATCTGAAGGCAGCAGTGAAAAGAAAAATGAAGAACAACAAACAAATACTACTGATGATGATAACAATAATAATAATAATAAGAAAAATAATCTGGACAAAAAGAATAAATATACAGGTTTTCGTGAAGAACCATTTTATTTTCTTGACGAAAACGATGAAGATTGGATAGCATTAAAGTGTGTATTTGTTTTAGTTTCAATGTATCCGTTTTTTTTCATTCATTAATATTCATTTAGATCGTATTTTAAATTTCCTGTGGAATTCACGGCCAATCAATTGGCGCACCGATGTGTACAAGGTAAACGACGTAACATTTATTATATGACTGAAAAGGCTGCCGATTTTATTCGTATGAATAAAGACATGAAAGTAAGGATATTTTTGTTTGTGATCTTTTGATCATCGATAAAATGTGTAAAACTAATTTATTGAATTTATGGTTTTTTTTCATCAGATCATCAGTGGCGGTGTACGTGTGTTTAATCGTACCGACGTGAATCATGTTTGTCCATACCGTATTACACAGGAAGGAATACCATCAATATTTCCTTATTTTATAGCTAATCTTGAAAGCTTTTTGCCAAATAATGATGAAAAATCTTTTACCATTGTTGAAGTTGAATTAGATTTTTTCATAGAATTATTGAAACGTCAAGATATAAAAGTTGAACAATTAGATCAACCAACACAGACAATGTTATCCGAAATACCTTCAGGTTGTTTTATTATGTATGTAAGAATACGTCAAGATTGGAATAGTGAAAAATCACCGAAATTTATATTGCCTATGTGTGTTTGGCGTGGTAAAAGTTTACTTCGTGCATATGTTGCTAAAAATGATCGTTCACATTTACTTAGACTTTGTGGATATGAACCGATTTCGGCTGACACAACAATAGTCAAAGGTAACATTTATAAAAAAAAATTCAATTTAAATAAGAAAAAAAATTTATATTTGAATGAGATTTATATTAATTTAGGTGAAAATAAACGATCATTAGATATTGATGATGATGATGATGATGGTTGTAACAATCAAAAAGAATTCAAAAACGATGATGATGACAATATCGGTATGGAAAAAACGAATGGTAATAATCAAAATCATTCATGTGTAGAAAAACGTACGAAGTTAGATTGCCATGATGATGATGATGATGATGATGGTGATAATAATGGCTGTAATAACAAATTATGATTCATTTGAAATTTGATTATAACTTTATAATAATAAAAAAATTATCGACAATGATGAATGAATAATAATCAATCGATGTTCAAACATTTTGAAAATCAATAAATTTTTATTTTTACTTTTGTAATTTTCATTCTTTAAATTGAACAATTAAACTTTTGTCATTATATAATACAATGTGTGTTTGTGTATGTAATTTGTCTTGAATGAAAGAATGAATGATGATGAAAATAAGTATCTAAATCAAATTTTGAAAATAAAATAAAATTGAATTAAAATTCGATCAATGGTATAATAATTACGTTAAATATAAAATATCAATCAGATCAAAGATCAAGATCATTTCAAGTGTGAAAATACAATTTATGAATTTCGTTTTTTATTTTTGTTTTCTCATTCGCTGTCGCTCGCTTTCTCTTCAATTCTTTCAATTCGAGACATTTTCAATTTTCTTTTTATCCGTAAACAAAAACAGTGGAAGGAAAATGCTTAATTTTAAAATATGCTTCGCTTTTTTTTCTTTATTGTTTTGGTGATAATCAAATAAAATGATAAATACATTTTTTCATCAATTTAAATTTTTTTTTGTCATAATGTTTCTTTCCTTCTTTTTCTCATTTCCGTTTTCATTTCTCAAAATCTCAAGCAAGAAAAATTGCCAAAAAAAGAAACTAGCCAACCAACCGAAAACAAAACAAAAATTTTAATCAATTCTAAATCCGGTTACAATCTTTAAACATACTATTATTAAGCAATATAGGTAGAGACAACAAAAACTCTTATGAATTTAGTTTAACAAAACGTTTTATTAAAGTGAATAGTTGAAATTCATTTGGCGCAACTCGAAATACACAAACACAAAAACTTTGAACGTTTATGTTCAATCAGTACATTTTATTTTTTTTGCATCCTATATATCCTAACTAAATATGGTTATAGTAGGAATATATAAACATCGAATATAAATGTTTTCGAGATGTATGAGACGCCTAACTGGTTGGCATCTTTATGTGTGTGTGTGTGATGGTGATGTGAGTGATGCGTAATATAATATCTTTCTTGCTGCTTTTAGTTCACATCTTATGCAATTACATTCGAAAATGGGAAAATTCTTGTATAGATTATATTCGAAAAAAATGGAAAATACAAATGTAGAAATTATTATTATTAGCATCTTTATATACACAAATTGCGATTGGCAATTTTTTCCCTTCATTGTCTGATCAATGTTATATCAAAATATTCACAGTAAAAATGATGATTTTTGCCATGCAAAATCTAATTAGAGGTTAAGTTTATTTTTATGATTATTATTAGGTAATTTATTCGCATGATGATGACGATGATGATGCTTAACGTATTTCATCATTTTAAGATAATACCATTGATTGAAATCTTTTCCAATTTAATTATATATGAATTTTTTATTTTTTATTTTTTTCGTTACAAAAAAAACAACATAAGAATTACTTTTCAAAGTTAAACATGAATGATAAGATATAGTTGTGTAATATTGGTTCAACATTTTATGAAATTTTTTTTTGTGATCATCGAAAAAAAAAATATTCGCCAAGTAAAGACCAAAACAGAACAGAAAATTAGTTTGATAAAGAATCATTATTTTTAGATTAATAAAAATTATTCCGACAAGAAATCACATCATTATTATTTCATTTCAAAATGACAATTGTGTGAATTTTTGTTTTGTTCATTGAATCTTGAACAGAATTTTTGTTTTCACACATCTAACGTTTTTTCTTTTCTTTTCTTTCGATTTATTATATTTGAATGATGTGATTTAATTTAACACTTTAGTCTCGTTTCTTATTATTTTTATGTCATTTTCAATAATAATACTGTTCATTATATCAAACATCTTTTAATAATAATTATAATTATATGAGAATTTTTTTTCCATAATGATGATTTCATTTCGTGACAATGAATATACATGCATGTATATAAATCAGAGATGTTGTCCATCCATTTTTTTTTGTCACCTTTGATGTGATTCTCAGATTGGATTTTGATTTTTCATTCAAAAAAAAATCCGTATTAAGACACACACGCACACTTATGTATGAATTTTAATCTAGTTTTTTTTCAGGTCATATTTTCCTGTGTGATTATCACGACACATTTGACCAGAAACTTGTAAATTTGTTTTATTGTCTAATGACTTTACAACAGCTGCAAAACGTGTGTGTGTGTGTTTCAGTTAGTCTTGGTTTCATTATAATAGTCGGGTCGATGTATGTGATAATGTTTAAAATTTTTGTTTTGGAAAAAAGTCACTCAATGTATTTGTGGTGTGTCATTTTTGATCATTGCACCAGAACAAGAAGAAGAAGAAGACATTCGTTTGATCTTAATGTGTTCATTTCTTTTTCTTTTTCTGGGTAGAATTTCTGATTTTCCATATCATAATCATCATCAACTAAATATGTCAATAAATAATTGATATTCAGGTGAACAAAATACGTAGGTCACATCTGTTATTATTCAATTGGTTGGTTTGTTGTTGTTGCCGTTGTTTTTTGTAAACTTTTATTCTGGTAGGAAGAAGACGGAAAAAAAATTCAAGTTGTAAAAAAAACTAAATATAATGATTATGAACAATCAAATGTTCCGTTTCTCATAACCTAATATGCATATGATGATGATGATTATCATTTGGAATATCATCATTTGAAAATCATCGACCATTTTATTATTATTATTATGACATGATTATGATGAACCATATCAGGTAGTCAAGTCATAAAGTTTGTTTTTATCGAGAAAATGAAAAACGGATGATGATGATGATGATCAAATTATTTTTATTTTACCTTAATTTCGTTAGTTATCATCATTATCATCTTGGTCAAAAACAATATAAAAACAAAATTTAAACCAATCATATTCCGTATACGATAATCATTTAATTGATAACCACGAGAAACAAAAAACAGTTGTCAAAATCATCAAAACAAAAAAAAATTGTAGAATATCTAGTTATCCATGTGACTATTGAAAATTATTACGATGTTGTCTGTATGTTTGTTTGTATATCTTGTTTAGTGTTCACTAATTATATCATCAACAATATTTAATTTTGCTTCTGTTTCTGTTATTCTATCAGTAGGAGAAGAAAAAATTTGACGTTTGTTTCATAAACTTTGACCTTTCACCCCCTCCAATCATGATTATGATTATGATGATGAGTATCAAAAATGATGATGAAAAAATTATGCTGAAATTCTCTATCTCTTGCTTTTTTCTTTCTCCTTTTTCACATAAAGATATAATAAATTTATGAAATGAGAGACGGTTTTTACCTGTTTTATTAAAACATTTTTTTGTTTGTTTGTTTGATGGATAGATTGATAGAAAGATAAATTAGATAGGAAATAGGAAAAGTAAATATTCGTTTGTTTTTATTTTGTTTTCAGTAAATGCGTGTGTGTGTGTGTATTTTTCTTTATTGAGTAGTAAAGTAGATATGTTGATTGGATAGAATGGTACAACAACAACCACCAACAACTACCGGTCATAGGTCAAACTCATCCAATAAATTAAGATAGAAAAGTGGACAAGGGAAAATTGAAATATATTGAAAAAGGTCATACATTTTTATGCATAGGTAAAACAACATATAGATATATTTTTTCAATTATAAATAGAAAGATACGGTAAAAACGAGGCAATTAATTTGCAAATGTTTTTTTTGGGGGGAAGCTCATTTGCGCGATAAACCACCATCACCACGCATTTATTTTTAAAACTGATCATAATCATCATCATAGTTGAACAACGAATAAACGAATGACATGAAAAACGAATATTGTAGATAAGAAAAAAATTGAATTTTTTTTTCCTAAAATGTTGTTTAACATTCGTGTGAAAATGATAACTTTTTTTGTGTTGTTATCCATTATGTAAATATATTACTTATACAACCAAAAAAACTAATTAGAATCAATTTACGCCAATTAAACAACGAATGATGACAACAACCTAATGAATGATTAACGACGATGATGAAGTTTGCGAAAATTTCGTATGGATTTCTAAATTTCGTATAGAATGATAAAAATTCCAAAAAATCTTGAAATTTAAAATACATGTTCACACAAATTTCATATTCAAATAATCAATCAATCAATCAATTGAACATATTTTATTGTAATTATAATGTCAAACATTTTTTTTCAATAAAAAACATATTAATTTTGTCATAATAATAAATTTTCATTAGCATCCAATAATTTAATCTTTATTGAAAGTTTGTTTTCGTCTAGAAACACGATAATTAATAGCTGAAAATCTTGCCAAACAAACACAAAATCCAATAAAATTGAACTCTTTTACAATCGATTGATGAGAATGAATATAACAATGGCATCAAATCATCATACATCACACAAAATTTTAAAACTATCAAAATTATGATGATGATGATAATAACGGTGAGAATAACAACAAATTGATGACCAATCGAATTGTGTTTCGAAAGAAAATTTGTTCAGAAATTTGTTGTTGCCGTTGATTAAAATCCATACAAATAAATAAATAAACAGGGTGGAAAAAAAGAATAAATCAAGAAACAAACGAATCATCATCACCTGTGAATTCATCAAGAAAACTTTTTTTATTTAAAGAAAACAGAAACGCAACCATTATTATTATTATTGGTTATTTGTGGGAGACAAACAATATATTTCATTTCTTTTTTTTTCTTTATTCTTCAAAAAAATTATTATTATTTCAACAACTATTTGTGTGTGTGTTTTTGTGGATTTGATTGTATGTGTGTGTGTGTGTGTGTGGATAAATAATGATTGAAATTTGATGTGAAAAAAAAATCTGATTGAATCAAAAATGATCAACAACAACAACAACAACAATTCGCAACTGTTAGGTAATTGTTCAACAAAAACTATCAATTTTTGGCGTTTCGCTTTATATTATTTATATTCATTCATTTTGCTATTGATTCAACCAATTTTTTTTCTGGTCATAT